TGACGAGCCTTGTTGCGGCTTTCGAGTCAGGATCTGAAGGTGTTTTTGATAGAAGGTGAATGTGAGGGTTGGTTGTGTCCAATCGATGCGCCAGAAGCGAATCATGCTTTTATCCGAACGATGCCAGGATCTCACGACGGCTAGTGTTTACCCAACCCTCCCCCCGCCCCTCCTCTTCCCCATTCCCCCCCTTACCCCCGTTATCTGTGGGTGCAGAGGAGCGAAGCCTCAGGAACGGCTCCAGGAGCGATACGACAAGTTTCGTAAAGCAATGGCTGAAAGGAGTCTGCGCAAGCAGAAGCAGGTATGTGCAATGTTCCGAGGCTTCTCATTTGAGAATTCTCTATTTGGGAGTCACTTTTGAGGATTCTGCACAAGCAGAAGCTGGCACGTGTACGTTTCAGAGACTTTTCAAACCTAGGCATTGAGTAGCCCTGCTCTGCTGGCATTGTCTTGAGGATCACCATGCCTGAGAAGACGCGGGGTAGGTCTCTCACAGCCTTGGTCACTCAAAGCATCCTCACCTAAACCTGGTCATGTCCCACTGTGTGTCGTCGTGCTGTGCATGTGCAGAAGGAACTAGAGTATGCGAGGTCCATGAATGGAAGAGAGGGGGCGAACCAGGCAAGCAAGATCGGCTTGTCTGCGCCAGCTAACCCATCTGCAGGTACTTTCCCAGTCAGTTCGTAGCTTGTAAGATTCTTTGGGAGTGGACTGACGGACTTCGTTTTATGCTTCGGCCTGGCTCGTTGCGCAGATAATGAATCAGCAGCACCCATGAGTGGAGAACCAGAGCGGCGAGTGGATTTACCTCAAGAAGCGAGGTTAGCAGCAAGGTTCGTGTGTCTCCTTGCTGACTTTCTGTAGGTGTCTGTCTGTCTCCCACGAGCTGATGTCCAGTTGGTGCCTCCCACTGGCCGCACTGCAATGAAATGGAACCGGAGAACACACATGGAGCACTGCATGATTGCTAGAGCCTGGACGTCTGGCGTGCCGTGCTGTGGGGCTGACGATGTGTGCCTTTGCTTGCTGCTGCAGGGCACCGCTCGAGGAGGATTGTGCCGTGGAGAATGATCGAGCTGTGGAGGGTGGTGTTTTCAGTGGGGACGGCAGCAGCAATGGTGGGGACGGTCGTCGTGCCTTGCAGCGAATGGGTGCTGGTCCCCATGGGCCGCATGACGAGAACAACCCTCCGATGTCTGACCAAACTGTAAGTTAGATGCTTTGTCAGATGGCAACAGCAATGGTGCTGGATTGCAGGTGGTTGGCGTGGCTTGCAGCGAATGGGTGCTGGTACGACTACTGGGCCCCATGATGTGAGAACGTCCCTCTGCTATCTGAACGGGGCAGATGGTGTGATTCTCACCACTTAGGTGAATGAGGCGGGTGTATCCATGTTTGAGGGGGGGGGGATCATTGGGAAAGCTTGCACTGGTTCCGGCATCTCAGGCTCACGCAGGCAGTGGGTGCTGGGCCGTACACAGAGAAGGTGCCTCCACTACCAGGTTCGATGCTCACATGCCTGGCGCCTCTCACGTGCCTGGCGCCTCTCACATGCCTGGCGCCTCTCACGTGCCTGGCGCCTCTCACATGCCTGGCGCCTCTCACGTTCCTGGCTCCTCTCACGTTCCAGGGCTAACTGGGAAAGGTATGCACTGGCTCCGGCATGTCAGGTCAGGCTCGTTGATTTCGTTTTTTTCCCTGGCATTCCACGCTCACGCAGGCATGGCTGTTGTGTGGGGTGGGTTGCTTGCAGGCATTCAAGCGGGCGAGGAGGGACTCTGACTCGGGGTCGATTGAGATTTTCGTGGATGAGGAGCTTAGGAGGTGCGTCACAGGGTGGAGAGGTGGAGAGGTGTGTAAGATGGAGTCAACAGGGCAACAACCGATGCAAGTCCTTTGAGGCCGTTCATTCGTGTTTTGAGACGTCTCAAAACAACCAATGCAAGTCCTTTGAGGCCGTTCATTCGTGTTTTGAGACATCTCAATACAACCAATGCACGTCCTTTGAGGCCGTTCAATTGTGTTTTGAGACGTCTCAAAACAACCAATGCACGCCCTTTGAGGCCGTTCATTCGTGGGCATAACCACCGCACTGGGGGTCGGGGATCACCCTGGACATCTTCGTGAATGAGGAGCTGAGGAGGTGCGTGAGACGGAGGTAACAGGGTAACCACCATTGTATAGGCACAACCACCACACTGGGGGTCGGGGATCACCCCGGACATCTTCGTGAATGAGGAGCTGAGGAGGTGCGTGAGACGGAGGTAACAGGGTAACCACCATTGTATAGGCACAACCACCACACTGGGGGTCGGGGATCACCCCGGACATCTGTGAATGAGGAGTTGAGGAGGTGCGTGAGACGGAGGTAACAGGGTAACCACCATTGTATAGGCACAACCACCGCACTGGGGGTCGGGGATCACCCTGGACATCTTCGTGAATGAGGAACTGAGATGGTGCGTGCAGGGAGGGGTGGAGAGGTAGAGAGAGAGGCGAGGAGTTGAGGAGGGGAGGAGGTGAGTAGGGGAGGATGTCACAAGGTGAGGAGGGGAAGAGGTGCTAGATGTAGGGAGGCAGGACGCGAGGTTTGAGGCGCCCAGAGAATCTCTGTGACTAACTGCTGACCCTGTCTGTTCCCAATGGTGTCCTCTTGACCTTCTCGCTCTCGGCAGCCCGTCAGCTGCGAGGAGAATGCACAGGGGGCTGGGGGGAGGCGGGCCAAATAGGAAATGATCATGGGGACGTCTAAAGAAGGAATGTGTCTGACTGAGTGCTGTCCTGTCCCTGCTCTCCCTCTCGGCAGCCCGTCAGCTGCGAGGAGAATGCACAGGGGGCTGGGGGGAGGCGGGGCAAATAGGAAATGATTATAGGGACGTCTAAAGAAGGAATGTGTCTGACTGAGTGCTGCCATGTCCTTGTTCCCCCTCTCGGCAGCCCGTCAGCTGCGAGGAGAATGCACAGGGGGCTGGGGGGAGGCGGGGCAAAGAGGAGGGTGCTGCAGCCGCGTGTGGAGGTCGAGAGGGGTCAAGAGGGGCAGGCAGGGGTGGCACGGGAGAGGTGAGAGAGGGCGGGTTGGGAAGCATGGCGCGTTATGATATGACTTTTGAGGTGCCTCAGAAGGAGTCCCTTTTCAGGAGGATCAAGAGGTACAATGCGGCATGGTCCATTTATGTTGGTTCCTTTTTGTTCGCTCCTCTTCTTTGTAATCCTACTCCTCCCTGCTGTTGTCCATGCAGAGTGGGGGGCGAGGTGGGGGGTCGAAGGCAGGCCTCTGAAGCTGCATCTGCTTCAGACACAGGTAGCGCAGGTCAATTCATTCGTTTCCCATTCAACCCAATGTTTTTTCCAAAACTTTCTCGCTCGCCGCTGTTTGATTTCTCGCCACTTGCGGCTTTGCATCCCACAGCGTCACTCCTTCATCCGTCTCAGGACTCGTTAGGCTGTCTCTGTGCCTTTCCCCCAGGGCTATGCCAGGAGCAGGAGATGGGCTTCGCGAGGCAGCGCGATTACAAACTCGAACTCTCGTACTGCTCACTGTACTTCCTATTGTATGCTACGTATCCCATCGTATCCTATTTTAAAACGTGTCTGAGCTTGTTCCATGTGCCCTTTCCCCAGGCCCATGCCAGGAGCAGGAGACGAGCTTCGAGGAGCAGCGCTATCTCTACTGGCTGCGCCACAGGAACCTGCCTCCACCTCTCTACATGAACGCTGCACCGCTCTCAACCTGTCCGCCAACCTTGGAGGCCCATCCAAATCCCACAGCCAACCCAGGGCCTGCAATGGCAGATGGCTCCCCGGGCTGCTCATTAGCTGCTTCGGATAGAGCAGAGGCAGGGAGTGACAAGCAGGGAACAGGGGGAATGAGATGGGGAGAGGACGCAGAGGAAGAGACGAGTGGGTTGGACGCAGGGGGCAGGGATTGTGAGCAACGGAGTGCGGTTGCTGAGGGGGGAGGAAGGGGTGGGGAAGCAGAGGGGGGCGAGAGGGGCGCGGGCAAGCGTGGGAGGAGGAAGAGGGGGAGTAAGGGGGAGGAGGAAGTGGAGGGGAGTGGGCTCACGGGGGGGTTGAGTGAGTTGGGAATGGAGGAGGAGAGGGTGCAGGGGTTCAGGCAGATGTTGGAACAGCAGAGAGGACAGGCTGGGGCTGCTGGTGGGGCTGATGCTGCTGCTGGAGGTGTCGGTGTTTCTGGTGCTGGTGGCGGTCGTGGTGGAAGGGTGGATGAGGATTTTCTCTCCTTTGATCACACGCTGCATGCGCAGGTGAGGGTTTTTATCGCCTTTTGAGATGTTTCGTATTTCGTTTCTTTTCTTTTGCCTTGTCTGCTTTGATCCCATGGTGTATGTTTCAAGTGAGGGATTTGCAGGAGTCAATTGGGTCACAAGAGGGATCCTCTCTGGATCCTCGGTAGCTGTTTCTTTCTGATAGCACTCGGAAACCCAATCAGCTTGCTAGCTATATCTGATCCCGTTTTACACATCCATTATTCAAGCACATCCGTCCCCTCTGCTCCTTCATGTGCGTGCGACCATAACTCCATATGAGATTTCTGAGGACTAAAGAGCCCATGACGGCCATTTCTGAGGATCAAAACCGTTGCTTTCGTGTTCTGAACCTTGTTCCACAGGATGACCCCACTTTGGTCTGCAGGCGCTTCCCCCAGCACTCTACGGTGAGCTTCCAGTCACCATCACATACCACATCATACCATATCATACAGTGTCATGCCGCATCATACCACGTCATGCCATATCGTAACATATATCACCATGTCATGCCATACCGTAACATATCTCACCGTATCATACCACGTCATATCATATCATACACAAAATGAACAATACCCAATGCCTCTGTGCCACAGGTGCCCACGTTTCCAGCAGGCCCGCCCCAGCAGGTCAACCCATGGATCTCGTCACTGAGGGCGTCTCTCCTCGCCGCCCTTCAGCCCCCCCTCACCGCCGAGCCTGTGAGTCCATCCTTTCCGTGCCTTAATGCATATCTGGCGTGGCTTTGTGAGTTCTGTTTCTTGCGACCCTCAAGTCTCTGACTCTGAGGGCGTATCTCCTCACCGCCCGTCACCCTCCCGTCTCCGTGGAACCTGTGAGTCCAGCCCGTTCCCATCCCAGCCTCCAAAGCATGTTCTGGGGTGACTTGTAAGGTGACTTGCGAAATTCTCAAAAATAGCCTACGCCACTGCGTGGATCCGCAGAAACCTGCTTTCAATCACACAGCCTCGCCCGTTTCTCTCCCTGTCCCCTCCCCTGCTCCTCTCCAGGGCTACCACCGGCACCCAGAGCCGCTGCACGTGCCGGCCAAGCTCAAGGCGCTGAGGGAAGGGAAGGCTGGAGAGCCCGTGGACCTCCGCCTTGGTACGTACCCCACCCCACCCCCTGCTGCTGCCATGCTCCTTCCTCTCCCTCTGCCTGACTCATTGCTGACATTTTTCCATCTCTCTCTGCTGATGGCTGATTGCCTTTTCCTAGCTACGTGCCAACCATCTTCCTGTTCCACTGATGCCTCTGCGCCTTCCCACCCGCTCTGCAGGCAGTAGGAGCTACGAGGTGGATCGGCTGTTGGGCAAGGGCGCATACGCGAGGGTGTATGGCGGCACAGAGGCGCAGACAAAGCAGCGAGCAAGTATCAATGTCCCCGTCCTCTCTCTGCGTCTCCCTCCCCACTCCACTTTGCAGGCAGTAGGAGCTACGAGGTGGATCGGCTGCTGGGCAAGGGCGCGTATGCGAGGGTGTATGGCGCCACAGAGGCGCAGACAAAGCAGCGAGCAAGTATCAATGTCCCTGACCTCTCTCTGCGTCTCCCTCCCCACTCCACTTTGCAGGCAGCAGGAGCTACGAGGTGGATCGGCTGTTGGGCAAGGGCGCATACGCGAGGGTGTATGGCGCCACAGAAACCCCCGTTGGGGTGGCAGACACTGCAGCAAGCGAGCATCTAATCTCCCGGCTCTCTTTGTGATCCCGTCACCCACCCACTCCGCTCTGCAGGCAGCAGGAGCTACGAGGTGGATCGGCTGCTGGGAAAGGGTGCGTACGCGAAGGTGTATGGTGCCACGGAGACCCCCGCTGGAGTGGCAGATGCGGCTACAGAGAGCACTGTGGTGTTCCGCACTGTGGCACTCAAGGTACCTTCCAGCACTGTGGTGTTTCGTCTTACCCTTGTGTGTCGGTAGCTGTGCGGCAGATACAGCTACAGAGGCGATGTGTCGGTTCTTTCTTCAACTTACTAGCAGCATCACACGTAACTGGTTCAATTTAGTTTCTTAGCGCCTGTGAATGCTGTTTTCCAACCTGTCGCATCCCTCATCTATGCCTCCACCCATCTCTTTGTGTTGCAGCTCCACTCCAAGGCATGCCCCTGGGAGTTCTACATATACCGTCAGATCCAATTGCGAATTGACGGCCCACAGGTGCCTAGACCGTTGCTCTTCTTCTTCCCTATCCTTCATAAATACACCTTTCCCGCACTTGGTTCTTCTGATTCTGGCCCTGATACTCATACCTGATGCCCATGCTCCTACCATCATCCCCCCCCCCCCTGTTATCAACCTGACTCGTTCATCCACCTGACGTCGATTTCTTCCTGCCATTCTCCCTTCTTCCATCCGCGGCCCTCGCTTCTCCCTCCCCTTCCTCCTCTCCTCTGGGCTGGGCCCCCCTTCTCCCCCACCAGCGGCAGCTGTTTGGCACGGCATCAGCTTACCACGAGTTCCCCAATGCCTCTGTCCTCACTTGCTCCCTGGGCACCAGCGGCACCCTGCAGGTGAGCTGGCTGTCATGAGCATGCATGTAAGTTGGCACGGATGTGAGCACTCATGTGAAAATGCAGGTCAGTATCCAGGTGCATACATGCACAGAACTCTTGTTCCTCCATCCTCACATGCTCTCTGGGCACCAGTGGCACTCTGCAGGTGAGCTGGCATGCGAGCATGCAGGTGAATATGCAAGTGTGTGTGTAGGTGTGTACTCACTCATAAGGACTCTCACACACACACCCAGTCGCCTTATCCTCGCTTGATGGATCCCTCCTTTGCTTTCAGGACGTGGTGAATGCGTTCAAGAGGCAGGGCAAGCCGGTCCCAGAGCCCCTCTGCGCCTTCTACAGGGCGCGGAATCTACGAGCCGTGGAGGGCCTGCCTTTTGTATGCCACCCACTCTTTAACTTCATACAAGCATGCTTCCATCCAAAAGCTCTCAACTCTCGTGTTTTCCACACACCCTTCTCTCTCAGGACGTGGTAAATGCGTTCAAGAGGCAGGGCAAGCCAGTCCCAGAGCCGCTGTGCGCCTTCTACACGGCGCAGATGCTGCGAGCTGTAGAGGCCCTGCATGCCGCTCACATACTCCATGGGGACATAAAGCCGGACAACTTCCTCCTGCGATTCGGGTATGCGCTGCCATTCTCTCCTGCTTTGCATGCTGCGACCCTGCCTGTGCCTGGGAAATGTTGACTGGAAAACGGGAGCCCTGCATGCCGCGCACATACTCCATGGGGACATAAAGCCGGACAACTTCCTCCTGCGATTCGGGTATGCGCTGCCATTCTCTCCTGCTTTGCATGCTGCGACCCTGCCTGTGCCTGGGAAATGTTGACTGGAAAACGGGAGCCCTGCATGCCGCGCACATACTCCATGGGGACATAAAGCCGGACAACTTCCTCCTGCGATTCGGGTATGCGCTGCCATTCTCTCCTGCTTTGCATGCTGCGACCCTGCCTGTGCCTGGGAAATGTTGACTGGAAAACGGGAGCCCTGCATGCCGCGCACATACTCCATGGGGACATAAAGCCGGACAACTTCCTCCTGCGATTCGGGTATGCGCTGCCATTCTCTCCTGCTTTGCATGCTGCGACCCTGCCTGTGCCTGGGAAATGTTGACTGGAAAACGGGAGCCCTGCATGCCGCGCACATACTCCATGGGGACATAAAGCCGGACAACTTCCTCCTGCGATTCGGGTATGCGCTGCCATTCTCTCCTGCTTTGCATGCTGCGACCCTGCCTGTGCCTGGGAAATGTTGACTGGAAAACGGGAGCCCTGCATGCCGCGCACATACTCCATGGGGACATAAAGCCGGACAACTTCCTCCTGCGATTCGGGTATGCGCTGCCATTCTCTCCTGCTTTGCATGCTGCGACCCTGCCTGTGCCTGGGAAATGTTGACTGGAAAACGGGAGCCCTGCATGCCGCGCACATACTCCATGGGGACATAAAGCCGGACAGCTTCTTCCTGCGATTCGGGTATGCGCTGCCATTCTCTCCTGCTTTGCATGCTGCGACCCTGCCTGTGCCTGGGAAATGTTGACTGGAAAACGGGAGCCCTGCATGCCGCGCACATACTCCATGGGGACATAAAGCCGGACAACTTCCTCCTGCGATTCGGGTATGCGCTGCCATTCTCTCCTGCTTTGCATGCTGCGACCCTGCCTGTGCCTGGGAAATGTTGACTGGAAAACGGGAGCCCTGCATGCCGCGCACATACTCCATGGGGACATAAAGCCGGACAACTTCTTCCTGCGATTCGGGTATGCGCTGCCATTCTCTCCTGCTTTGCATGCTGCGACCCTGCCTGTGCCTGGGAAATGTTGACTGGAAAACGGGAGCCCTGCATGCCGCGCACATACTCCATGGGGACATAAAGCCGGACAACTTCCTCCTGCGATTCGGGTGTGTGCTTCTGCTGTGCACGTTGCTGCTTGCTGCGCTGAGTGTTGCTGGAAAAGGTTAAGTGAGAATCGGGAGGGGTGCCCTGCATGCTGCTCATATTGTCCATGGGAACTTAAATCCAGACAAACTTCCTCCTGCGATTCGGGTATGTGCTCTGAGCGAAGCTGCGACGCGTGTTGGTGCTGTGCATGTTGCTGGTTGCTGCTCGCTGCTCTGCCTGTGGCTGGGAAATGTTTGACTGTGAAGTGGGATGCCCTGCTACATGCTGCTCACGTCGTCCATGGGAACGTCAAGACAGTCAACTTCCTCCTGCGATTCGGGTATGTGTTGCTGTGTGCTGCTTTCTGCAACGTGATTCCCTCGTTCTGAGTGCATCAACTTTGATCTCGTGTGGGTTTTTAGATATCTCTAAGGGTAGAAATTTCAAGGAGCCAGACAGACTCTTAGAGCCTGAAGTTTGTGCTGCAACGTGGCTTCCTCGTTCTGCCTGCGTATTGTTATGTGTGGCTTATTGCAGGGCTGACAGCGAGAGTCCCAAGGAGATGGTTGCTGCCATCGAGGCTGGTGCACCTTCCACGGTACGGCTTGTCCCTGAACAAAAATAGAAGGGGATGGAAGGGTTGTCCACGGTACAGTTGAGTCCCTGAACTCAACTCTCGATCTCACTCTTGAATTGATTTTTGCTCTCAACTCTGAAATTTATCACTCTCAAACCCACTCTGAGACTCAACCAATTAATACACCACTAAAGCCTGACAGCAATAGACCATTCTTCGTGCCAAGCTAGCTTGGTTCCACTTCCATTGCAGCAAGTCCTGCAGCAAGTCCATTGTACCCAAATCAGCAACAGCCCCATCCTCTGTTTGTACTGAGTCAGATGCAACGGCAGCAAGCATATGTTGCTCGTTTTATGCCTCCTATCACTGAACATCCCCTGTCCCCTGCCTGCTATCACTCCATCTCTCGTCTGCCATCCCCTCATCCACCAGTAGACTACTTGACATCCCCCATCCGCCTCTCTACTTCACCGGTCCTCACTGCTCCTCACTCCTCACTACTCCCCACTCCTCACTCCTCCCCGCTCCTCACTCCTCTCCACTCCGCATTCCTCCCCACTTCTTCAGGGCCTCACCCTCGTGGACTACGGGCGGAGCATTGACATGCGACATTTTCCAGAAGGTTCCTCCTTTGCCTCTGACAGCGGCACGGAGAACTTCCGGTGCCCAGAGATGGAGGAGGGGCGCCCGTGGACCACGCAGGTATGGCAAGTGTGGTGTGAAGTGGTACCTGTGTGGTATGGTGCGGTATGGTGTTGATTTGTGTGCGGTATGCTGCGGTACCTGTGTGACAGTGTTGCTCGAGTGTGGTGTGGGGTACAGTGTCAATGTGTTTGAGCACACTGACTCTACACTCGTCCCTACGCACTCTGTGCCATTACCTCTACCCACACCTTTTTATATCGCTCCTCCCTCTCTGTCCGATGCCTTCTTGTGCCGCTCCTATGCTGGCCGATCCCTATGCAGTGTGTGCCACGGCCTACTGTCTGTACCCACACCTTGCTATGTCGCTCCTTCCCTTCCCTGCGCCTTCTTGTGCCGCTCCTATCCAGGCCGATCTCTATGCGGTGTGTGCCACGGCCTACTGTCTGCTACACGGGCAGTACATAGAAGAAGAGGGGGTGGCTTCACAGGAGGCCGGCATTTTCTAGTAAACTAAAAGACCCATCCCTTTCTGTGCTGCTCCTATCCAGGCTGACCTGTTCGCGGTGTGTGCCACGGCCTACTGTCTACTGCACGGGCAGTACATGGAGGTGGAGAGGCTGCCTGCAGGGGAGGGCGGTGCCAGCGGAACAGCGGATGTGGACGGTTGTGATGGTGACATGGCTGCTAGCTCTGAGGAGAGAAATGTATTTTACTATCGCCCAAGGCTCCACCTCAAGAGGTAAGTCTAATTCTCGCTTGCGTGGTTTCCCCCTCGTGTCATTTGCCCTGGGGATGTTTTTGAGGAGCTGGATGGATTCTTTCTGTGTGTTTGTACCACTGCTCTCTCGCTTACAGCACTGCCATGGCTGGCTGGATGGCTGGCTGGCTGGTACTGGAACCATGACACGTGGCATGTGCTGTTTCACACGTATTTTGAGTCGACTTAAAATACGGCTGGCTGGCTGGCTGGCTGGTACTGGAACCATGACATGTGGCATGTGCTGTTCCACACCCACCTCAATGTGGCCAGCCTGCCCCTCCGCCAGCCACCAATTTCTTACCTTGTGTGTTCATGCCACTGCTCTTTCCCTTGCTGCTCTCTGCCATGGTGGCTGGCTGGCAGGTACTGGAACCATGACACGTGGCACGCACTGTTCCACACCTACCTCAATGTGCCTGCGGGGCAGCCTACCCCTCCCCCAGCCCCGATTCGCCGCCGTTTCGAGAGGTACTCGGCCGACCATGCTAGTGATGTTTCCGTGCTGCTCCGCAGACTCCGTAACCAGCTTTAGATCGGGGCTGGAATTAACCATGCAAATTGGCGACCTCTCTTATTCTCCGGTCTATATTAGTTGCCTTTGATCGTGATTTTGGGTTATAGCTGAAGTTTGGTGACCATGGTGATAGCATTGGAGGAGCCAAGCGTGTTTAGTGACATGAGCTAAAAGCAACGCATTAGCAAACTCATACCTTGTAGGTTATATAAGGGATATACTAGCTTATTAGCAATTCTGCCTCATCAGCGATTTAACCAACGCCCACCTGAGTAAGCACTGTGCACTCAGCAAGACCAGAAGGAAGTGAACTAAATTATTTGGATGTTCGAGCAAGGTGGTTTGTTGATGTAAGAAGATTAAAATTAGCGTAGAGGCATCACGACTCTGTGAAGTACACTCCGTGATTTGACACAAGCAGAGGCCTGAGCGACCGAGGTTGGGACGGTTGCACTTCGCAACGCTCACAATGAATTCCACGTGGCGACCAAACGCTTCCAGCTTGGCTCACAAGCCAGATGAACCTACTCGACGTTTCAGCAGGCCAGATGAGAGATCCAAGAAAGAAGCGTGCCTACCGTTCGGATTCGTATTCCAGAGCAGCAACGCGACGCGAACCTGTGATGTCAGCGGAATTCATATACAGTATTTTCAAATGCCATGTACGGACCGTGCCGCTGGAACAAAGAGAACACTCTCCTTTTGATTCCACAGAAGGAATGCCACGGACCGTACAACTGGAAACACATTCATTTGATTGCACAAATTCACTGCCGTATGAAGGGTGTTCAGGATCAGCAAACAAAGATGCGCCGAGATTACACATGACCACATTTCCTAAACACCTGAAAATGGCCCAACAATCTTCCCCAAAGCTTGCACGAACAGCTTGATAGGAAGATTCTTTCAACATTCGAGGCGAGTTCTCATCGGGCTGCGGCAGCTTCTTTCGGCACTGTGCGTGCCCCCTACATGCAACTCGCACTCCCGCACGCTCAACACGAGGAATCCACGAGCTGAGCGCCAGCTGGTGGCTGCCACGCCGGGCAAGCCCCCGCGCAACTTGGCATTTGTTTGGCGCGAGAAGGGACTTGCGCGGATGCTGTGCGGAGGGTTTTTTTGGCGGGGATGGAAGGGTGGTGGTGTGATGAACGGGGAAACTGGACAGTGGTGTAGGGGAAACCAACCACCCACCGAGGTAATGTCAGCTGTTGACTAAAACTACCCTGGTGTAGCTGCTCTTTGTGTGTGAGGTTAGGAGTGGGGTTTTTATATACACTCCGCTAATATCATCCAGCTTCTACACCAAAGCTTTTCTTATTCGTTGGGAGCTAAGATTACCTTCCGCTCCGAAGTTCTTTCGTACAAGCCGTAGCTTGATGCAGAAGCAGCACATCACACATGATGCGGGAGGAGGAAGCGATAAATGCGTCGAGTTACGAGGCACAGCATGGCTGCATACGGTTTCCATGGATTTTAGGATCCAAGTTTTTTGGTTCCATCCCCGAATACAGCTGTCTCCGCAGAGGCATAATCATTCGCTCTAACGTAAGGCGCTGCGGTGTCCCGAATCCCGATGACCCGACAGGGTTGGGGGGGGGCCAAGAAGACGCAGATTCGCGCTCCGCCTCTCTCCTTCGCAGATCGACTCAACCCTTCTGCGGCAGAAGGCTCGCTTGTACAACGTTGGTCCGCACAGCAACCAGTGGAGCCTCGTTCAGGCCTCCCTCCCCCCGCAAACCAAGACAACACGGCAAGAAGAAATCTCCGAAGGGAACTTTCCCCTCTCCGCACGCTTAGGATTTAAGCGCCGTGTTTCCGTCCACTCGATCCCCAGTCGCGTGCTGGTACGCTTTCCTGTCAGTAAGCAGAACCAGCGAGCGCCAGCTGCGGCAGTTAGCACCTGCTCCCTGCAGTCCGCGGGGTAGATCCGCCGGACGTGCCAGCAAGCGCCCGCCCCGGATTCCCGTGTAGCTATTTGCTCTCACGCGCAGATGTACCCTCCTCAGGATCCCGTCTCGCTTCTATTCGCCGTTCACATTGCGCGTCACTCGCGTGTGACGCAAAGCTCGCCTCTCATTGGCTGAGCCGGGCGCGGCGCGAACGGGTAACTGACGATGGGACCTAGCCCCTGCTAGCCTTTTAGGCAACGTGAGCATCGAAGGACATATCATTCGCGAAGGTGGCATATATTACTCGTCCACCGCCGAACAACACTCGTCCACCGCCGAACAACACTCGTTCGAGTGCGCTCAATGCTTGTTTTAGTAGCGTTCATTCCGAAAGAACCGCCTAAAGCAGCGCTCATTGCGCGGGGTGCGGCTGAAACCACTACCATCGCCCGGAGTCCGACTCGCGTCGACCCAGCATCGTCCGTCGCTTACCATCAGCCTTCCATTCAACCATTTTTCAACTCTTCGACTACTCCGTTCAACCGTTATTCAATCATATCATATCGTCAATGGATCCAGCTCATTCGTCTACTCCTTCCGCCCTTTCCGCCGCGATTGACGGCAGCAGCGACGCGGCGTTAGAGGAGGCCATCTCGTCCGCACAGACCGCCATAGCGGGCCTCGTGCAAGCCGTCCACGTGGCGAAGCGCAAGCAGCTCCAGCTCCGCCGATCGCGGGGAAACCGAAGCGACTCAGCGCGCGGCGATCAATCCCCCGTTACTGCAGTGACTCGCGCCGTGAACAACGGAACAACCACCTGTCCAATCCACGCCGCATATTCCGCCTCTCCCGGCCCAGTATGCAGGCCGCCTGTCCACTCCTCGCCGGCCTCCGCGGCAGCACCGGTCTCCGCCTTCCACAGCGGAGTCTCCGGGTTTGCTGGCGGGTCGAATGCGGTTCCAGGCACTTCTGGCCGCTATTTTCTACCAGCGCATTTCGTATCAGGCGATAATCGCGCCGCGAGCTGCGGCGGCGGCGCGATGGGTGCTGCGGCTCTATCAGGAGGCGGCAGCATGTGGAGCCCCGTGATTCCCGTTCCGCCGGCATTCGCGGCGGGGTTCCACATGCTGCCGCCCCCAGGGGTACCTTTCGCGGCGCCTCCGCCGGCGGCAGCCGCTCTGGCGGCTTTCCGCGGGTTTGACGGCGCTGCTGCCGCAGTTGCGCCGAGCGGAACCGCCAGTCCGTCGGGGGCAGTCCCTCTGGCGGGGAAGCGGCGTCGCGGGCGACCGCGCGGATCAGGCGTGGGAAATAAGCGGAGCAAAACGGCGGCGGTGGCGGCGGCGGCGGCGGCGGCGGCGGTTGTAGCGGGAGTGAAGCCGCTGGTCGCGTCTGCCACTGGCAGTGGTAGTGGCCGCGAGCTGAGTGCTCGGCGCAAGTCGCGCGGCGGGGACGACGGTAGCGCTGATGCGGAGAGCGCCGATTCCAAGATTTCTGCGCATTCAAAAACAGCGACGGATGCGCCAGTCGCGGCAGAGGCGGCGGCATCGGGCGCACAGGGCGCGCAGGGCGGGGGGACGCTGGGCGCGCAGGGCGCGGGGATGTATAAGGGCGTGCGGCAGCGGCGGTGGGGCAAGTGGGTGACGGAGATTCGAGAGCCGAGCCGGCGGTCGCGCATCTGGCTGGGGTCGTTTGACTCGTGGGAGGACGCGGCGCGCGTGTATGACATGGCCGCCTGGCTGCTGCGCGGGCCCAAGGCACAACTCAACTTCCCCCCGCCGCCGCCTCCTCCTCCTCCTCCCAAGGACAAGCCCTGCCACCCCGCCGCCGCTACAGCCGGTGCAGGTGATGCAGTTGGTGCTGGTAATGATGATGCGACAGTCGGCACGGCGGAAGGCTCTTCTGACAAAACCCCCCCGGCTCTCCTGCCCGTGCTGATGCCGGCCGCTACAGCCGAGGCGCTGCTGACGGCGGCCCGTGGGTGCGCCACGTGGCAGGGCGCGGAGGACGCCATTGCTGAGCTGGCAGCGGCGCTTAAAGCTGTGGAGGGCGAGGGGGGCATGGTGGAGGTGACTGGTGGGGCGGCTGCTAGGCGCTTTGCGGCTGGAGAGTGGATCGGGGAGCCGGCTGGGGCTGGTGCGGAAGAGTCTGGAGCGGTGGAGCGCGATGCTGTGGGGGTGAAGGAGAGCGACTTGGAAGCGGCGTTGAAGCCACTGCTGGTTGGAGTGGATGGGAGGAAGAAGGGGAGCGAGGAGCAGGAGAATGGGAGCAGCTGTGAGGGGATTGGGGGAGGTAGTGGATCGGGCAGTGAGAAGAGCGTCGCGCCTTGCAAGAGCTTCTCTGGGAGCGACAGCGACGGCAGCGACAGCAGCGACAGCCTGCAGTCGTTTCTGGAGGGCAGCAATGCCGGCAGCATTGATGCTGACGTGGATGGCTCCACCGCTGGCTCCGCATTCTCCTTCTGGCTGGACGGCGACTGCGACCTGGACTGCATGCCCTCGCTGCTGCACGAGACGCCCCATGACGAGCCCATGACGATGATGATGATGGGCAATCATGCTGCTTTTTGCGATGGCATGGGCATGCTGGATGCTGTGCCGGCTGTAGCGGCTACAGCCAGCGGTTGCCTGGATTCCTATGAAGGGCCTGGTGCCGGGGTGTTTCAGCAGCTGGGCGAGTTCAGCCTGTGGGACCTCTAGGCGATCAGCTCTTGAGAATTCTCAAAGGCGACTCATGGGCAGCCCGAGCTCCTACGAGGGGCCTGGCCTCGGGGTGTTTCAGCACCTAGACGAGCTCACCCTGTGGGATCTCAAGGGGCTTTCTTGCTGGTGATTTCTGCGATCACTGAAGTAGGTGCGAATTTGATGAGATAATCTTGGGGGATGGGATTGAGTCTCTTGTGACACTCCCTAGGTGAGGGAGGGGGATGGAGGGACAAGGGTTTAGCAGGGGGGTCGAGGATGGAGGAGAAGCATAGGTGTTGGGGGGGGTGTGTGAGGGAGGAAAGATGGTGAAGGGGGTCAAAAAGGTGTTGAGATTTGTATGATATTGGAGTAGGGGTTGGAAAGGGAGGGGCTGGCGGGGTGGTGTGGGGGATAGTGCAGTGCTAAGTGGTTTGTGTAGGTTCAGCCGCAGTGGTGGCTATCATGTGGCTCGTTGGGATGAATCATGGGGAGAGCATAGAGTCTTTCCGGTGGGCTCAGTGGAGTTTCATGGCAGGCTCGAGGAACTTTCATGGCAGTAAGATCCAGTAAGACCTCTCCTGCCTGCAACTGCAACTCTCCACCTGGTCCTTGCGGCTCTCTGCTTTCCTCATGATTCCGATCACATGATGGTTGGCATTCGGGGCTAGTGTGTTGTGTTATGTTGATGTTTTTATGTGTTATTTTGCTTTCCAAAGAGGGGAGATCCGAGAATGAGATACAATATGTTGAGTGCACAAGTGGAACACTGGATTGAAATGATTGGTTGTGGATAGATGGGTACAGTAGTCTGTACTAAACTTAATTGATTCGAAGGACTACACCCGAAGGTGTAGTTATCGAGGAAAGCCTTCACTCACCATAATGAGGCGGTTGGTTGGTGAGCAGCACCCTTTTCCGTTCGTGGTGAGTAGCTGGTCCGGTGACTGGCCTGGTCGTCAGATCCCTCCCATGACTGGCCTCTCATGTACAGTATGTGACGTCGACCTACTGAGGCCAGGCCCCACTGAGCTGGAAGCTGCAGTTTTGTTGGGGGATCACACAGTCACGGACGGTCAAGATAACAAGTGGTTTCTCCCAGAGAGTCATTACTGTACAGTACTGTGACGTCCCAAATGCCCGACATCATGCTTACGAATGTCCGATTGTCTGCCCACTCGGACCACTTTAGCCGATGGCAACTTCGAATTGCAAACGGCGTTGCAAAATTGGTCCTCGGTATTGCCATCTCAAAACAGGCAACCCAACTGCTCTCGAGGAGCCAACTTTTATTATCAAACCAAGACCAAGTTGTTGGAGTGACCCTTCCCGAGTTGCTGGAGGGTGATTTCGATTTTTTTTTTTAGAGCACTTGCTCGCTGCCCTCATTGAATGCGCACCAACGGACGCAACCGTTCTTGTCTGTCCTGGGTTCCGCGAAATATCAGACCAGGCCTTTCTTGCGTCCTTCCAACCTGCCTCACTCCCTTCGCTCGTGTTGGTCGACCAGACGCAGATCGCCAGCCAATAGACGAGGACCATGCCCCTGTCGTGGCAGCAGTCCTCAGGTCAAAGCACTGCCATAGTTGGCGCTCCAATTTCCCAAATGCTGAGGTCAGACATCCCAGAATCCACCCATAGCAAGTGCGTGGACCGTTGACACCATTGCTGCCACGCGTGTGTCTAACCAATTAAACAATTCCATGGATGAAACAAAAGTTCGGCCATTATCTCCGATACTCAAATTATGCCCGGAGCGTTTTTCGTTCGTACTCAACCGACAATTTCTCGTTATATTGCTCACATATACTGTTTCATTGTTTTATAGGCACAAAACTGAAACAAAGTTGCCACTAACACCTCACCTGCACATACCCCTGCAAACAAAACAAGATATAAAATGAAACACTTAGATAACCTGAATACACTTTGGGAAAATCAAACATAAATACAGGAAGCTACCAAATATTTAAGGTTGATGCCTTCGCTTTTGCCTGCAGTTTTTTAATGAGTGTTAATATACTTATTGTTCTTTACGAATGTTAAGCTCTGATCCAAGGGCGCGTAGATATGGATTGAAAGATTTCATCTCAAATTTAAAACTGTTGAAGACTTGGTTGGATTTAGGATTCCGTGATTGGTTGGCGAACTACAAAATCTATGACGAGCTGGGGTAACTTTTTTTGCTTCACCAATCACGGGCGAGCAAACCAGCCAAGTGTTAAACGTCAGGGTATAAGTGTAGAACGTTTGTAAATATGAGTCGCGAGTTTTAAGTTCACATCGAAAGCTCAATACAATTTTTCGTAATTTAATGTGGTAACTGCGTTCAGTAACAGCGTTCTGTTTCTATCACATTTCAACAGTATTATTAGCATAGAAAGTGTGATTAAAGAGCGAGAGCCAATCGGCGATGAGGAATACAGGTTGAGTATGAACGAAAAACGCTCCGGGCATAATTTGAGTATCGGAGATAATGGCCGAACAAAAAGTTCATCCACTTCTCAAGTGGACGCACGAGATTGAAATGCACTCCACTTCTCGGGGGTCACGGTGTCGCGATCCGCCTCTGCTTCTCGCCATGCTTGTGTTGCGGGGTGAGATGTGGAATCGTGAAGAGTCAGGTCTCAAGGATTTCCAAGCCATTGTCGGCAGACTCTACATTCTTTCATTTCCATCACTACGTGGAGCATGCTTTATCACAAACCGAAACGTTGGGAAATAGAGCAAGGAAGCGTGACACGTCTTGCCCGTCACAAAACTTCGTTATGAGCATGTCGGTTCCCACTGCGTCGCCGCGGGAAAGCCGTGCATTGTGAAATTGGAAATGCATCTTCAATCTCCATCACTGCTGCTGTTCAGCATTACTCAGTCAGCATTCCAAACTTCCGCACCTAAGCCCACGTTTTGCTGCTCCATCCACCAGAAGAAGCACCGAATCACCCCGTTTCCTTGTCCAGTTAGCTTGCACAGCGCAAGCACAGTCACTTCCGTCCATCACGTCTGTGTTCTGACGGTTGTTCGTAGCTCCTTGCTCTCGATGGATTGCGCCGTAAAGTACGTTGCCTGTGGACCTCCGTCCAAACGGATGCGTCACGGCGGTGTAGCGATACTCGATTCTGCATCCGACGCTATCCTTCGGTCGCCTGATTTTCGCTCCAAAATCGACGGTTTTTTTTCCGACGATGAGCCTCCGATTTCCGCGAACAAAACCGCAACAGACGCCGCACGGAACGGCGATACTGACGTTGATCTGACACTCTCACTCTCGCTCGGTGTCCTCGGGAATAGTAAACAGAATCCACGTCGACAATACGTGGAACCTGAATGCGCCGCATCGGTAAGAAAGAGAAACAATGAGGCAACGGCGCGTTCTGGAAACGTAGCGACGTTGGCGGAAGTCGCGCAGACTACCTGCGCTGTGAGAAGTCGAGAAACAGCCCCGGGCACTACCCGATCCCCCCAGATTGATCAGCGAAGCGCTTCCGGCGGCGGCAATGACTACCATGGTGCTATTAGAAGCATTGTTCCCACAACCGTCAGTCATCCCGGTGCGGCTTGGCTAAGTCACGAAGGTTCTCGTCTCGTCCACGCGGCGCGCGGCGCGGAGGATCCCTTTGCGAGGTTTACGGATCGCTACCAGATCATCTTGGGCGCAGGCCGCGCCATGGAAGCCATTACCGCAGCGGCGGCGGAGTCGGCGCAGATCGCGGCGCCATCGATTAGTTCCGACTCACGTGATAACGCTGCGTGCAATGACCGCGGAGTGTCACTATCAACCAGTAGCGCGGCGCGTGACCGGCCGCATGACGATTCGTCAAACGCGCCAATCGCGACAACGCCAATCATTGGGATGATCCCATCGTCGCAACTTGAATGTTCCTACGAGCATCATGCGGCCTACTCCCATGGTCGTGGGGAGCGTCGGCCCTTTCGAACCGCAAGTCCCATGGTTGTGACGATCACGGGCGGCGCCGCCATTCAAGTTGAAGGCGCTGCCGCTGACGGCGCCATTTCTGTTGGTGTGAATGCATTTGCCGATCATGGCGCCTCGGGCCGCGCCGGTGGGCGAAGTGCGGGTGTGGATAAAGTGCGGTGCTTTCGTGAATTGGCATCGTCTGTTGTCACATGGTCGCCTGACGTGTGGTCTTCGTGCCTTGCCACGGCGTTCCGTACGGGAGCGAATACTGGAGGGCGGAATGGCGGAAACTCAAATGACAAGAGCTCCACGAGTGAGGTGCCGCTGCATCCACGGATAATGAATCCAAGCGGGAATGGTGCTACTAGCGCAATAGCCGCGAGCATTCCTTTGAAGGCTCGCAGGAATTGGAGTTGTAACGATGTCACCCCCACTGCGAGCAGGCTTTTGCCGAGGCAACAGCAACTTGATGGAGTAGGAGGAGCAGCGGCGGCAGGATTGGAGGCGGCTGCTCCAAGGGCAGCAGGCGATCAGACAGCATGGGTGACCTTGGCCTCCGTACCAGCAGCAGCAACAGCAGCAGCCGCTACACCGTCACAGCAGGCGCGGGGAGGAGCAGCAGCAACAGTGCCAGCTCAGCACGCGGCAACGCGAGGTGTGTCGGATCCATGCGGATCAAGAACAGACGGCTTGATGCAGCAGTGCAATGAGATTCTCCAGGAAACGAGCCCTGGTGAGGGACGGAGTGTGTACGACTCACATGCTGACATCTACGCGCGTGCCCTCAAATCCATGGGGGTCAAGACGGGAGCGGAGGTAACTGTGAGGTCTGTGCCCCTTGTGAAATTGAAGAGCCCGCGCTTGGGGGTCCGGAGGGGAGAGCTGGATGTGGGCATGAGATGAGGTAGCGGGATCAAGTCCTGCTGCTGGGAGGAGTGTGAAGATGTCTGTGCGTGTCTGAACGCTGAGTAAAGTGCTCCCATGCAGCTTGGACCTTTCCATCAGTGCTTGTATGCACTGTCTGTTCTGTATCCCGCCCCACTGTAAAAGTTGCATCACTGCTCTAATATCTGACATCCAAGCTGCATTCATGACCCTAGTATGCCCTAGACAATGCCTGGAGTGGACAGAGACACTGCTGGCTGACAGTGCATATTTTGTACCTGGACCATTGCAGAACCACTGCTTATTGAAAGTGCATCACATCATATCACAAAAGCACTGTTGTTTGACTCTGCTCTGTAGCACTGCCACGGACTAAACGACCAATTACCACCACTTCCACATGGTTGTGTCATACGCAGAGAACTAATATCTGCAGTGGTACCGTAACCCTAGCGACTAACTGCATGGTGGGGTACCCTAACCTGACTACCGGTATGCTGTAGGTTCCGGAATTACCGCCGCGCTATGTCCCGTATCCTCCTCAGGCAGAGGCAAGGAATGAAAGAGAGCTGGTGGGTGTCAGAGTGAGTCCAGGTACCTCTGTAACTGGCCTGAGGCTGCAAGGATCAGGCCTGGAGAGAAGAGATGATTCAAGAAGGGAAAGGAAGCAGGGGAGGGAACGAGCAGGGAGGAGGGCGATTACATTCAAAAGTCACGGGCGTCAGAGAGAGTCCAGGTAGCTCTCTAACTGGTCTGAGGCTGCAAGAATCAGGCCTGGTGGTGGGAAGAGATGATTTGAGAAGGGAGAGGAAGGACGGAAGAGAATGAAAAGCAAGCACATGCTTTCTTGTGGACAAAAGGGTGATGACAAGCAAGAGAGTTGGTGGATGGTTGTTGACGCGTGAGATGCCTCAATCAGACTCAATAACGAGAAAGCAAGAGAGTGGACAGGATCAATGTAGATCGCGATGTAGCTCTGATGTAGCTCTCGATGTAGCTCTGATGTAGCTCGTGAAATTAATGAGGGGTTATGTTTTGTACCCTGAAGGCAGAGGCTTTGAGGGCAGGGATAAGGAGGATATGAGGATATACCTTGGGACAAGGAAGAGGGGAATACCTTGGAAGACAGGGGACGGCCTCCCTGGTCTTGACTTGAACTCGGGATGGTATTGTACGGCCAGGAAGTACGGATGCGATGGGATCTCCAAGATCTGACGGTTGGGAGTGGAGGAGACGAACAGGGGTGGAAGGGAGGGAGCAGAGAGTGGTGTGAGGCGGTCGAAATGGTATCTGATCTGAAGATCGGAAAACCGTTCTGGAACAAACGATTCGCTTTCGTCAATGCCCACGCCCGCTAAGTCAATGCTCGGTGCACGCACGCACGTCACAGTCAGCCCAGTTGTATGTGTACTGTCGGGTTACTTCGCCTAAGCCCACGCAACTGCATGCCCTATTCAGGCGCCTGAAAAAACTTTTCATGCGCTCACCTCCATGCGCCGCCCAGATTCGTCCCGGCCGACAAACTGGAGCCCAGCGGCTTCAAACTCGTGGATCATGTCTGGGTTCACCTCGTAGCGGTGCCGATGCCGCTCACTCACACTGCTGCTCGTGCCATACCTGGTGGGTGGGTACAACGGAGCACGATGAAAAGGTGTGCGTGATTATAGCGACTGGTAACTGGGGTGAACGAGCTTCAAACTCGTTAGTCATGTCTGCGTTCACCTCGTAGCAGTGCCGGTGCCGCTCACTCACTCTGCTGTGAGTGCCGTACCTGGCGGGTGGGTGGAAGGCAGGATAGGGGCTTGACGACGATTCACAACAGAGTATGATAACAGTGGTGCGCGTGATCACACCGGCCGATAACAGTGGTATAGCCCCTTCAGCGGTGCCGATGCCTCTCCACTCTGACTGCTGTTGGGTTGACTCACAAGCTTGGCAGATTGGCAGCTCGAGAAGAGCACAGGGCAGCAGGTGCAGTCATGGGGTCACAGATAGGCAGCAGCGTGAGGGGGGCAGGCAGCGGGAGGACTCACAGCTTGGCAGCGAGGCAGTCTGGGGAGTGGAGGACGGTGTCTCGCGCGCCGAGGCGCATGGTGGCGCCCATGTGCGTCTTGGACACCTCGGGCATGAATACTATGCACGGATGCGGTGATGCTGGGTCGAACTCCGTGCTGCTCGCTTTTGTATGCCCCAGCACCTGAACAGGGGAGGGGTGAGGAGGGCAGGCAGGCCGGCAGGAGGGCAGCGAGGAGGGCAGCAGGGAGAGAGGAGGGCAGGCAGTGGGGCACGCATGATGGTGGCAGGGGCAGCAGGGGTGCAGCAGCATGATAGTGGCATGGGATGGGAACGGGCAGCAGGGGTGCAGTGCCGATGCACATGCCCCCATGTGCGTCTAGGAGACCTATGGCACGAACCTTGTATGCACGGTTGTGGTGATGCTGGGTGAAACTGCTTCTGAGTTGACTCAAAAGCACCTATGCACAGGTGTGGTGATGCTGGGTGAAACTGCTTCTGAGTTGACTCAAAAGCACCTATGCACAGGTGTGGTGATGCTGGGTCAAACTTCATGCTGCTCGCCCCTGCACTTCAAAACCTCCAGTGGTGCCTATTTTGAGGCGCCTAAAAAACAGTACCTGGGGCTTAAAGAGGAACACAGGTGCTTACATTCCGGGCGTACTCAATGACGGCGATCTGCATGCCGAGGCAGATCCCCAGGTACGGCACGCGGTTGGTTCGGGCGTAGTTAGCTGCGAGTATCTTCCCCTCCACGCCTCTGTCTCCAAACCCACCCGGCACCAGCACCCCATCCGCTCTCTGTGAGCATTCAAAACAACAGGGCAAAGGAGGTCATGCGCAAGATCAAGTATGGTGGCCGGCAATCATCACTCCAGCAGTTTATTCAGCAGGATGGAGTAAGGACGAGCTCGTAAGAGGTGAGCCTAGCGAACCGTTTGGCCCTCGCTTAACGTATCTGCAAATTGCAAATTGCCCTCCTGATCAACGAATTGCCCTAGCGAACCAGTAAGGGCAAGGCATGATAAACAGTGGCATGTGAGTGCCTCGTGAGTGCATAAACGCTCACCTTCAAGGCTGCCCAGGCTTCTTTATACAGGTCTGGACTCTGGTGGGAGCATGCAGGGGCACACAGGAGGAGGTATAGAAAGCAGGTAGCAAGGGATGGCAGAAACTGTTAGGCTGGAGGGACCTTGAGATCTCAAGGGTTGGATGCAAGTTTGAGATCTCTAACGGTTTGTATTGGCAATCTCACGTGTTGAGGGAAGACGTGAGATTGGAAGCTGTCGGCCTACACTTTTGGCCGTACAGGGAGGAGGGGAGGTGGTGTGAGCGATGGGTGTGACTTTTGAAACTGCTGCATAAGGTCGCATAGGGGATGGGAGGGCCAGCACGCGTACCTCTTGCTTGGCAGCATCCTCCAGGTCAGATGATGCCACCCACTCGATGATTAACTTGCGCCCACACGCCATGGCTGCATGCTGTAGCGCCTGCACTTAGAGAGGGGTGAAGGGAGGAGTGGAAACAACTGGAAAGGAAGCCAAGGGAAAAGAATGTACTGTAAGGAAGGCATGAAAAGGAATGGATAGGCTGTAGCGTGGCAAGCTGTGCAGTGCGTAGCTTGAGCACAGAGAGATAGGAGTCGGATTTTGAGGCGCCTCAAAACTAGAATTCCCAAAAGGCATACCTTGAGCACAGAAAGATAGGAGTCGGATTTTGAGGCGCCTCAAAACTAGAATTCCCAAAAGGCATACCTTGAGCACAGAAAGATAGGAGTCGGATTTTGAGGCGCCTCAAAACTAGAATTCCCAAAAGGCATACCTTGAGCACAGAAAGATAGGAGTCGGAGAGGCCCGTGTACTTGCCCACCATGGCGATGCTCACCTGCATGGTGGTGATAGGGAGGGTGGACAGGTAGGGGAGAACGACAGAAAGGTGGGGGGGTAGAGAGGTGAGTGGAGAGGTAGAGAGGTGAGTGGAGAGGTAGGAGTCGGAGAGGCCTGTGTACTTGCCCACCATGGCTATGCTGACCTGCTCGCATGGCGCACATGGGGGTTTGAGGGTTTGAGGAGAAAGTTGTAGTTGTTTTCTTTTTTTTTTTGCCCCAAAATTTCAGCAAGGACTGTAATGCCCACAATGGTCACGCTCACCTGCTCCTATGGCAAGCAATGGGATGGTGAGGAGGGGTAGAGGTGTGGGGGAGGGAATGGTCACACCAGCAACAGTCACCCTAGCAGATGTTCACACCGGCAGGATAAGTTTCAATTAGCAATAACAACACCAGGAATATTCACCCTAACTATGCACTCACTGTCTCTGTGAGTTCGTCCCAGCTCTTGGCTCGGTGAGCCCATTCCTGGAGCTTAGGCTCGGGAGGCCTGCAATGGCAGTGTGGTGTGGGATGGACATAGGAGAACCGGCTTTGGGCGATGGACAAGTGTGTCAGCCACTCTAGCTACTTGTTTGCATAATGATGCGAGACGAGTCGAGTTTTGAGTCGACTCAAAAATGGACAAGTGTGTCAGCCACTCTCGCATAATGATGCGAGACGAGTGCAAATTAGCATCTATCTAGATCAACATGCGGTGATCCACATGTTGAGAGGTAATTCAGACCCACATGCGGAAGAGCAACCCTGGTTCCGCATGTGGAACCTAAATCACGAAGAGCAACCTAAATCACGAAGAGCAACCTAAATCACGAAGAGGATGGCCGTTTGAGTTACCAGACATGCAACGAGTAACAGGGAAGGGAACGTACTCGATCTGAAACTGCTTGAGAATGGACAGATGGGCACCTTGCTCCTGATAGACGCGAGAGGGAGGCACAGGGGACGGAGGGGTGTTAGAGGAAGAGGGTGTTGACGGGATAGGGAGCACTTTTCGGGCGCCTCAAAAGACTGCTTGAGGATGGACAGATGGGTGCCTTGCTCCTGAGAGACGCGCGCGAGATAGGCACGGAGAAAAGGGGGTTTGAGGGGCAGAGCGAGTTGAGGGGACACAAGGGGCAGAGCGAGTTGAGGGGACACAAGGGGCAGAGCGAGTTGAGGGGACAGAAGGGGCAGAGCGAGTTGAGGGGACAGAAGGGGCAGAGCGAGTTGAGGGGACAGAAGGGGCAGAGCGAGTTGAGGGGACAGAAGGGGCAGAGCGAGTTGAGGGGACAGAAGGGGCAGAGCGAGTTGAGGGGACAGAAGGGGCAGAGCGAGTTGAGGGGACAGAAGGGGCAGAGCGAGTTGAGGGGACACAAGGGGCAGAGCGAGTTGAGGGGACAGAAGGGGCAGAGCGAGTTGAGGGGACACAAGGGGCAGAGCGAGTTGAGGGGACAGAAGGGGCAGAGCGAGTTGAGGGGACAGAAGGGGCAGAGCGAGTTGAGGGGACACAAGGGGCAGAGCGAGTTGAGGGGACAGAAGGGGCAGAGCGAGTTGAGGGGACACGAGGGGCAGAGCGAGTTGAGGGGACAGAAGGGGCAGAGCGAGTTGAGGGGACAGAAGGGGTTGCGTGCGAAGAAGATACGAGTTAGCAGATGTGGGAAATGAGGAGTCGGAAACTTTTCAATGGTGCGACGCCCAAGCAAAGCAGACACTTGTTGCGAGATAAGAGCAAAGCAGACACTTGTTGCGAGATAAGAGCAAAGCAGACACTTGTTGTGAGATAAGAGCAAAGCAGACTCTTGTTGCGAGATAAGAGCAAAGCAGACTCTTGTTGCGAGATAAGAGCAAAGCAGACTCTTGTTGCGAGATAAGAGCAAAGCAGACTCTTGTTGCGAGATAAGAGCAAAGCAGACACTTGTTGCGAGATAAGAGCAAAGCAGACACTTGTTGCGAGATAAGAGCAAAGCAGACACTTGTTGCGAGATAAGAGCAAAGCAGACACTTGTTGCGAGATAAGAGCAAAGCAGACACTTGTTGCGAGATAAGAGCAAAGCAGACACTTGTTGCGAGATAAGAGCAAAGCAGACTCTTGCGAGATAAGAGCAAAGCAGACTCTTGTTGCGAGATAAGAGCAAAGCAGACTCTTGTTGCGAGATAAGAGCAAAGCAGACTCTTGTTGCGAGATAAGAGCAAAGCAGACTCTTGTTGCGAGATAAGAGCAAAGCAGACTCTTGTTGCGAGATAAGAGCAAAGCAGACTCTTGTTGCGAGATAAGAGCAAAGCAGACTCTTGTTGCGAGATAAGAGCAAAGCAGACTCTTGTTGCGAGATAAGAGCAAAGCAGACTCTTGTTGCGAGCAGACTCAGAGACCCTCCAAGATGAAATCACGAAGATAAGAACCGATCCAGGGATGCGAGATGATGCACGTGGCGAGACTCACGAGCAGCAGCAGCGGGATGTGCCAGATGTTCTTCACGTCATGCAGGTTCAGCACGTTTTGCACCTGCGTGCATGCACAGGCGAGCGGCCGGGCGGGCGGGCGAGAGGCATTTGGGCATGAGGGCATGAGAGCATGAGAGCACGCGAGGGCGAGAACACGAAAGAACCATTTGAGAGCACGACAAAGGAACGAAGGCAGGCTCGCATGAGAGTGCACCGTGCGGTGGAGAATGGATTTCCCAGCTACCCTCTCCCGGATTCCCTCCCCCCGTCCTTCCCTTCCCAGCCCCAAACCCCCCGTATTGTGCAGGCAGCGAGACCAACCCCACCCCCCGTATTGTGCAGGCAGCGAGACCAACCCCACCCCCCGTATTGTGCAGGCACCCTGCACCCGTTTGGGGCACCCTGCAGGCACTCACAGGCACGTGGCAGAACTGCGACAGCTTCTCTCGCGTGGATGGCTCCAGAGGCTGGTGAGGGACAAACCAGGGGCGGGGTGAGGGGGAAGGGCGGGGAGGAGGAGGAGCGGGAAGGGCGGGGGTTCGAGGAGCAGAACGAGCAGGGGAGCCATGCGTGCGTGCGTTGTGACCGTGCAGAAAGCGTGCTGGACATGCGTTGTGACCGTGCTGAAAGCGTGCTGGACGTGCGTTGTGACCGTGCTGAAAGTGTGCTGGACGTGTGGTGAGCATGTGAACCTCGGCGCTGCGGCAGGCGAGGAGGTTGGGCATGAGGCCGAGCGCCCTGAGCTCGTTTAAGTCGACTCGGAAATGACCAGATACACCGTGACTGCGGGGGAAGGGGAAGTGTACCTCGGCGCTGCGGCAGGCGAGCAGGTTGGGCATGAGGCCGAGCGCCCTGAGCTCGCGCACGCTGTGCTGCGTGGGCTTGGTCTTCTGCTCGCCCACCACTCCCAGCACCGGCACCAGACTCACGTGCACCAGACACAGATTCTCCTGGCCTGTATGGGTAGAGGGAGAAGATGGGTGAGGAGAGAGAGTAGGGGAGAGAGAGTGGGGATTGACTGAACCTCCCAGCACCGCCCAGCATGATCAGCTAGCACATGCGACCATGCGACCACGCAATTGCACACCACGCTTGCTTGCTCGACTGGTAACCCTGCTTGACATGTAAGCAAGGGACGACATGGACGATAATGATGACGATACGATATGACTAAAAACAAAGGGCAGGACAGTACGCACCAACTCTGAACTGAAACTGACGAAGAGCTTCAATGAAGGGCATCGACTCAATGTCACCTGGGGAGAGAGTCCAGCGGGAAAAAGGGTGCAGGGAGAGAAACGAGCAAACGAGCGAGAAAACATCAGGTGAGAACCAAGGGTGGCAGCCTGGCCTGGGCGAAACATCAGACGATCAACATACATCTGTGAAGGATAAGACCGCCCCACGTACCAACAGTGCCGCCCAGCTCGATGACACAGACGTCAGCACTCTCCCCACTGCCGTCCACTGGAACCTGCGCCACTCGCTCTATCCAATCCTGGATGGCCGTCGTGATGTGTGGTACCACCTGGATCGAAAGAGTAAAGGTTGGGGGGGGGCTCGGAAGAAGGGGGGTGGAGGGCTTGAGGATAAAGGCATCAACTGGCACCTGCGCCACCCGCTCTATCCAGTGCTGGATGGCCGTGGTAATGTGCGGTACTACCTGAGGTGGATAGGGGTAAAGCGATGGGGGAGTGCGGAGGGGTTCAGGGTTTAAGATTGAAGACTTCAACTGATACATGCACCGTGCGCTTGATGTATCCTTGGAGGGCTGTTGTGGATTGAGGCACCATCTGCACGGAAGAGAGGTGAAACGTTGGTTGGGTAGAGGGGGGCGCAGCGAAGGAGGGGAAGATGGATGGTGGGGGTGGGGGAGTACGGACGGGGAGGGGATGGGAGGAGGGTTTTACCCTGATGATTGCTTGCACTACACACTTAAACAAGTTCTGAACGGCCGTGATCGTGTGCGGTGGAAAAAAACAAGAGGGAGGGGGGGAGGGGGATCGGTGGAAGGTGAAGGGGAGTGGAGAGAGGGTTGAGGGTTTAAGGTTGAAGACTTCACGTATGTGTCTCTGATTGGTAGCGCGCAAGTTAGAGTCTGATGTATAGTGATGCCGTGCTTCGGGTTTCGGGTTTTGCCATGATGCAGTAACGGCTTCACGATCTCTGGCTTTGCCAAGCTGGCAGAATGCTGGAAGGAGATGCTCTCATGTCCCGCAATGCTGATGGAATCTATGAAGATTAAGGCAGGACTGCGTACACGCGCGTTACTCCAACGGCGATACTTTGACAGACCATTCCAATGACTCGTGCCACCCAACCGTCAGCAAAGCAGATGCTCGTTGCTCGAATGCAGATTCGGAATGGTAACATGCTGTGGATTGCTGTGGATTGCTGTAATCGTATTTACCTGGACGGTTTTGCCGAGGTAGTCACCACGCCTCTCTCGTTCAATCACGGACTGCCACGTGGGAGGAATCAGGGTTGGAAGGGAAAGACGAAACGATGAAATGAAACGTTCGCACAACGCTTCTGACGACTATTTCACGAGATTGGTGGAACCAAAACGACCTTACGGGCTGATCGACGACTTATGGGAGGATGTGCCAAGACAAGGCAAAGCACGGCAAGCCAAAGCAGGCCTACCTGATAGATCTTGCCAGTGGTGATGTTGTTATCTCTCGTGAGCGTTATGTCAAGAAATCTCTCGTAGTTCCCCAAGTCCAGATCGACCTGAAGCACGAGGATACACGGACATGCATAAGCCAAAACTTTAGCCGCTTCCGTGCATGCCATCCTTTAAAAGCCAAGCTTGATGATCAGCGAGACCCGATTCTGCCACTGAGATGTCAATGCGTCGCCACTATTTCTTGAAAAAGAAAGGTTAAAAGTTCTTTCTTGCACCAAATAGAGGTAAATAAACCCTCACCCCTTGAAACACCCTGACAACCTGAGACCCTCGAACTCTTCTCACCTCTCCGCCGTCGTCCAGAACAAACACTTCGCCGTGCTCGAATGGCGACATTGTCCCCGCGTCCGTATTGATGTACGGATCTGTGAACATTTGCGATAACGAACGAACCAGGCAAGAAGTTACCACGGTGCTGGCTTCGGATCTGGTGCTGGTTATCAGCAACCGCTTAAACTGGCAGATAAACGATGCTACTTCTCGTGTAACTATGACGATAGCATTCATACAATTCGTCAAATCCATCACGACACTTTTCGTACCGATCTTGATCGAGGTGACCCGGAGGCCGCATGCTTTAAGAACAACACCAATGCTGCTCGCTGTGACTCCTTTTCCCAATCCGCTCACGACACCTCCAGTCACCACCACGTATTTCGTCTTTCCCATAGCTCGTTACCAGCGGTAATGAAGCTGACACCTTGGCTTGCCGAGTCTAAGATGTAAGCCACTACACTTCGCGTTTCAGATTACACGATCAACAGCTGGTGCGCACAGCTACCACTGATAAAGCTGATCGTTTATTCAATACTAGGAGCTCTTTAGTTCGGGTCTCATAAACCGGAGCAGGGTGATGGATGCGGTACGTGGTAAATGAAGCTAGAGGTTCTGCGAGTAAATGTTTATGCCCCTGCTGGGATCGTTGCAGGCACGACACAGAGATCAGCGCACCCAGTTGACCCTGTAAGGGCGTGTACGGGCAAGTTTGGTTCCTAGTTGATCACGGAGGTTCTCTGCTCTAAAACGACGAAAACCAAATGAAAAGTGCATTCTCTGTGCTTGGGAAAACAACCCCTCTATCAGCCCCATTCCCACCATATGCCTAGGAACCGTCATTTGCAATACCCAAAACCCAGCCAATCTCAAGAAAACGCCTCAGGCGGGGAGGGGCATCGACACGGCGTCTTTATGACTCGCAACCAGCCAAGCATAAATCTGATAAGGCAGCTTGTAAAGAGTACACCTGAGATGGATAACTTTCACTTTGTACTGTAAAGAGCCAGCTTCTACGAGTACGCACTTGAAAGTTTGGGAGAGCTGTCGCAAGGCTTGATTCGTAAGGGCGTGGAACATTTTTACGAACACGTAGAATGGTCGAATTGTCGGTTGCTTCTGGCGATTGCGAAGCATTTAGGGAAACCCCACCGTGTGACATGCCCAGTATTCACCCTCACTCGACCGAATGTCAACGGTATTTCCCGTAGGATTTTTGTCACCCAAACCTACACTGTCCAGAGAAGTGGGACAACGTTTAACTTCGATTGTACCCCAAAAGTGTTTTCCAGCCCAACTCTACTTGCAAAACACAACTTTCCGCTCCCCTCGAGGTTCCACACCCCTTTCGAATGCTTAAACTAGTATCGGATGTTTTTTCTTAGTGGGGGTAGTTATTAGTGGGTGCCCCGCGTTCTGGCGAACAGAATAGCTTAAAAATCTCGCATCCTTCGCATCTCTGTTACACTCTTCGCAATCGCCAGATCCAACCATACGAGCGACCATTTGGCATGGTCGGAAAAATGTTCCACGCCCGCTATGTTTTGTCAGAAGAACGACAGGAAAAGGTCGATTTGCGTGAACGCCTTTTTCTTTCATGGGCATCAACAAATAAACAAATGGACGGGTTGGCCTCGACGAACCGGTGGCAAAGTGATGGGTAAACAAAATCAAAGCTGCTGTGATAGGATTCTGGCATCAAACTACAAGCAGGTTACCTGCCAGCCCGTTGGTTTGCCCTTGCCACGGTTTTCCCCCGCTGTACCCCGTCTTCGACTGTAGCCGCTATCCGCCCGCCCCACCTGTGCCCCACCCCCTCACACGAACGACGGGGAGACTGTTTCATGCATTCACCGCTGCAGATCCCAATCTCGGCTTCTTTCGTCTGCCCGCAAAACGTCAAGGGGGCACCTCCCAGTGGCATTGCTGCTGCACATTCACCGACAAAGTCCAAAGTCCAGACCCTTCCACTCATCCTGGCGTGGGCCAATCCCCTTTCGGTTCAACTTTCGTTTCATCCTCCTGCCAGAGAAGCGATGGATGAGATCCGTCCATCCTCCACTCCTGCCCTCCAGTCCCAGAGAGCAAACCCGCCAGAGCAAGCAAGCAAACCCTCCCTGCTCTGCACACACAACCGCCTCGTCTCCCTGCGGACATCAAGCAAACCCTGGTCCTCACGCCATCAAGCCCATCCACACGCCATCAACACTGCCAACCGTGATCCTCGTGTTCACTTTCTGCTTACTGATAATCTGCTGGCCCTTGGGTCCTCGTTCCTTGATTCGCTTAGTCAGGTTATAACTTAATTCGACGTAGTTACTCCTTAGTTGTCGTGTGCTCTAGGGTTTCATTCCGTGACTTTTGGTGTTGTTAGGCAAATAATAAACGACGTGCGTGTAGCAGGAACGTTCGATAGTTACTAAGAGCCTCGCCGTGCGGTCTTAGACATTCATTTATTTTTCCACGTGTTTGCAACGAAGTCGCGGCGCTTGCGACCATGGTTATATTACGGCAGACGCTTAGGAGTTTATGTTCCCCAGATGGATGGACCTATGCAGTGTTCTGGAAGCTCAAGAGACGTAACAGAATGTACGTTGGGGAATTTCCCGTCCTTGCAGGTTTTTCCAGCAGTCTCAGCAATATCGTGTTAGCTAACGTGTCTTCCTAACATTTGGTTCAGGGTCTTGACTTGGGAGGATGGATATTTTTCGATGGATACCCCGGGAGCGATTCAGAAGGATCAGAGTGCAGATATTAGTAGCATTGACGGAAATGTGCTCGGCATGGCGGTCGCGAAGATGTCTTATCACATATATTCGTTCGGAGAAGGGTGAGCACGAGTTCGTTTCGTGTCCAGGTTTCCTTCGTGTCCGTGTTTTTTGTTTCTCAACTCAATGTCTTCGTCCGCTCGTCTCTCGATACTTAGTCAGCGCCTGACTGTTGCGCATCATGGGGACTGGAAAGTCTGTTGTTACCACTGACGACTCAATCCATCCTACCGTTTGTTCTGCTTCCAGAGTCGTGGGAAGAGTGGCTTTCTCTGGGAAGCATCAATGGATATTCGCTCCACGATCTCAAGGAGCCTCAGGCATGGACTCTCGCCACGGGTTCTCGTCCATGAAGGGATATGGAGGCTGCACGGGTGTTGACAAGGTGTGTATCTAACTTCCATACGTAGCTGAAATCTAATGCAGATTTGGTTGGTCGTGTCGTTGTACTTCGCGGTGTTTCTGACGTGCCTTTCCTTGTGTTCGTACTCCTTCCAGTATCCATCCGGATGGGATGATCAATTTGCTGCTGGAGTGAAGGTGCGTACCATAGATTCCGTTTGAAATTCGTGAGCTGATTGCTGCTTTTAGCCCACTAAAGCTGCGAACCTGTTGTTTCTGACCTGACAGACTATTGCTGTCATCGCCGTTCCGGAGGGAGTCTTGCAACTCGGCTCCAGTCGATCGGTCAGTCTTGAAACCTGTTTCCGCCAGTGTTTTTTTTTTTTTTTCTACTTGGAAGTTCCATGTTAACTCTCGCCGTCTCTCCGTGTTGCGCAGATGCCAGAGGACTTAAAGTTTGTTTCTCACATCCGCTCTCTCTTCGCGGCGCTTCAAACAGTCCCTGGAGCGTTTCTATCCGATCTCTTCACGGAGAATGCCCTGAAAGCGAAATCCTTTCCCACGCCTGACGCGACCGCGCTTGCAGCCGCCGGATTTCCTCCCGACATCGCCGCGTCTCTTGGCAATCTCAACACGCAGTCCAATTTCCCCGGCGTCTCCTTCCCCGGTGCTTTCAACCGTCGTTCTCTCCAGCCCAACCTACAAAGCCTACAGATGCCTGCCCTAGCAGCTGCTGCTCCTGCAGCTGCTCCTCCAGCTCCATCTCGTCCGTTCGCTGGGAATCCTCTGGCCGTCTCCTCGCCGTCGGATCTCTTCCGCATTCTCGGAATCCCTTCCGACTGCCGCGCCGATGACCAGAACGCCTCTCAGTTCCTGGGCTCCGCGTCTCTGAAGCTGCCAGCGGACCCGAAGCAGGAAGCAGCACCTTCCTCCGACTACCCGAGCACCGCAAAGCGAGTGAAGGTCGCACCAGAGAGGACGACTCGAGCGTCCGTCGCCATTAGCCAGATTCAGCTCAACTTCTTTGACTCGGACCTCCCTCTAGGCGGAACTCCAATCGTGTCAAACCCTCCTCTTCCCTCTCATTCGTTGAATCACAGCCCCGTGGAGCGCACGTCGCTGCCGTCCAGACACTCGTCTCCCACGGAAGCTTCCGCCCACGTGCTCGGCCCGTCTGGCGAGCTGCTGGGTAGAGCAGAGGCGGGAGCGGGGGCGGGGCCGGGAGCGGGAGCGGGAGCGACGAAGCGGAAGGCGGTGGTGGATTTGGAGAAGGAGCTTTGCATCTTCCACAATCAGATCCTTAACGACCCCTCGCCGTCCCTCGCCAACCTCCCTCCCTCCAATCTCCCCTCCGCCAATCTCCCCTCCGCCAACCTCCCCTCCGCCAGCTCCGCCGCGCAGAAACCGATGGCGGCGGGCGCTGCTGCTTCGGGGGTGGGGTCAGTGTCCGAGCGTGCGTCTGCGCGGAGAAGCCTTGGTGTTGCCGGCGGCCTGGCGGGTCTGGACGAGCAGCTACTCGCGGGCATGACTGCTAGTGGCATGACTGCGAGCGGCATGACTGGGGGCAACATGACCGCGAGCGGCATGGCTGGCAATCGGAACGGGAACGCTGCTGCGCGGGCGTCTCAGTTCAACAGTTCCGGCGGTGCAGCGCTGGGATCTTCGTCCGCGTTTGGCGGCGCAGATGAGCTCGCGCAGGCCCTGGGGCTGCACTTCACAGGGCAGTTGCCCGTTGACTTGGCTGACTTGGCTTACCTGGATAACTTGGCGGACATTGGCGCGAACCAAGTGTCCGCCAACGGTCAGATGAGAAGCGCAATGAGCCGCGGGGTGTTCGACCAGGCAGGGGCTGTTGGAGCCGCTAGTCGCGGTGCTGATGCCGGTGGCTCACGGGGAGGGTTTCCCATGGCTTCTGGCCCGTCCGGCCCGCCGCAGCCGCAGAAGCTGCAGCACAGGGCTGGGGTGGCCCCTGCTGCCGGTAGTACTGTCGGATTTGACGAGCTGAGTGGGTCGCTGAGCAGGGCAGGTGCAGTGAACGGCGGTGTAGAGGCGGGGATGGGAGGGGCGGGAGCGGGGATGGGGACCAGCCTGGCGGAAATGGAACGGATGGCGACTCTGGAAGCGCTCATGCGGACCTCAGGGATGCTGCCTCGCCTGAGCCTCGCTGAGCTGCAGCAAAGCCAAGTCCTCAGCACCCACAATTCCGTGGCCGGAGCTGCTGCTGCTGCAGCGGAAGCGGCTAGTGCAGGGATGGCATCAGGCGTTAAGGTTGGGGGTCTCCCAGGGCTTCAGAGCAGGGCGAGCGTTGCTGGGAAGGCTGCGGGAGATGGTGGAAGAGGTGTGAGAAACGTAGAGCCTAGTGGGAAGGGCGTGTTCAAGTCTGAGACTGCGCTCAAGGCCTTGCCAGATCGGTCGGCAAACGCTGGTGTGCATGAGCTCGGTGTGCCAGAGCTATGTGGTGGTGGTGCTGCTGCGGCTGCAGCTGCTGGGAAGGAGGAGAAGAAGGGGACGAAGAAGAGGGGGAGGGAGGAGAAGCCGAAGCAGAGGCCTCGTGATAGGCAGCTGATTCAAGATCGCGTCAAGGATCTCCGAGGGATAGTCCCCAACTCCGAAAGGGTATGTTTGGGCTTAGATGGGGTCTGTCTTTTCATCTATGCTCCTGCCTTGATTTGGTGCTCTAAGTTGACTAATTAATTTATTGTATTCTTGCAGCTGAGCATTGATGGACTGCTGGAGCGTACAATCCAACATCTTGTGTTCCTGAGGGAGTTTTCCGCTCTGCGTGCAGACATTGACAAAGGCCAAGCCATGCTGGTGAGTTATGTCCCTAGGTTCATGATTGCTTCATCCCTCCTCTGTGCTTCACGTTGGATGACTAACACGGTTTTATTTTTGTGAGCAGGCGGATAAGAGTTTTGATGAATGTATGAGTGAATGCCCGGTGTCCGTGCAACAACTCTCGCCAACTCTGGTTCAAATCAAGGTGACTACTTTCCAAGTGTTTCATTGTTCACCATTGTAACAACATTGTCCAGGTCAGCTCAGCAGTGTGTTGATGTCTCATTGTGCAGGTCGAGTGGATTGGTAGCACTGTGCCGATTGACCTTGCTGATGGTCTTCGCCAAATTGGGCTGGTGGTTCGCAAGTCATCAGTCAAGTCCACTGGTGGCCGTGTCAAAGCACACATCATTGCTGAGGTGAGTCTTGCATTTCCTGATAGTGTTTCCTGTCCCTTTTCTGCGACGTCAGTTGGTAAGACACAGAGGTATCGTGTGTTGTACTATATTGGGGGATTGAAGTTATTACCCTCTTTTTTTGGGCAGTGCAAACAACTTGTGGAGCGAATGGACATCATGTGGCATGTTCTCCAGCATCTGAAAGATAAGCTGCCAGATATGGCCAGTGTGCTTTCTGGGACAGAGAAGCAGGTGGAGACAGGGAAGGTAGATTCTGTCTTTGATCCGGCAGATTCGTGCCGTCAAGTGGTGTATCAAGTCAGGGTCATGTCAGCTTGAAATGGCTTGGTCCAAGCTTTCGTATGTTCAGCTCTTCTACCTACCAAGTACCATATCATTCCTGGTTTTGCTGATGTCCTTTTGCAGAAGATTAATTTGATGTCAGATGTATCCTGAGTAATGTATAGGATTTACAGATAATCTGATAGGGATCTACAGTTTGATGCCACTGCTATGGTACCCGAACTGGTGCAAGTGGGACAGTTTGATTATCACTTAACCATAACTTTCTTGTATCAATACATACACCTGTATAATTCAGTCAAACATTCAGAGAAACATTCAGCTTTTGGTCACCATCAGGCGCTTGATATTGGCGATCTGTTTTCCTGGATTCAATCCCTTGGGACACGATTTGGTGCAGTTCATGATGGTGTGGCAGCGGTATAGCTTGAATGGATCATTCAAATCATCAAGCCGCTGCTTGGTATACTCATCACGGCTGTCCATGATCCACCTGAAACCTCCAGAAGAAACGAAGACCAATGTCACCTTCAGACGCAGGACTACCAATAAATCATTGAACCAAAACAGAAGAGAGAGAGAAAGAAAGAACGAAAATGAAGGAGAAGAAAAAAAGGCACAATGATCAAACGACTGGCTTGGGTTACAACACCTGTTGGCATTCAGAAGCGCAGACGGTCCGAGGTACTTCTCCGGGTTCCACCAGTAGCTGGGACACGAAGTGCTGCAGCACGCGCACAGGATGCACTCATACATGCCGTCAAGCTTAGCCCGGTCTTCCTTAGTCTGAAGAAACTCCTTGCCATCTTCCGGCAGCTTCTTGGTCTTCAGCCATGGCTCGATGGACTTATACTGCTGGTAGAATTGAGTCATGTCAACCACGAGATCTTTAATGACAAACATATGAGGTAACGGAGTGATTGGAATAGAAGCTCCTGGAGATGCTTCGATCTTGGTGAGACAGGCGAGGCCGTTCGCACCGTTGATGTTCATCGCGCAAGAACCGCAGATCCCTTCCCGGCAAGATCTGCGGAACGCGAGAGTCGGGTCGAGCTCGTTCTTAATCTTAAGCAGGGCGTCAAGAATCATGGGCCCACATTCCCTGGTGTCAATGGTGTAAGTCTGAAGACGAGGCTTTTCGTTGCGGTCGGGATCCCATCGGTATATCGAGAACTGTTGCGGGCCCTTAGATGCAGCGGCAAGCGCGGGGGCCGATCCGCTCACGAACGTCCTGAAAGGAAGCTTTCCTGACGCAACCGACTTAGCGTTCTGCCGCGCCAGGCGCGCAACAAGGCCTCCCACCGTCATAGCGTCCCAGGAGTTGAACGAAAAGAACGACCTGCGAGCACGACCCTGAAGATCCTACCGATGTCGTCCTTAGCTCGGCACGGCACGCTATGGAGTAGGTACAACACTACCAACAACACCTAGTTTCTCGGGTTGGCTGCTGATTGGTATGTTGGAAGTTCCACGAAATCTATACCTCCCTTTGATGTGTAGGGGAGTCTGCGCTGGCAATGGATATTCGCTTAGTTGGCTGATAAAATGCACCAGGGGAAGGAAAGGACCTGTTTCCACTGCGAAGAGCCCAACGTCCACTGGAAAGGCGAGTACAGTATCAGTGTAGAGTGCGAAGGCCCTAGCTCGCTCGGAAGGCTGCCACGCCAGCACATGGTGACGAGTTCGAGAGTGCGTTAGATGAAGCCTCGTTTTATTGCGGGCCAGCGACTGGAATCACAACAGTTACGACGGTGGATATGATGCATGTTATAGAGTATTCTATCCTCCAAAAGAAAAACCACTGGAATAACTAGTCTCTGAATTATAGGGAGACTATTATAATACCAAAAACTATTTTAACCAAAAACTATGTTAACAGAACCGCCAGTACGTAGGATTGGTTTTTTTTTCTTTATCATTAAGGCGCATCCAAATCAGAATCAAATTTAACCACACATCTCAAGACTAATATAAATATCTTAATGTCATACCGTAATCTCCCGGATACAGTATTCCCCCGCGGAGAAGACCCTGGGTCCTCTTTCCAGACCAAGGGTCTTTTATTCCGAGCTGTTCTCGTGAGGACCCCCCTTTTTTAAATAAATATTTTAAGACCCCCCTCATTTGTCAAACTTTCGAAAAAAATGTTATATTCTTAACGAATCTTGGGGATTTCTGGTGCTCGGCTGACTCCTCATCGGGCACAAAATGGTGACGTGAGTCAGTTTCGCGTCAAATTCCAGCTAGGATTCGATTTTGCGCGGATTTTACTGTTCAGATTCGAATCCGCGTCAGGGAAAGAATTGAACACCCTCGGTAAAAGCCTGACTTTCTAGTGTTATGAGTGAATACATTGTGCTCTATGAATTTTTTATGTGTTCAGTGGTCTTAATAAATATGCCCCTTGGTATTGTTCACCCAATCAAGTTTCACAACATTTTTGATAAGACCCCCGTGTCCTATATACGGGAGATTACGGTACTTCCCTCAAGTATAATCATTCTAATCCTCTCAGAAACTACTGTAATAGGTGCATTCCTATGTTGACGCTTCTTTAGAACTCCACGTCACAAACGCTTGTAAATATTCTTAATTCTCCAAATTCATGAACATATAATGCAAAGAGTTTTTGCAAAGTTCTGTGTTTAGAGTACGCTAGAAACTATATAGACATCTTGGAGATTTTTTATAAAGGTGGTAAACAATTCATGGCATGCAATTGGATGTGAAAGTATTACTATAGCAAAATCCATCTCTATATACAAATATGAGGAAATCCACAATCACGGTAATCAAGCATGATTGATGTATTATATGCAAAATTGATGAGTTAGATTAATTTTAACAAAGGGATGCAGGCAGAACTAATTCGAATGCCTGTATTTAGGCAAACGTTTTACACATTGCTCTGGGTAGAAATGGAAGAATAGAGTGATGAACCCCGCTCTGCTGGACTGTTTGTATCGAAGAATGTTGGTTGTACCGAGATTGGTTTGGTTTCGAGGCTTTTTTGATAACTTGTTCAGCCGATCGGCATATCAGCAACAGTGAATCAGCTGTCGTGGTCCACATACTGCAACAAGTTTTGTTTTGAGCAGAGGGCGGAGCAAGAAAACCACAGAGCACATCTGCTGCGCTGCGCCGAAACCATGCCAGACAGAGAGAACCAGTTGACGCTTGTGCGGAAGGAACCTTTCGGGCTATGAACGCAACGCAACGGAAATCACGGTTCTATCGGACGGACATTGGACAGTTTGAGCAGCTTGGGCCGTGCTGGCTCTTCCACCAGAACGTTGGTGTTGGATGGGCCCCCTCAACAGTCTCCAATTTCGGAGGCGAGGGTACGGCACATCATTGCGATGGTTTGGCCTACACTCTGTAGAGAAAGTTTGGTGGCGCGGCGGTATAGATGAGAGCAGGGCAGCTGCCTTTGCCGGACTGCCTCAATGAAGTGCCCGAAAATACACTTGAGGTGTTATTATACTCTTTTATCAGCCGTGAGAATTACTTGGACTAAGGCTTGCACTGATAATGAGGGTCAGCTATTTTCACAGGCTCGCAACAGTATACTGTGCCACGGGACCAGCATGACCTCAATGTTTCTGGGATAAGTTGCGAGCTGTCCTACTTGTGTGACATTCCATTCCTCCCGCCTCGCCCAATTCGCCTTGCTTGCACCCTTGCCTCCGTCCCTTCCGCCCTTCCTTCCCCCTTCCCTCAGCCCTCCACCTCCCTCTTACCCATTTGCTTGTCAACAGAAAGTCAAGGAACCCAGAGATCGCCGCGTTTCACCGTACTTGAACCAGATAAATCCCATCAGATCGCATACCACCCTATTTTCAAGGAAAGGCGGTTCTGTGGCGAGCCACCTCTCCCCTGGACTAAATCGGAGCCAGGCACAGATACTGTGAAGCAGACCATTTTACGTACCTGATGCCCTCCGTGCATGAACTTCTGCTCTAATTGAGACGAGTATACGTTCATCTTCCAACTGATTTAGCCAACCGATGGATCAGTAATTTTTGCTGTCTGACATCTTTTGCGTTCGTAAGCGCTTAGACTCTGGGCTATTTGCAGCAATTTAGGATATTTCAACCAACGTGGATCGACCGCTTTTTGCGAGCGACACGCCGTTTTGGCTCTTCGAGCTTGAGCCATGTCGTCGTTAAGTCGAGAACTTGTGTTTCTGATACTACAGTTTCTCGATGAAGAAAAGTTCAAAGAAACCGTTCACAAGTAAGAGCTCTTAGTGACCTGTTTAAGATCTTACCTTCAGAAGTCAGAGCACAGTGCGTACGTTTTTCGTCAAGCGCACAAAATTATTTCCGAAGTATGTATGGAAAAAGTATATATCGTGTGAGTAGGCATTTCAGGTTTATTTATACCCCTCCACCCGTTATACCCGCCCATCGGTTAACCGACGCAGGCTCGAGCAGGAATCGGGTTTTTTCTTCAACATGAAGTATTTCGAGGACCAGGTGGTGGCTGGCGAGTGGGAGGAGGTGGAGCGCTACCTCGCGGGTTTCACCAAGGTCGACGACAATCGCTACTCCATGAAGATCTTCTTCGAAATCAGGAAGCAGAAATACCTCGAAGCGCTGGACAAGTGCGTGGTTTGCCGCCCTCGGTGCATCGAATTGTCGCTCCCGGCGTTGATTTCCGCCGTTTTTAGTCATCCCCGTTTCAGATAGTCGCTTCGGTTAAATGAGTCGCGATAGGTAGGAATAATGGACGCGCAGTTTGATTATGCTTTCGAAATAAGTCGCGACGGAGCGGGGACGACATGTCTGACGTCAGCGGTGACGTCACCATGTCTGAGCCACGCGTGTAACCGTTAAGACCTAGACTGTGCTTTCGGGTCACAACGCGCTCGTCCGTCAATTCACATCCTCGCGATCGTCTTTTCGTCTTCGAAATTTATTGTTTCGGCTATCTCCATTCCCTGTTTGATTTCGCGCGTGGACCAGTGGCCTTTGCTGGCCTTTCGTCCCTCCTGTCACTCCGCAATTATTGCATTTAACTTATTACGACATTATTGTATCCTCCCATGCTCGCCCGTCCGATCTCAGGCAAGATCGAGCCAAGGCTGTCGAGATCCTGGTGAAGGACCTCAAGGTTTTCGCGTCGTTTAACGAGGAGCTCTACAAGGAGATCACTCAGCTACTGACGTTGGACAATTTCCGGTGCGTTTTCGCTTCTTGGGTTATTTAAGGTCCGTTCCGTTTCACAGCGCGGTTATTCGGACTGCGCCTTGGTTAAAGTCCGTTTTGTTTTGTAACGCGGTTCTTTGGGCAGCGCCTCTAGCCGTTAGTCGACTGTCAACAACCATGATAGACGTTCTTCATCGTTTTCAACGCTGGTCACCACCAGTAGTACTTGTCATACCTGACTCTGGTAGATAGCATGCATTTCCGTCCAGTCCTTGGTGCAGCCAAGCCTTCCCTCAACGACCATCGGCTTTCCCACCACGTGTATGATTGCACGCATCCGACGTTTTCTCGCCCCGCCTCGTTCGCCGCGTCGATCCCCCCACCCCACCCCCTCCTCTCCTGTCTTCCTTCCGTTCCGCACAGCCGTTTCCGCATTGCGCATTGCGCGTTGTGCAGCGAGAACGGAACGAACAGCTGAGCAAGTATTGGGACGCCGAGTCGGCGCACAACGTCATGCTGCTGACCAACTCCTTCCTCCCTCCCTCCCTCCCTTGTCCTTCCAAACCTCTTACCGCATTACATTGCGTGCACTGAGCTGCAGGGAGAACGAGCAGCTGAGCAAGTACGGCGACACCAAGTCTGCGCGTACCATCATGTTGCTGAGAAGTTTGCTTCCCCCTCCCCTTCCACCTATACCCGGCTCTGTGCAGCGAGAACGAGCAGCTGAGCAAGTACGGCGACACCAAGTCAGCGCGCAACATCATGCTGCTGGAGCTGAAGAAGCTGATCGAGGCCAACCCGCTCTTCCGCGACAAGCTGCAGTTCCCCAACCTCAAGAACTCGCGCCTGCGCACGCTCATCAACCAGAGGTGCGTTCTCAGTCGTCCAAAAGGCAGCACCTGCAGTTTTCGAACCTCAAAAACTCGTGCTTGCATGCTTACCATCCAGAAGCGGGGTTGGCCGCGTCCCTCTCCTGATGCGTTCTGTCAGAATAGAGACGCCATGACAACGCGCTGTGCGACCTCGTGTTCTCTTTGGGAACCACCTAGCTCAGACGAACAGCTCCTTGGCGGAGAGATGATGACAGCGCGTCCTCATGAGCTTACCTACACTTCCTGGCCTGTCATGACCATGCTAAGTAACCTGCTCTCTCTCCCTTCCTCTTTCCCTCCCTCCCTCCCTCCCCATCCCCTGTCCCCATTCCCACCAGTCTCAACTGGCAGCACCAGCTGTGCAAGAACCCGCGCCCCAACCCCGACATCAAGACCCTCTTTGTGGACCACACCTGCGGCCCTGCTCCCAACGGCGGACGCACACAGCCGCAACAGCCTGCTCCGCCCAACTCGCTTCTCTCCGCCGTTCAACAGCAGCAACAACAGCAGCAACAGCAGCAGCAGCAACAGCAACAGCAGCAGCAGCAGCAGCCGCCCAAGGCCCATCCGTTTCCCCTGGGGCCGGTTGGCGTGGGCGTGGGCGTGGGCGGGCATGCGGTGAGTCTAGGGATAGGATAGGACCCTGGGGGGTTGGGAGGTTGGAGATGAGGTGTGGTGTGGTGGTGGGACCGTGACGGTGCCGTGGTGTTTGGTGTGGTGAACGTTCTGGTGGTGAACAGACAAGAAAGTGCCTCCTTTCCCTTGCCTGCAATGCTGTGCCCACATGCATCCAATGTTCAACCCTCTCCCTTCTTCTCCTCTCCAACCTTTCTCTTCCTCTCCCCTTTCCCCCCCTCTTCCCCCTTTCTCTTCCCCTCCCTGCCCCCCCCTCCACCACGTCCTTTGCTCCCGCTCCTGCAGCAGCCACTGCAGCCCTTCCAGCCCGGGGGGCCATCCGCCTCCACACTGGCGGGGTGGATGGGCGGACAGCCGCCTGCAGCCGCGCCTCCCCCCCACGCCGTGGTGCCTCCCCCTCCTGCCAACATGCCCCCAGGGCCCAACCCAGGTGCGTGCCCGCTGGTTTCCTTGTGTGATCCACTGCAGCTCGTGCTCGTGGGTTAGTGCAGCACACCGGTGCCATACCGTCACCCCGTTTCTCTCTTACCCGTTTGTGTGTTTGTGCTTGCTGTCGCTTCTTTTCTGCTCCGTCGCCCTATTCCCTCTTCCCCCTTCCCCCTTCCCTCTTCCCCCTTCGCCTGACCGTTTTCTCTGCCAATGGTTCCTGCCCGCCGTCTTCCCTGTCCACGCTGTGTGTTCCCACCGCAGCGATGCTGAAGCGGCCGCGCACGCCGCCAGGCAACCCAGTGGCGGTGGAGTATCCAGGCACAGGGGACTCTGATATGGTTCTCAAGCGCCCCAGGGGCGGCATGGACGAGGTGAGCTGCTGCAGGACTTGAGGGCGTGGGCGGGGTGAGGTGAGGTGCTCTTGAGGGGTGGGGTGTGGCCGAGGTGATGTGTGTTCGGGAACAGAGGACTCGGGCATGGTGCTCAAGCGCCCCAGGGGCGGCACGGACGAGGTGAGGGGCTGGTTAAGGCGTGGGCAGGCAAAGTGAGGCGTTGTGAGGGGTGTGGCGAGGTGAGGTGCTCTGGTTGTGTTCAATAGGCATCTTGAGTGTCTTGGCTCATGGCATAGCCTCATTGGGCACAATCTTTTTCCTGCCTCCAGTGACTTCTCTCCCTCACTCCACTTTCCCACCTTCTCCCAACCCCACCCACTCTTCACCAGGTCTACGGCCAAGTCCCGCCCAATCAGCAGCCGCCACCTGTCCCAGGAGCAATCCCAGGCCCGCCAGTACCAGCAATAGGAGGCAACGTAGCAGGGGCAGGCCTGGGAAGCGCCGTGACCGCCGCCGCCGCCGCAGCAGCTGCAGCAGCGGCAGCGGCAGCTGCAGGGGGACAGGGGCCAGTGGCGCTAGGAGCAGGGGTGGGGGGGGCGGGCGGGTATGCAGTGGAGGATCTGCCCAAGACGATCGCAAGGAATCTGAACCAGGGCTCGTGTGTCATGACCATGGACTTCCACCCCTACCAGCCCACTCTTCTGCTCGGTACAGCTCTCCTATTGAATCCCTTTCTCCTTCAAATGACCCGCCCACCGTTTTCCATGCGTTTATTCTTTCGCTGCCTCCTGCATCCCATTCCCTCCCTCGGACTTTCCTGTCATGCCTTCATTTCGCCCTTCCACCGCGCGGGCTTTGCTGTCGTGTGCTGCTGTCCTAGTGCGCCACTGTATCGTTCTCTCCCCTTAATCCTGACTGACTGGCATGGCCACCCTTTGTGTTTTCCTTTGGCTTCTTGTGTGCATCTCTGTATACAAGTCTCTGCATGTGTGAGTGTGTGGTGTGTGTGCGTGCGCATGTGTGCACGTGTTTCTGCATGTATGTGTACATGTGTGTGTGTGTGTGTGTGTGTGTGTGTGTGTGTGTGTGTGTGTGTGTGTGTGTGTGTGTGTGTGCATGTTCATTGCGAGCATGTGTGTGAGTGTGCATGCTTTCTTGTATTCACGTCTGTGTGTACACGATATGCATGTCTGTGTGCATATGTGCGTGCATGCGTGCATGCTTGTGTGGGAGCAGTGGGCAGCAACACGGGGGACGTGGCCATATGGGAGGTGGGTTCGAGGGAGAAGGTGGTGGACCGCCCATTCAAGCTCTGGGACCCGCAGCAGTGCTCGCCTCAGTTCCAGGTGCGTGCAACACTCTCAGGTGCTCAGAGCACTCTCAAGTGTTCGCAATACTCTCAGGTGCTGACGTGAGCTTTCAGGTGCTTGCTGTAGCTCCAGGTGCCATCCACAGCTTTATTGACCTCCATCGGAGGTCGTCCAGGTGCAGTGATTCAACGTCGCCGTCCCTCCCTCTCACTACCCATTCATGCAGACGTTATGGATGAAGGATCAGACCATCGCTGTGAACCGTGTCATCTGGGAGCCTAACGGACAACTCTTTGGTCAGTCCTCGTGCCTCTGATCCCCTCTTTCTGCTTTCCTTGCACCTCTGTTCCTTCCTTATTTTCGACGCTTTACTCTTTGGGCCCCTCCTTTCCTATCCTTGCCGCTCTGGACCCCCTCTCCTTATTCTTGCCCCTTGTGGTTTGAGACGCTTCAAATACCTGCATCTCATCTCTGTGTGAGTTGGTGCTGATGCTGCCCCTCATGCTTCCCTCATGCTTGTGGTGTTGGTGCATTCCCTCCTGGCAGGAGCGGCGTTCTCAAAGCACATGGTGCACATCTACACGTACCAGAACCCTAGCAGCATGGGGCAGCACCTTGAGGTGCGTGCGTGCGTGTGCTAGAGTGCCGGAGTGGCACAGTGACACTTGAAGCACTGTTGGCTGCAATTGAGGTGTACGATTCGCGCTTGTGGCTACCCTGCTTGCAAATGCACTTGCTCCTTGCTGCACCATGTGAGGGAGGATGGACAGGGCAAGCGTTTGCAGCCAAAACCATGGCTTATTTTGTGCTGCAAGCACCTGAGGTTGCTTGCCTCAACAAGTCTGTAACGTATTCTTGCCTTGAGTCCCCCAAAACATGAGTGTCACCTTGACACTCATGTCACTAGCACATGTGTTCTTGCCTGTTGGTGTGTGCAGATCGACGCGCATGTGGGTGGTGTGAACGACCTGGCCTTCTCTCACCCCAACAAGCAGCTCTGCATCATCACATGCGGCGATGATAAGACCATCAAGGTCAGTCCGCCTGTTCCTGTGAATGTGGATGTGCGAGTGCGTGTGCTTGTGCATGTGCACATGTTCTATTCCCCATGCCCCATGCCCATGCCCAATACCCATGCCCCACGCCCCGTACCTATGCCCCATGCCCATGCCCATGCCCCGTTCCCCATACTCCATGTCCCATGCTTATACCTCATACCCCATGCCCCATACCCCTTAACCCCAAATCCCATGCTGCACACTCCACTCCACACGGCACGCATGGCACCAGGTGTGGGAGGCGAGCAGTGGGCGCAAGCTGTACACGTTTGAGGGCCATGAGGCGCCTGTCTACTCCGTGTGCCCACACCACAAGGAGAACATTCAGGTGCGCATTTGGTATATATATATATATATATATATATATATATATATATATATATATATATATATATATATATATATATATATATACAATGCCAGTTTTGTTCTCCCAATTTGTACTTGATCTTTACTCTTTACTCTTCTCCTCCCCCCTAGACGCACTCCCTCTGAACACTCACCCCTTCCCCTTGCGTTCTCTTCTTCCGCAGTTCATATTCTCGACAGCCATAGACGGCAAGATCAAGGCATGGCTGTATGACCATCTGGGGTCGAGAGTGGACTACGATGCGCCGGGCAAGTGGTGCAGCACCATGGGGTACTCCGCTGATGGCACGCGGTGAGTCACACATAGGTTCGAGCCTAAGATTCATTGCCTCACAGAATAGATGCTGCTTTTCATGCTCTGACAACAAGCTATCAGTCACCTGTCACTGTCCACGGCATTAAAATCGGATCCTCTCTGTTGTTCGCACACAGTGGGTGGTGCACCACCACCCTTTTCCGCACAGTTTTCCCCACCACTCACCGAGGTGACTTTTGAGTCGACTCAAAAGTCACTTCTGACAACAAGCTATCAGTCACCTGTCATTGTCCACGGCATTAAAATCGGATCCTCTCTGTTGTTCGCACACAGTGGGTGGTGCACCACCACCCTTTTCCGCACAGTTTTCCCCACCACTCACCGAGGTGACTTTTGAGTCGACTCAAAAGTCACTTCTGACAACAAGCTATCAGTCACCTGTCATTGTCCACGGCATTAAAATCGGATCCTCTCTGTTGTTCGCACACAGTGGGTGGTGCACCACCACCCTTTTCCGCACAGTTTTCCCCACCACTCACCGAGGTGACTTTTGAGTCGACTCAAAAGTCACTTCTGACAACAAGCTATCAGTCACCTGTCATTGTCCACGGCATTAAAATCGGATCCTCTCTGTTGTTCGCACACAGTGGGTGGTGCACCACCACCCTTTTCCGCACAGTTTTCCCCACCACTCACCGAGTTGACTTTTGAGTCGACTCAAAAGTCACTTCTGACAACAAGCTATCAGTCACCTGTCATTGTCCACGGCATTAAAATCGGATCCTCTCTGTTGTTCGCACACAGTGGGTGGTGCACCACCACCCTTTTCCGCACAGTTTTCCCCACCACTCACCCTCGAATCACCCCCCCGCCTCTCCCTCCTTCCCCTCTCCTCTCCTTTCGGCCCTTATTTCAGCCTCTTCTCCTGTGGCACGAGCAAGGAGGGCGAGACGTCACTGGTGGAGTGGAACGAGAGTGAGGGCGCCATCAAGCGCAGCTACCTGGGCTTCTTTGGTGCATATAACTCCCTGCTTTCTCTCTCCACCTCCCCTCTCCATCACACATTCCCCCTCCCCGCCCTTTCCTCCCGACCGTTTTTCCCCGCTGCAGCCTCTTCTCGTGTGGGACGAGCAAGGAGGGCGAGACGTCACTGGTGGAGTGGAACGAGAGTGAGGGCGCCATCAAGCGCAGCTACCTGGGCTTCCGCAAGCGCTCGCTGGGCGTCGTGCAGTTTGACACCACGCGCAACCGCTTCCTGGTCGCTGGTGACGAGTACCTCATCAAGTTCTGGGACATGGACAACACTGCCGTGCTCTGCACACTCGATGCTGATGGTGGCCTGCCGGTGAGTGTTGCTCTCTTTCCCTGTGAGCCTGCCGCCTCATCAAGTTCCCCTTGATCCTTGCCAGTGACGAGTACCTCATCAAGTTCTGGGACATGGACAACACTGCCGTGCTCTGCACACTCGATGCTGATGGTGGCCTGCCGGTGAGTGTTGCTCTCTTTCCCTGTGAGCCTGCCGCCTCATCAAGTTCCCCTTGATCCTTGCCAGTGACGAGTACCTCATCATCAAGTTCCCCTTGATCCTTGCCAGTGACAAGTACCTCATCATCAAGTTCTGGGACATGGGCAAGGATTGAAGAAGTGTTTTGAGACGTCTCAAAACATGGGCAACAGCACTCTGCTCCTGCACTGTACTGCACTGCACTGCACTGCACTGCACTGTACTGCTCCTGCACTGTACTGCACTGCACTGCACTGCACGCTCAATGATGAGGTCTGCTGCTGCACAGCCAGGCGACTCCATGGTTATGGCTCAGTTCCAACTCGTACAGATGGGATAGCAAGCAGCAGTCTGATGCGCCTCTCTTCTTTCTTCGACTCCTTCCCTCCTCCTGCCAGGCGAGTCCCAGGGTGCGGTTCAACAGGGAGGGCTCCCTGCTGGCAGTGACAGCGGCAGACAACTCGGTGAAGATCCTCGCCAACGACATGGGCCTGCGCCTCCTCCGCAACCTCGAAGCCGCCGCTGCCACCGCTGCGGCCGCTGCCGCTGCCGCCGCCGCCGCTGCAGCTGCCCAGAGACCTGTGGACACTAAGGTGGGTCGTTTGTGGGCTAGTCAGTCGTGCCTGGTTGAGTCGTGACGAATCTATCTGTGAGGTGCATAGTAAACAGGCTGCAGCTGCTCATATCTCTACCCGTCCCCTGCTTCCCTGCTTCCGTGCTTCCGTGCTTCCGTGCTTCCGTGCTTCTGTGCTTCCGTACCTGTCCCTTGCCCTGCTTCCGTGCTTGCCACTCTCTCGACTAATGTGTCTGGTCTCACTGTCTCTGTTTTTTTCTTGCTTCCCCTCCATCTGTGCACAGCAGCCGCCACCACCCGCCCTGCCCCAGCCCCCATCGCAGCAGCAGCAGCAGGCAGTGCAGGCAGCAGCAGCTGCAGCTGCCGCCGCTGCCGCTGCTGCTGCTGCTGCTACAGGCATCTCAACAACCACCCCCTTCCCAGGCGCCATCTCAGCAACAGCAGCAGCAGCTGCAACAGCAACAGCAACAGCAACAGCAGCAGCAGCAGCAACAGCAGCAGCAACAACAGCAGCAACAACAGCAGCAACAGCAACAGCAGCAGCAACAACAACAGCAACAACAGCAACAGCAGCAGCAGCAGCAACAGCAGTTGGATCGTTCGTCCCCTGCTTCAGCTCTTACTGCTTTGGTAAGGTTCTTACGCGTTTTGAATATCGTAACTCCTTGTGCATTGCTACACTCTTTGATTCAACCAAGTGGTCGGGAGTTATCAATCACTCCACTGGCCAGTTGGAGACCCACCGTTTTCCTTTCATTTCTTTACAAAGCAGCCATGAAAGTCGTGTCAGCCCCTCTTGTGCGTGGCTTATTAAAGAGGATAGGGTGTGCTTCAGCTTAGACGTTCAGCTTAGGGTGTCCTTCAAGCATTCGTGTCCAAATGATTGTAAGTGTCCTACCACCGTCTCACTTCACCCCTCCAGTGCATCTCTCTGCTCTCTTGTAACCTCCACACTGCCCCTCTTATTCCCTCCACCTCTCATCCCATCCTGCCGCCCCGTTTTTCCTCAGTCCTTTTCCCCACCCTTGGCCCCCTCTCTCCCCTCGCTCACCTTTCCCCTTCCCCCACCCTCCCTCCACGCCCCTGCTCTGCGCACATCAGAGGATGCAGGAGGACGGTCCGGACAAGAAGGGGTGGAAGCTCACTGAATTCTCGGAGCCCTCGCAGGTAGCTTCTCTTTCCCGCTCCCCCACTCCCCTCTCCCCACTCCCCTCTCCCCACTCCCCTCTCCCCACTCCCCCTCTCCCCACTCCCCTCTCCCCACTCCCCTCTCCCCACTCCCCCTCTCCCCACTCCCCCTCTCCCCACTCCCCTCTCCCCACTCCCCCTCTCCCCACTCCCTCCAACCTTCTCCCCTTCTATCCCACTCGGCCTTTCTACTCACCTAGTTCCAACCTTCTCCCCTTCTATCCCACTCGGCCTTTCTACTCACCTAGTTCCAACCTTCTCCCCCTCCTCCCTTCTTCTGTCTCCCCCCTTGCCTGTGTCTTCACGATTGCCGTGTGTGTTCCCTCTCCTGCTGTTTGTGACCATCTACTTTTGCTGCTCTCTCAGTACGTGCTCCTATCCCCTCCCTCCATCCTAACCTGTCTGTTCCCTCCATCTCTCCGAACCTCCCAGGTCCGGGCCGCCCGCCTGCCGGACAGTCTGCCGCCCAGCAAGGTACTGCGTCTGATTTACACCAATTCAGGCGTGGCGCTGCTGGCGCTGTCAGCCAATGCCGTGCACAAGCTCTGGAAGTGGCAGCGCTCCGACCGCAACACCAAAGGACTGGTCAGTGTTCCGGTGTATGCACGTAATTAATTGCTTTTGAGACCCCTCAAAAGCCAACTCAGGCGTGGCTCTGCTGGCGCTCTCGGCCAATGCCGTGCACAAGCTGTGGAAGTGGCAGCGCTCCGACCGCAACACCAAAGGACTGGTCAGTGTTACGTAAAAAAAGTATACTATACGTCCAGGGTTTAAGGTTAAGGTTTTGTGGTTACGGGTTGTTGTTCAGTATGATTCTCCCTTGCCCTCCCCTCCTGCCCCCATACACCAGGCCATTGCGAGCTCTGTCCTGCAGCTGTGGCAGCCAGCGAGTGGCATCATGATGACGAAAGACACGGGGGATTTGAGCTCAGATTACAGGTTGTTTCGTTTGACGACATGTGTTTTCTTGCCCTGCACGTATGAGCTCAGATTACAGGTTCTTGCCCTCCACTTCCCCCATACGCGCAGGCCACTGCAAGCTCTGTCCCGCAGCTGTGGCAGCCGGCCAGTGGCATCATGATGACCAACGACACGGGCGATGTGAGCTCGGACGACAGGATTGACAGTGTCGAATGTCTCTTAACCCCCATTCCCCCCCTCCTTTCACACGCGCAGGCCACTGCGAGCTCCGTCCCGCAGCTGTGGCAGCCAGCCAGCGGCATCATGATGACCAACGACACGGGCGATGTGAGCTCGGACGACAGGATTGACAGTTTCGAATGTCTCTTAACCCCCATTCCCCCCCTCCTTTCACACGCGCAGGCCACTGCGAGCTCCGTCCCGCAGCTGTGGCAGCCGGCCAGCGGCATCATGATGACCAACAACACGGGCGATGTGAGCTCGGACGACAGGATTGACAGTGTCGAATGTCTCTTAACCCCCATTCCCCCCCTCCTTTCACACGCGCAGGCCACTGCGAGCTCCGTCCCGCAGCTGTGGCAGCCGGCCAGCGGCATCATGATGACCAACGACACGGGCGATGTGAGCTCGGACGACAGGATTGACAGTGTCGAATGTCTCTTAACCCCCATTCCCCCCCTCCTTTCACACGCGCAGGCCACTGCGAGCTCCGTCCCGCAGCTGTGGCAGCCGGCCAGCGGCATCATGATGACCAACAACACGGGCGATGTGAGCTCGGACGACAGGATTGACAGTTTCGAATGTCTCTTAACCCCCATTCCCCCCCTCCTTTCACACGCGCAGGCCACTGCGAGCTCCGTCCCGCAGCTGTGGCAGCCGGCCAGCGGCATCATGATGACCAACAACACGGGCGATGTGAGCTCGGACGACAGGATTGACAGTGTCGAATGTCTCTTAACCCCCATTCCCCCCCTCCTTTCACACGCGCAGGCCACTGCGAGCTCCGTCCCGCAGCTGTGGCAGCCGGCCAGCGGCATCATGATGACCAACGACACGGGCGATGTGAGCTCGGACGACAGGATTGACAGTGTCGAATGTCTCTTAACCCCCATTCCCCCCCTCCTTTCACACGCGCAGGCCACTGCGAGCTCCGTCCCGCAGTTGTGGCAGCCGGCCAGCGGCATCATGATGACCAACGACACGGGCGATGTGAGCTCGGACGACAGGATTGACAGTTTCGAATGTCTCTTAACCCCCATTCCCCCCCTCCTTTCACACGCGCAGGCCACTGCGAACTCCGTCCCGCAGCTGTGGCAGCCGGCCAGCGGCATCATGATGACCAACAACACGGGCGATGTGAGCTCGGACGACAGGATTGACAGTGTCGAATGTCTCTTAACCCCCATTCCCCCCCTCCTTTCACACGCGCAGGCCACTGCGAGCTCCGTCCCGCAGCTGTGGCAGCCGGCCAGCGGCATCATGATGACCAACGACACGGGCGATGTGAGCTCGGACGACAGGATTGACAGTGTCGAATGTCTCTTAACCCCCATTCCCCCCCTCCTTTCACACGCGCAGGCCACTGCGAGCTCCGTCCCGCAGCTGTGGCAGCCGGCCAGCGGCATCATGATGACCAACGACACGGGCGATGTGAGCTCGGACGACAGGATTGACAGTTTCGAATGTCTCTTAACCCCCATTCCCCCCCTCCTTTCACACGCGCAGGCCACTGCGAACTCCGTCCCGCAGCTGTGGCAGCCGGCCAGCGGCATCATGATGACCAACAACACGGGCGATGTGAGCTCGGACGACAGGATTGACAGTGTCGAATGTCTCTTAACCCCCATTCCCCCCCTCCTTTCACACGCGCAGGCCACTGCGAGCTCCGTCCCGCAGCTGTGGCAGCCGGCCAGCGGCATCATGATGACCAACGACACGGGCGATGTGAGCTCGGACGACAGGATTGACAGTGTCGAATGTCTCTTAACCCCCATTCCCCCCCTCCTTTCACACGCGCAGGCCACTGCGAGCTCCGTCCCGCAGCTGTGGCAGCCGGCCAGCGGCATCATGATGACCAACGACACGGGCGATGTGAGCTCGGACGACAGGATTGACAGTGTCGAATGTCTCTTAACCCCCATTCCCCCCCTCCTTTCACACGCGCAGGCCACTGCGAGCTCCGTCCCGCAGCTGTGGCAGCCGGCCAGCGGCATCATGATGACCAACGACACGGGCGATGTGAGCTCGGACGACCGGGAGGGAGCACACCCGGTGGCGTGCATAGCGCTGTCCAAGAACGACTCGTATGTCATGTCCGCCTCGGGGGGCAAGGTCTCTCTCTTCAACATGCTCACCTTCAAGGTGCGTGCTGGTGTGCTGTGTTTGTGAGTGAGTGAGTGAGTGAGTGAGTGAGTGAGGGAGGGAGCGAGGGAGGGAGCGCACCCGGTGGCGTGCATGGCGCTGTCCAAGAACGACTCGTATGTCATGTCCGCCTCGGGGGGCAAGGTCTCTCTCTTCAACATGCTCACCTTCAAGGTGCATGCGGGCGTGCTGTGTGTGTGTGGGTGTGTGTGTGTGTGTGTGTGTGTGTGAGAGAGAGAGAGAGAGAGAGAGAGAGAGAGAGAGAGAGAGAGAGAGAGAGAGAGAGAGAGAGAGTGAGGGACGAAGCCCACCCAGTGGCGTGCATTGCGCTGTCCAAGAACGACTCCTACGTACTGACCTGCGTTGACCTGTGCTGACCTTTGTTTACCTGCATTGACCTGTGTTGACTGTACTGACCTGTATTTACCTGCGTTGACCTGCGTTGACCAGGTGATGACGACGTTCATGGCGCCGCCCCCAGCAGCCACCTTCCTGGCGTTCCACCCCCAGGACAACAACATCATTGCCATTGGCATGGATGACGCCACCATCCAGATCTACAACGTGCGCCTCGATGAGGTGAGCACTGCCTTGGTGCCGCATTCTCATGGGCGTTAGAAGGAAAAAGGAGTTATAACCTTGAAGAGATAGGAAAAAGGAGTTATAACCTTGAAGAGATAGGAAAAAGGAGTTAAACCTTGAAGAGATAGGAAAAAGGAGTTATAACCTTGAAGAGATAGAAAAAAGGAGTTATAACCTTGAAGAGATAAAATCATTAGGATGGGCTTGCTGTGGGGCTGCATTGGAGCAAAACTGTCTTTCCCAGCAGCGTCGTTTCTGGTGCTCCTGCACCTGGACCATGACAGACCCAGATGGCTGAAGGGGCACAGCAAGCGCATCATTGGGCTTGTTTTGAGGCACCTTAAAAACCTCCTCTTCTTCCCCCCTCTCCCACCCCCTCCTCCTACTGGCAGGTGAAGAGCAAGCTGAAGGGGCACAGCAAGCGCATCACAGGGCTGGCCTTCTCCAACGCCCTCAACAGCCTCGTCTCCTCCGGGGCTGACTCGCAGGTGAGGAGTGGTGGTCCTTGGCTAATCGCACTCTCCTCATAGGCGTGGAGAGGAAGGGTTGACTTGCAGGTGAGGGGAGGAGGGGCTGACTCGCAGGTGAGAGGAGGGGGCGACTCGCTGATGGGGAGGAGGAATGGTGGACTTGGTAAAAATATCCCTGGTATCATGGGCTAATCCCTAGTGACCCCATTCCCTGCACCGCTCTGAATCTTCCGCCATCCCAATTTCGCTTTTCTCCCTACCCTGTCTTCCTCAACTTACTTCCCACTCCCACACCTCCCCCCTCCAAACCCTTCCCTCCAACCCCCCTCCCTCTCTCACAGCTGTTCCTGTGGAGCATGGATGGGTGGGAGAAGCGAAAATCTTGCCCGCTCGCGCTGCCGTCCCGTTCATCCCCGACACAGCAGGCGGACACGAGGGTGCAGTTTCACAACAACCAGCAGCGCCTGCTGGTGGTGCACGAGTCACAGCTCTCCACTTCCCCCTCCCCCCCTCTCCCTCCCCAACCCCCTCCCCCTTCCCCCCTCAACTCCCCCCACCCCAGCTGTTCCTGTGGAGCACGGACGGGTGGGAGAAGCGCAAGTCGCGGCCGCTCGCGCTGCCGTCCCGTTCATCCCCGACACAGCAGGCGGACACGAGGGTGCAGTTCCACAACGACCAGCAGCGCCTGCTGGTGGTGCACGAGTCGCAACTCGCCATCTACGACGCCGCCAAGCTCGACCGCCTGCGCCAGTGGCTGCCCCGTGACCTCGGCCCGCTCTCCGCACCCATCACTGCCGCTGCTTACTCCTGTGACTCCTCGCTTGTGCTTGCTGCGTTCGCGGATGCCACTGTCTGTGTGTTTGACGGGGATAGCCTTCGGCCGCGGTGCCGCGTTGCGCCTTCGGCGTATGCGCCATCTGTTGGGTACGCACTTCGCTCCGAGTCTTTGTTTCGTTTTTTATATTTTCTTTGTTTTTTTGTGCGATGTGCTCCCACGTTCCTTGTTGCCCCCTCGCCCGTATCTCGCTCTCTAGACCTGTCCAATTCAGCTCGTGCCTTCTTGAAGTCTGCTGCTGTCTTTCTGTTCTCTAACCCACTGTTTCACTTGTGTGCATGCGTGCTATCGTTTTTGCTCTCTTTTTGCATCGCAGCCTGGGTCTTGTGGTGCCTCTGGTGATCGCAGCACACCCACAAGATCCAAACCAGTTTGCTTTGGGTCTAAGTGACGGGTCCGTGCATGTGTTAGAGCCCTCTGATCCTGATGGAAAGTGGGGCCCACCCCTGCCTGCTGAAAATGGTTCGGGGGCAGGTGCTATGTCGACAGGAGGGGGAAGTGGAGGGGTGGACCGATAAGGTTTGCATATGGGGATTTTAGGATGGATGGTTTTCACTGACGGGTATGGGAAGAAAAGTCTGTCAGAATGCACATGGTTCTGGCATAGATGTGAGATAAGAGCAGGTGATCTACTGGGACAGTAGAGCTGCTGAGCTTGTGAAAAGGCTCAGCGTTTTTTTGAAATTGGCGCGCATTGAGTGGAGCCTGCTGGCCTTTGGCCAGGCCCGTGATGAAGAGTAACTCGCTCTCTTGTTCACAGGGAGCAGATTGTTTGAGAAGTACTTCTGGAACGGGTGTCTGATTACTAACAGAATTGGCTTGGAACGTATAAGCGTCAAGGCGTGCACATTGCTACACCTACGAGCTTTATTTGGGACACAGCAACTTCAATGTTTCAAATTTGCTTTCCCGCCAAATTTTTACACCTCTCTCGGCTGCTTCTCCTGCACGACTCCGCCGTTTGGAGGCGTTTTGAAGCAACATCCTTCCTTTCGTATCGTCCAGTTTGCTTTCCGCTGATGAAAGCTTTTCCTGCCTAGAACAACTACATACCCCCCATCGTAGCTGGGACGGCCACAAGGCTCCTAACGCGCTGGGACTGTGTCCTTTTCATAGCATCCTTCATTCGTGTTCTTCACGTGTTTCCACGTTAGGCACTAATTGCTCTCGTTTCCTCTTATTGCTCTCCTTTCGTGTTTTAAGTTTTCCCGCGTAAAGCGATCCGCCAGGTACCTAACCGCGCATAGTCAAAGCAGTAAATCAAATAAGTCCCACTTGTAGATTGGAACGTTGAATTAAGGCGTAAAGTCCGAGCAGGACTGTTGACTTCTCAGGCGCCTCTCGGCACGTCTCAAAGCTTGGTAGTAGCCTGGAATTGACTAGCTAGGCCTGGAAATCGACCAGCTAGGTCGGAGTAGCAGCGGTAGCCATGGACGCGGGAGCCGACTCGTGGCCGGTGGGCTCGCTAGTTCTCGCTAAGGTTCAGGGCTATCCGCCATGGCCGGCTCAGGTGATTCTTTCCGCATGCCTTCTTTTTTTATATATAAATTCCTATTATAGTAATGCACATCTTCTGTCAGTTGTCGTGCTTGAGGTTTTGCTACCTTTCCGTGTTCCACTGCTGAATGCAGAGTCGTTTCTAATACATGCGGTGTTCCGTTGTTTGGTTGGGAACAGGTCATGGATCCGTACAAGTTCAAGAAAGAGCCGCAGGAAGGAAAGATTTTCGTCCTCTTTCTGCAGCCGCGACAGATGTGAGTCTCTCGATCTCTACAAATGTTAGTTTCTCAATTGCGACTGATTTGTGGCTCTCGACCACGAGAAGTGTGTGGTAACCCAGTGGTCGTGCCACTCGTTATTTCGAACCTTCGTTGCATTTGTGCGAACTAAGCTTTGTTTAAGCAATCGCTCTCGACCAGGTTTTTTTTTTTTTTTTTTTTTTTTTTTTTTTTTTTTTTTTTTGAACGGCCTCGCTTCTGTGCTTAAAAGACCGGTTGACTTGTCCAACCCCTCCTTCTCCGCATAGCAGCCGATTTCGCGATGCCAATTAAGCTGAGCAGATTCTCAGAAACAAGGCGAGGGGACACGCAGCATACTAACTCCCCCCCTCGTCTCCTTTCCTCCTCTTCCTCCGCTCTTCCCCTCTCCGTTCTCCACCACGTGCCAGTCGGTTCTGCGGGCCGGACGAGCTAGACCGCTTCGAGGGCGCGGCGAGGGAGAAGGCTATAGCGCGCAGCCGGCGCAGCAGCTGCCTGCCAGACTACAAGGCGGCGCTCGACGCGTGCCTGGCGCAGGAGGCAAGGCTGGCGCTGCTTGCGCAACGGCAGCAGGGGGCAAGGCAGACGCGGGCAGAAAGGCAGGAGCGCGGGGAGAGGCAGGAGCGGGGAGAGAGGCAGGAGCGACAGCAGCAACAGCAGCAGCAGCAGCTGCAGCAGCAACCGCAACAACCGCCGCCCCCGCAGCAGCCGCAGCAGCCGCAGCAGCAGCAGCAGTCACCGCAGCAGCCGCAGCAGCAGCAGCCGCGGCAAGGGTCGTTGCGGAGGGGGAAAGGAGAGGGAGAGGAGCCGCCACTAGTGGAGCAGGAGGAACGAGAGGAGGGGAGCAAGGTCGGGACGAAGGGAGGGAAGAAGGGAGGGAGGAAGCAGAAGGGTGCGAAGGCGCGAGGGAAGCGGAAGAAGGAAAGCGAGGAGGAGGAAGAGGTGGAGGAGGCGGAACAAGAGGAGGAAGGGCAGAAGGGACGAGAGAAGGAGCGAGGGGAGGAGAAGGAGGAGGCAGTGCATGTGGAGAAGGGGAGAGAAGCGGGTGTGCGTGGGCAAAGCGGAAAGAAGAGGAGAAAGGCAGGGTGAGTCTTGGCAGGCTTCTATGGTCGTTAAAGCACATGGTTTTTTTTACCGTTCTCGTCTGGACGATCCTGCTGCCAGCTTATGTGGCTTACTGTTGCCTAGTTGTAGTTCCCGCTTGCATCACGTGATGGTTTTTTTTTTTTCTTCACTCTGAATCTTTTAGATGCACCCTTTTTTTCAACCCGCCCGTGTTATGCTTTCCTTCCTTTTATATCTTCAGGGTGGAAACTGAGGCTGACGTGGCACGGCCAGAAGCTGACGTTGCAGAGGTTGGAGCAGGGGCAGGAGCGACAGGCGAGGCAGGAGAGGAAGGCGAGGCAGGAGAGAAAGGAGAGGCAGGAAAAATAGCAGAGGGGCTGATTGCGGATGGGAAGGACGCGGGAGGAGCGGCGACGGGAGAGGAAAGAGTGGACATGCAAATGGGTGCTAGGACGGAGGCTGAGAGAGGGGACAAGGAAAAAGACGACCATGAGGAGAGGGAACTTATGGATGGAGAGGCGGAAAGACGAGCGGAGGGACGAGACGAGGGAGAGGCAGAGGAAAGAGCAGGAGTTGCGCAAGAAGGAGCATCAGTGGGGATGGAGAGGGTAGGCACAGGCGACCGAGAGACAGAAGCAGGCGCTGGTGAGGAAGTGGCAGGGAAAACGGCGAAGAAAGGTGGCAGTTTGGTTTATGCTAGGAAGAGTGCGAAGGGGGGGAAGCGAGGAAGAGGGGGGGAAAGCCGAGAGGCGGGAGAGGATGTAGTGGCGGTGGCAGGTGCAGCAGCAGCCGAAACACAGGCTGCAGCTGCGGCAGCAGTTGTGGGAAGTAAACTGGCAGCAGCAAGTGAAACCGGAGCTGCAGCTGCGGCTGAAGCAGTTGTGGGAAGTAAAGCAGCAGCAGGAGTGGTGGCAGCGGCACGCGAGGATGTCTTTTCGACCCCTCCAGTGGGGAACGTGCTGTCGACCCCTCCAGGACTAGAAGTGCTGTCGACCCCTCCAGTGGGGAACGAGCTGTCTACCCCACCAGGACTAGAAGTGCTTTCGACCCCTTCTGGGGGGAGGGAGAGGCGGGCAGCTGCTCGGCGTGCTGCTGCTGCCCTGGCTGCATCTTCTGGGGGGAAAGGCAGGGCGGGGAGGGGGGAGAGGGAGAAGGGGGAGAAGGCGGAGAAGGCGGGGGAGAAGGCGGAGAAGGCGGAAAAGGTGGAGAAGGCGGAGAAGGCGGGGGAGAAGGAGAAGGGGAAGGTTGGAGCGGAAGCAGGCGAGATGGACAAGGAAAAGGTGGAAACGGGCGGTAAGGGGAAGCAAAAGGGGAAGGTCGAAGCAGCAAGGGCAGGAAGAGTAGTGACAGGAGCTCAAGATAAAGTGACGGCTGATATAAGAGAAGTAGATGAAACGGCAGCAGATGACAGAGCAGCAGCAGTGGAGGAGGAGGAGCAGGAGGAGGAAGAAGAGCAGCCGCAGGAGCAGCAGGATGAGGAGCAGGAAGAGGGTGACGTAGAAGTGGGAAGAGCAGGTGGAAAGGGGGTTAAGGCGAAGAAGGGCGGGGCTGTGGTGGAGCACAAGAGCACAAGGGCTCGTAAAAGTGAGGAGGGAGGTATGGCTGAGAGGGAGAGGAGAGGCGCGATGAAGGGAGGCACCAAGGGAGGCGCCAAGGGAGGTATGAAGAGAGGCGCGAAGGGGAGTGAGAGGAGGGCGAGTCTTTTGAGAGGGAAGGGCGAGAAGGTCGGGGTGGTGGAGAATAAGAAGGGGGGAAAGAAGGGGCGTGAGAGGAGGAAGAGTCTGACGAGAGGAAAGGGGGATGGGAGGAGAGGAAGGGGAAAGGGTGGGAAGAAGGGTGGGGAGAGGGAGGAAGAGGAAGAGGGAGAGGAAGAGGAAGAGGAGAGTGCGGAGGAAGAGGAGGTTGCGGAGGATGAGGAGGGTGCGGAGGATGAGGAGGGTGCGGAGGATGAGGAGGGTGGCGAAGGAATGGAGGTGGAAGAAGGGGAGGTGGTGGGCGGGGGTGAAGTGGAGGGAGGGGAGGAGGGAGGGGAGGAGGAAGGGGAGGAGAGAGCAGAAGTGGAGGGAGAGGAGGGAGAGGATGGAGACGAGGAGGACGAGAGTGTGGATGAAAAGGGCTCAGAGGAGGAGAGTGAGGAGGAGGAAGAAGAGGAGTATGTGCCCAGTTCACAGAAGGCTAAGAGGCCTCGAGCAGAGGGGGGCGAAGTCAAGCATAAACAGCAATCTGTTGCTGCCGCACCTCGTCCCAAACCTGCTCCCAAGCCTCCCAAGGCAGCGCTCAAGGCGCTTGCCAAGCCACACCACCATGCTCGGTCCACTGCTGCTGCTGCTGCCGCCGCTGCTGCTGGGGCTTTCATAATAGAAGGCAGACCCACCGTTGCTGAACCCAAGGGGAGGAAGTTGGCGAAGAGGAGGAAAGGGAAGGAGGTGGAGGGGGAGAGAGAGGCGGAGGCGGATGGTAGGGAGCACGTGGATGGAGGAGAGGAGGAGGGTGTGGGGGCAGGGCGGGAGGAGGGGCAGCGGAAGGGAGCAGGGAAGCAGAGGCAACAGGCAGGGGAGGAGGTGGCGCCAAGGAGTGATGGTCTGCTCGCTACTTCTGAGCGGAGCCTGTTTGGTGGGTTCGTTGGAAAGGGGATGGACATTCTATGCGTTGTGTGGAGAGAATGATGCCCTTGATGGCAATGCTATCGCTGTGATCTGGGTCTAGGAGTGGCAGCTATGTGGTTGACTGATTTTGTTTTCACCGTCCCCAGTTCCTGAAAGTTCATTGCTCTGGTGCCCTGTTGTCTCGTCCCGTTCCTCCCCCCACAGACATAGTCCAGGCAGGCAGGGCAGAGGACGTGGAGGAAGCAGCGTTCAGGTGGATGGAGGGGTATGAGTTCAACCGCACCCATGCCACAGCCCAGCTGCTCAAACTGCTCTTCCAGGTGAACTGGTTGGCATGGTCACATGGCAACAGTGTCCCGCTTAATTGATGCTCAATCCTGGTTCTGATTTGCTGCGCTTCCTGTGCTGCTGCGTAAAAGAAGTTTTGATTCAAGACGTTTGCAGAGTCACGTGGCAGCAATGTCCCGCTTGATTGATGCACAATGCTGGTCTTGATTTTGCTGTGTGAGAATCACTTTTGAGAATTCTCAAAACTGCTTGGCACAGTCACATGGCAACAATGTCCCGCTTGATTGATGCACACTCCTGGTTCTGAACTGCTGCGCCTCATGTGCTGCTGCTTGGCAGCCGTCATGACACATATGTCTGTGTGTCATCCCACCCACCTGCATCCCTACCAGGCGTGTGGGGTGCAGGTGGTGATGGGAGACGATGCCATTATGTCAGAGGGAGTGGGGGTGGACGACATGGTGCAAACTGTTATGAACTCTTGAGTCGACTCATATGTGCCTTACACCATTTCGATGTGTGTGTGTGTGTGTGTTGCTTCCTGACCACACCCCTACCAGGCGTGTGGAGTGCAGGTGATGATGGGGGACGATGCCATCACGTCAGAGGGAGTGGGAGTGGGTGACGTGGTGCAAACCCTGGTGAGCTTTTGAGTCGTCTCAATACTTTCCAATGTGTTGTGTCCTGTCCGCTTCCCCTACCAACCAGGCGTGTGGAGTGCAGGTGATGATGGGGGACGATGCCATCACGTCAGAGGGAGTGGGAGTGGGTGACGTGGTGCAAACCCTGGTGAGCTTTTGAGTCGTCTCAATACTTTCCAATGTGTTGTGTCCTGTCCGCTTCCCCTACCAACCAGGCGTGTGGAGTGCAGGTGGTGATGGGAGACGATGCCATCATGTCAGAGGGAGTGGGAGTGGATGACGTGGTGCAAACCCTCGTGGACTCCGCCCACCAGGTCGCCCTGCTCGACCATCTGCACCGCACTCCACCGCACCACAGTCACCACCACTCCACTGGCAACGACAGCAAAGGCAGCAAGGGTGGCAGTGGCAAGGGCGGAGGTAGCAAGGGTGGTGGTGGTGACGGGGTGTCGTTCCGCACGTCGCTGCTGCGCTTCTGGGATGCGCTGGTGGTGGCGGGGGGGCGAGAGGGCGCTCTCTTTGACTCGCAGCTGCTGCCCACGCTCCTTGACTACCTCGTTGCCCTCTCCTCGTACGTCGCCCTTATCTCCTCCTATGACTCACTCCCAGTGGTAGTAATCGAGTTCCGACCCGTGTCAGGGCGCTCTCTTTGACTCGCAGCTGCTGCCTTCCCTCCTTGATTATTCTGTTTCTCTCCTCATACGTCATACGTCTCAACCCCTGCTAAATTTTTTCCTGAGTTGTGAGACGTCTCAAAGCGAGAGAGCGCTCTCTTTTAATCGCAGCTGCTGCCCACCCTGCTTGACTAATTTGTTGGTCTCTCCTCGTACGTCCTTCTCCTGCCCTTCTCCCCCCAGCTCCTCGTGGTTCTCTGCGTATTCTGCCGCATGGCAACACTCGTGGCACTGCAGCCATCTCCCTACCCTTCCCCCTTACACTCGCCCCACTCTCCCCTCCTTACACCCCTTCCCGCCCCCCCTCCTGTCTCACTCCCCCTTCTTTCCCCAGCTCCTCCCCCCGCATATTCCGCCACGTGGCAACACTCGTGGCGCTGCAGCTCATCTCGTCCATCATCACCGTCGCTTCCGTGCTCTCTGACACGCAATCCACGGCCCAGAGGCAGCTGCAGGCCGCGATCCGACGGTCAGAAGAGCAGGAGCAGCAGCGGGCAAGGGGAGCGGCAGAAAGCGGACGAGCAGGAGTGAGGAAGAGCAAGAGAAGGGGGTCAACCGGTGGAGGGGGGGAAAGAGGGGGAGCGGAGGGGGGAGGAGAAGTTGCGGGGGAGGGGAATGGGGAGGGGGATGGGTCTGAGGGGGCGGGCGGGGGAGGCGGAAGGGGAGGGGCGAGCAGTCGGGCAGCAGTGGAGCTGCAAGCGAAGGTGGATGCGATTCATGGGCAGGTGGCGATGCTGGAAGGGGTCATGCGCAGAGGGTTCACTGGGTGAGTGATGGGTGGGTGATGCATAGTGGGTGGTGTTTAAATTGACTCAGAAGGCAGCAGTGTAGCTGCAAGCGAAGGTGGATGCGATTCATGGGCAGGTGGCGATGCTGGAAGGGGTCATGCGACGCGGGTTCACTGGGTGAGTGAGGGGTGATGAGTGGTGCAGAGTGGTCCTTGGGATGGTGGCAGTACTGGAAGGGTGATGACCTACCCTCTGCGCTTCTGCCTACCCTCCTAAACCCCCCAACTCCCCCACCAGCATCATAACGCATCGCCATCGGGATGTCGATCCAGCCATCAGAGCAGCATGTGTGGCGGCGCTCGGGCAGTGGGTGACGCGCTACCCTTCGCTCTTCCTGGATGATATCTACCTCAAGTACCTGGGCTTCTCGCTCAATGACAAGGTGGGCAGTGGGTGCTGGGCAAAGTGGGCAATGTGCGCTGTGCTGCATGCACTAGGTTGTCTGAACCCTGCATAGTCTTAGCACGCCATTCCTCATTGACTTCCGTTTCATTTAATCGATTCCGATTTCCTTCTGCCAGGTGGCATCTGTTCGCCTCACGGCCCTGTCAGCGCTCCAATCGCTGTATGCCAGCGAGGACAATCTCCCGGCGCTTGGCGTCTTCTCGGAGCGCTTTGTGCCACGTGTGCAGCAGATGGTGGATGACGTGGATGCTGACGTGGCAGTGGCTGCTGTCTCGTTGGTCCAGCTGCTTGCCAGGTAAGCTGCTTATAGCAAAGTTGATGCTGTGCTTACATGCTTTCGGCCTTTCCTGCCAACATGTTTCCATTCTTGCACGCACCAAGCAGTTTCTTTGCTTTCCGATCACCTCACGGACAACTGCCTGCTCCTCAGACTCAACCCCTGCCCTTATCTCCGCTCTCTTCCCCTCCCCTCCCCCCCCCCCCCCTCTCCACCCTCGTTTCCCTGTCCACCCCAGCAACGACACCCTTCCACACAACCCCACCACTGCTCTCCTCTCCAATCGCCTCACAGACGACTGCCTGCCGCTCAGACTCGCCGCCTGCCTTCAGATTTTCACTCACCCTCCCGTCCCTTCTTTTCTCCCCTGTTTGTCTCCCTCCCAGCAACGACACCCTTCCACACAACCATGCCATCGCTCTCCTCTCCGATCGCCTCACAGATGACTGTCTGCCACTCAGACTCGCCGCCTGCCATGCCCTCTACCTCCTCCTCCTCGCCTCATCCCCCCCTCCCGCCACTCCTACTGCTGATACTGCTCATGCTGCAGCTGAACCACGCCCAGGGAAGCGCCAGGGGGGAGGCAGGAGGGTGGATGAGAAGGGAGGGAAGGGGGGTCAAGGAGGGGAGGGGGAGACGGGGGCAGGGAGGCAGGTGGTGGTGGTGGTGCGAATGCTGCAGGCGTGTGGGGATGCCGTGCAGGCTGGGTATGTGGTGGATGCGCTGTGGGAGCGAGTGCCTGCATTAACGGTGAGCTCTTTCGAACCCTCTCATGCTGACCCCTGAGTGTTCTGTCTCTTGGATACTGTATGGGACTCGCTGCATGCGAATGTTCTGCATGCTGCAGGCGTGTGGGGATGCGGTGCAGGCTGGGTAGGTGGTGGATGTGCTGTGGGAGCGAGTACCTGCACTGATGGTGAGTCCTAGCTGTCCCACTCTCTGGAATGGCCATTTGATTTATGCACCACACCACAGCGAGGTGAGTACGGGCTCTGTTGGAGCTCTCTCTCTATGCACATGATTAGCCCCCTCTCTTGTGCTGAGTGCTCTTTTGGTCACCAGAGTCCCGCGTCCCCGACTCTGAATGAGCTGTTTCCACTTCTGCCACCCACAGTAAGCAGATTCCCTCTTCCATCTCACAGCTCCGCTCACAACTCGCACAGCCAAGCAGGGCTTGTATCCGCCTCGTCTCACACGCCCCCTTCTTTCGCCCTCTTTCATTCTCTTCCATCGCTCCCTCAGGACTTGAAGACAATGGGGCAGCTGCTACTGCAGTCCGACACCCAAGCCACACCTCTCACCCCCTCCTCGCAGCCGCTCTCCCCCATTCCCCCCTCCTCCTCCACCCCCTCTTTCCCCTCCTCGCCTCCTCCTCCCGAAGCCGACACTCCCACGCTCGCCCTCCTCCTCTTACTCGCCGCGCGCAAGACCGTGGGGTTGCCGATTGTGCCGAGGAGTGCAGCGGAGGCGAAGAGAAAGGCGCCTGTTGCCGTGTCCAAGGCCAAAAAGGTGAGTTGGTGATGCATCCACACCCTCTCTTTCCTCCTCTCCTCCTCTCCTCGCCCTCCTCCTCTCCTCCTCTCCCCCCCGTAAAACCCTTCCCCTTTTGAACCCCTCCCCCCTTAAAACCCCTCCCCCCTCCTTCCCCCTTCCGTATCCACCAGGAGCGGCAGGCAGCAGCAGTGGTGGACATGACAGGGGCGCTCGTGAAGGTGCTTCCACCAATGATGAGGCGCCACGTGGCGGATGAGCGCGTGCTGCTGCGGCTGCTGGAGGCAGCAGAGTGTCTGGACGTGGGGGCGCTGGCGCACAGGCAGCAACAGGAGGTGAGTGGGGGGGGGAGAGTGGGGGCTTCAGCCTAAGGTGGTGAGGGTGGAGGTGGAAGGTGGGAATGGAAGCAGCAGAGTGTCTGGACGTGGGGGCGCTGGCGCACAGGGGGCTTCAGCCTAAGGTGGTGAGGGTGGAGGTGGAAGGTGGGAATGGAAGCAGCAGAGTGTCTGGACGTGGGGGCGCTGGCGCACAGGGGGCTTCAGCCTAAGGTGGTGAGGGTGGAGGTGGAAGGTGGGAGGGACGCTGGCGCACAGGCAGCAACAGGAGGTGAGTGGGATGGGGGCTGCGGAACTGTGAGTGTCAGGGTAAGTTGGGGTCAGCTTGGGGCAGCAGAGTGTCTGGACGTGGGGGCGCTGGCGCACCGGCAGCAGCAGGAGGTGAGTAAGGAGGGGGGGGGGACTGGGGGCATAGCTCGCTGGCAGCTGCCAGCTACACTCGCGTCTATGTTGGTGACAAGTTGTTCAATGTGGGACGAGCAGCAGAGTGTCTGCTGCGCGTCTGCTGCTGCTCCACCCACACTGCGCAGAACCAACCGCGTCCAGATGCGCATCTGCTGCAGCTTCACCCACACTCAACAGATGCGCATTTGGACGCATATGGTTGTGCCGCAACATATGGACACACACACACATGTCATGCAGTCCAAAAGGCAATGTGTTTTCTGGGTTGCATTTTTCGTTTCTCTCTCACCTCCTCCTCCTGTGTTGGCTTTCCCTCCCCCGTCCACCAGCCGCTCCTTGCAAACGTGATTTTGAAGTTTCTCTCTCACTCTCCCCCATCCACCAGCCGCTCCTCGCGATCCTCTCGGCGGCGCGTGACAGCCTGGTGCGCCATGTCAGCACGGCGGTGATGGCGGCAGCGACACGTGTGCTGCTGCGGTGCATGTGGCGTGCCCAGGGGGACATGCGCGAGCAGGCGGAGGAGGTAGTGAGGGACGCCGTGCGCAGTGTGGTGGTGGGGAAGTTAAAAGAGGAGGCACACAGCGCTCTCACTGTAAGTTCTAGGAGGCACACACAGATGTGAGTTGCGGTGCATGCATGTGGTGCCAGGGGGACATGCGCGAGCAGGCGGAGGAGGCAGTGAGGGGCGCCGTGCGCAGTGTGGTGGTGGGGCGTTTCAGGGAAGAGGTGGGAACCGCTCTGGAGGTGAGTTGCAGAAAATTACTGGGGAACAGGCGGAGGAGGTGATGAGGTGACAGGCGCTGTGTGCTGTGTGGTGGTGGGGAAATCGAAAGAGGAGGCACAAACCGCTCTGGAGGTGAGTTGCGAAATAGAATTGGGGAGCAGGTGGAGGAGATTGTAAGGGGTGCCATGCGGTGTGTGGTGGTAGGGAACGATTGAGAGAGAAGGCACACAGTGCTCTCCATGTGATTTCCAGGAGGCACACGCAGATGTGAGTGAGTTGCGGTGCACAAGGGGCGCCCGGGGGGACATGAGCAAGCAAGCGGTGGAGGTAGTGAGGGATGTTGTGCAGAGTTTGGTGGTGGAACGAGTGAGTGAGGAGGCACTCACCGCTCTGGAGGTGTGCTTTACCGTTTAAGCGGGAGAGGAGGTAGTGAGGGATGTTGTGCAAAGTTTGGTGGTGGGGGCGATTGAAAGAGGATGCACACGGTACTCTCACCACTCACTATGGAGGTGAGCTGGGTGCTTTGATGCACCCAATTCCCTTCATTCACTCTCATCACGTCTCTCTGCCATTCCCCTCGCCCACCCCAGGCCACGTCAGGCACCCCTGCAGCTGACGTGGACACCTTCTCCCTCTCAGTGGCTGCTACTCGCCTCGCTGTCTTCCTACTGCAAGCCGACCCCACGCCCTTCCTCCCCGCCCCTGCTGCTGCCGCTGGTGGCACTGATTCTGCTACTGCCACTCCTGCTGCTGCTGCTGCTGCTGGGGATGGGATGCAACCACCAGACCTGTTTGCTCTGCTCCTTCGGTTGCTGGAGAAATTTCCTCCTTATAAGCACCCTCAGGTGAGCATACGCTGACTTTCTGTGCACTCTCTGCTCTTGAGACCGCTGCAAGGGTTTTTTTTTTTTTTTTTTTTTTTTTTTGCCTCAGCAAAGTGCTGCGATTCGTTTCCTACTGACTCGATTTTCTCACCCTGCATTCCTACTCGATTTTTGTTTTCTGCCTGACTCCTATTGCCACCTCCTCTCATTCCCCCACTGGTCCATCCAGCTGGCATCGCCAGTGCTCCGCTCGCTTGCGCTGCTGCTCGTGTGGAGCTTCAAGAAGCTCGTCGCTGCAGTGGGCAAAAAGGGGACGGCAGGTGATGGAGCAGACGCGACAGGGAGAGACGCAGGAGGTGCTGAGGCTGAAAAGGAATCGGGGGAGGAAAGGGGGATGAGTGCCGGTGGTGTGAGTGACGGGGTGGGTGAGCAAGAGGAGGAGGTGAGGGAGAGGCAGGGGCGGCTGATGGGTGTGCTAATGAGGCTCATGGAAGCAGGGACGGAGAGAGGGATAGTAGTGAATGAAGGAGGGGAGGAGCGTGGCAATGAGCAAGCAGAGGAGGGAGAGGGAGGAGGCAGTGGAGTGGAAAGGGAGGGTCAGAGAGAGCAGCAGCAGCGGCGGCAGCTACAGCAGCAACTGGCGGTAGAGGTCTTAGAGCATGTATCTGATTTGTGGGTTCTCTTTTCTCCTTATAAGCTCGCCCACTCGCTCCTACACCCACTCTCCGTTACAGTCACACCCGCCAACGTCAACGCCTACTGGGCGGCATGCAGTCATCTGCTTCACACTTGCTCAGCAGAGACGGGACAGAGCGCGCAGGAGAGGCAGCAAGAGAGGGTATCGGAAAGAGGGGAAGAGAGAGTGGTAGCAGCAGCAGCCAAGCTGGTGCTGTGCGGTGCTGTGGACCCTGAGTTGCTGGCTCCTGCTGTGCTGTCACGGCTTGTGGTGGTGGGGAGGGGCGAGAAGACGGATGATGGGGGTGATGAGGGGGAGGTTGGGGACGATGAGGAGAGGGAGGATGGGGTGGCACGGCTGTTTTTGTCTCATCTGCAGCAGAGGAAGAAGCGGGCGGCAAGCGAGGGAGGGAAGTTTGAGCTGTGGCCGATTTTCCTCCAGGCGCTGAAAATGGTGAGTGAAGCAGTGCTCGCATGTGTGCGTGCATGCTTGCTTCTAGGGCCAAGTCTACAAGTTCATGTTCGTTAGCAGAAAGGACTCAGGGGAGAATTCTCAGGTTGTCTCTGGAGAACATTGTTGAAGCTGGGCTGCTTTGAAGCATCTCAGAATGTGAGGTCTGGGAGTTTGAGAGATTTGACACACGATAAAACTGGCTGTTTGTGGCCTCGTTTTTTAAATCCTTTTCCCTTGACTTCCCTCTACTGTCCTGTCCTCCCCTCCCCTCTCCTCCATCACCACTTCCCCCCTTCCCCAACGTCAGACCTTCATTCCCACTCTCCCACTCATCTCCAACCACTCGCACACAGAGGATGACGTGGCACCATCTCATTTGCCAAGCCCGGCATCTGTAGCACGCTGTGCCAGTGTGGCAGTCCGGCTGGCAGCTGCAGCAGCCGCCCCGCAGTTCTCTGCGCAGCGATTGGCCGAGCAGCGGGCGGCGATTCGGCAGCTAGTGCAGGAAGGGGTGGCATTCGCGTTTGAGTCGCTGCCCGACCGGCTGGCGTTTCTCGAATGCGCGCTTCGACCGTTTGCTGTGAAGCTTCCTGGAAGCGACGCCCGAAGCATGTAAGGGTTGGTTCCTCAGCATGTGGCACTGTGTATGATGAATGCTGTGGTGTCATGTAGTTTGATGTGGTGTAAGATGGTTTCAGTGTTGGTCTTCATTCCGGCTTTTTAACACATCCTTGCTTCATGAATTGACTGATTTGCTTCTTGCTCCTTCCTCCCCTTGCTCCCTCTTCCCCTCTCCCTTTTCCCTGGTCAGTCTAAACGTGGTAGAGGAGAGGGTGTCAGCCGTGGATGAAGATGTGGCTGATGACGTGGCATCATCTGAGCCCTTGGTGGCCTTCACGTCTGTTCTGACAGAGAGAGCAGCGACAGCACCGCCACCAGCACCAGCTGCAGCCAAGGACAATGCGGCAGATGGACCGACCAGCAGGGCGGCACCTGGTGCTTCAGGTGATGCTTCAGGTGCTGACTCAGGTGAGGCAGGAGGTGAAGCAGAAGCAGAAGCAGACGGAGACATTCACAGGGAGGGGGCCGAGGAAGGGAGAGGGGGGGTGGGAGAGAGCGGGGAAGGCAGGAGACGGACTCGTCGTGGTGGTGGTGTGGATGAGACTGAATCGGCTGTCAAGCGCAAAAAACTCTCCTTTTCCACCGCTGCTGCTGCTGCTACTGCTGCTGCTGTTGGCGCCGATGCTGCTGGTGGGTTGGACGAGAAGGAAACTGAAGGAGTTGGCAGGCAGGAAGGTGATGGAGAGGAAGAGGAGGGAGGGGAACATGAGTCAGGGGGAGAAGAGGAGAGGGAGGTTGGGGAGGAAGGGACAGCGGAGGTGAGGGAGGATGGTTCAGAACCTGGGTTGAGTCAGCCAATGGGAGGGGGTGTGTTGGAGGCTGAGCCAATGGGAGGTGAGAGAAAGTATGTGAGAAAGAAGAGGAGAGGTTCGGTGGTGGATGGGGTGGTAGAGGAGAGGAGAATGAAGAGGAGAGAAGATGGGGGTGGTGAGGCGCGAGAGGGAGGAGCTTATGTTGGAGGGAATGGAGGAGTGGGTAGGGAGGTGGAAGGTGGTGGGCAAGAGGGGGAAGAGAGTGGGGGAGAGGCGGGCAAGTCTACGCAAGGCACAGTGGAAGAGAGTACTCCTGATGCGACTCAAGATGAAACGCCAGTGGAAGAGACCACCCAAGATGCGACTCAAGATGAGACGACTCAAGACGAGACGACCCAAGATGAGACGCAAGGGACCACCCAAGGGAATGAAGCGGGGGAAGATGGTAGGGAGATGGGAGGGAGGAGTGCCGGGGCCACTGAGGAGCAATTGCCTTCCTCCTTTGAGGCTACAGAGGAGGAGCTTCCTTCCTAGAGCGCTTTCAACAGTGAGTGGTGGCGGTGGATCAAATTGAATAGTTTTTTCTTTAGTGAGAAATGTATCTAAACAAGTCCTTAACGCCTCAAGTGATATACTTCTGTACAATCACCATAAACACTCGCAAGGTATGCCTGTCTCTCTAAGAACAAGGCAATCCACAAATATTCCGCTCATATCGCGTCCGCTCTCTGTCTCCCACAGTCGCATCCGCAATCGCGTATCCACAGCGTTGTCCTTTTGAAAGTCCCCCTTTATAAGCATAACACCCGCTTCGAGATGCGTCCAGTTCGGTAGTGTAGAAACCGTATCCTTCCACAGTACAAAAGTTCGCTTCTCCACTGGATTCCCGTAGTGCTCTTCCCATTCGAGTTCTCTCTCCCTTCTCCTTTCCTCGTCTTCCTCTTCCTCCTCACCCACTTCGCCGAGCCTCTCGCTCTCCCTCCGCTCCTCCGCTCCCCCAATTACGACCTGCGCCCCGCTCGTAAGCGGCCACTCCTCCCAGCACTTGAATGCGCTTCGCTGTTGAGTGCTTCCCCAAAACGCCAGCTTCTCTGCCACGTCATCCATCTCCGCCTCAAGCTCGTCTTTCACTAAACCAATACCTGTCGCCGCGGAATTCAAATCCGCGCCCCCATTCAAAGCCGCTATTCCCGAGGCTCTACCACCTGTACTTTGCGCGCCTCCCCCCCTCCGCCCAATCCCCCTGATGGCGCGCAGAGCGTCCGCCAAATCCGCGGGTTTACCTGTTCTCCTTCCTTTACGCCCCTTCCCCTTTCCCCTCCCCTTTCCGCACACGACGTCTCCGCTAACCGGCCCCAACCCTAAATCCCGCCAAGCCTCCGCCTCCGCGCCCTCTGCCCACTCCGCCTCTCGCACCAGCCGTTCCTCCGCCTCCCTCCGCTCCCCCTCCGCGGGGTCGCGCGCAATGCGCCACTCCGCCTCGTACGCGCCGGGACGAAGGGGGAAAGGAAGCGCAATATCGCCTCTGATAAGGAAGCGGTTGGCGGAGATCAGATGGGGGACGGACGTGTGGAAAATTGCGCCTGGAATCCCAACGTCCGCCACATTAGAACTGAAATTAGAAGTACCGTTTTGATGAGTAGTTTCGCCAGGGGGGTCGTTTCTTGCAACTTCGGACGCAGGCTGCTGTCTTCTCCTGTCCCGGTTCCGCCTATTTCGGCGATTCTGCTGCCTGTGACGCGATCCGTGTCCCTCGTTATAAGGAAGGTTTCCGTTATTAGGTGCCAGACGACCAGTCTCAAGAAACCATTCGGCTTCATCATCATCATCGTCATCATTGTTCTCATTTCCGTTTTTTCTCATTCCCACCACTTCAAGCACCTTCGCTACATTCACACAGGTTGTGACTGTAGCAGTGTATGGGTCCATGCTGACGTGGAATCGGCCGTCGTCAACGTAGACGCCTTGGCAGAGCTTCTGGCACACCCACCTCTGCGTAACGCTGCTGACGTGGCACCTACATCCCTCGCTGCTGCAACTGCTGCTGACGGCACCGCTGCTGCTGCTGCTGCTGCTGAAACTGCTTCTAGTGACTTCATCATTGCTGTTGCTAGTTCCGTTACTGGCGGAGCTGCTGGCGTCATCATTACAAGAGGATGATGTAAGGTGGCATACGCCCGTGCACATCGCAACGCGATGCGCCTCGAGGGCCTTCTGGAAGCAAGTCGAGTCGCAAAGAGGAGGGAGGAGACGCCCCCAGCTGACGTCAGACGCCGCTACTGCCGCCCACGTGCGAGACACGTGGGCCAAGCGGCAAATCTGCGCGGGAGCTAGAAAGGAGAAGATAGTTGCCAGACAGTCCACGTCGAGATGACTCATCTCTGAGTGATTCATCTCTGAGTGACTCATTTCAGAACGAATGGAAGCCCCAGACTGATCCATATTGTTCGCCTCGGGCGGTCGCGGCAAGGTCGCTATGATGCTAAGGTGAGCAATTGAGAAAAAAAATACGGGGCTAATTAGAGCCTATGACGGTATTCGTCCTTAAATCTGGGCGGGCCTACCGTTTCTCACGGAAACGCTGAAATAAGGACGGACGTTCGCTTTGAATGGTGACAATGACAATGCCGCAGCTGATGACCTCGGATTTTAGGAGCTCATTCCAATTGTGGGAGCTCTTAGAAATCAACCGCATGTTGACTTCAGCGACCATCGCGTCGTGACGTTAGTTTCTGGGAGTGGTGTTGCCGTGGCGTGTGCTTCCCGCAAACATCCCCCCTATTGAAGCTTGCTTTTCTGGGGGGGAAGGGAAAGAAGGGGGTTTTACGCCAACTGTCGCGATGTGAGGCTCCGATTGGTCAGTTCAAATACTAACGTGGGCTCATCCGCTGAATTAGGGCGCGTGTGATCGGTGGAATTTGTGAAAGTTTACATTTTAAGGGCGAGTTGTGCTACATGAACATATGTCGAACCAAACTCGACTTTCATTGTATCGGGGTTCGCACATCTGGACCACAACACTGCAGAAAAGCACACACATATACAAGGTCGAGTGCGCGTATTCGAACTTGTAAAAACGCACCGAACCGCATTTCTACAAAGTAGGTTACCCGGTTCAGTCGTCTTGACAGTGCGCCACGCGGCCGACGTGCGCTTCGGTTTCGGATAGCATAGACCTCCAGCTCACCTTCAATTCGGGGGTACAAATAGCTGCATACCTTTGCAATTTCAATGTGAACTTTCTACGCGCGATGCGCGAATTCTCACAAATGTGGCTGGGTCGACGTGGCATGGGGGTTGGCGGGAATTTTGGCGTGGTCCGTCAAGACAGCTTTGGAGTCGTTGGGGTATGGGGTGAACGTGCCACGATTCTCGCCACGTGGCCTCCATTCAGTACACGAAGGCTGTGGTGAGTTCGTTGTGGTACTGTTGCTACTCGTGAGTCGCTCGCACATTTCGCCAGATGCTCGAACGTGCGGGAAATCACACACGTGAATGTGAACATGCCGAAGCACGTTCACAACTAAAACTCGAGTCTTGTTCAAGTTTGCAGTTCGCATGTTGCCAAACCCAAAGTTGACGAAGTTTCGCTCGTATCTCTATGCGATATTGGCGAAACGGGTAACCACACGAAGTTCGCACTTTTTTTTAATTTCAAATCCGACCTCACACGCCCTTACCTCTGATACTTTTGACCAGGACGACCTCGGTATTATTTGCCTACACCTGCGCAACTGAATACACTATCGATGATCGTTGTAACAGGGATTTTTCCGCAGTGGGGGACCACCGACAGGGTCGACTCAGCGCTGACTCGCTCCACCTCATGTTCCCCCTTTACATGTGGCATTTCGGTAGAAAGAGTCCAGCTGGTCCCACCGCATCGCATCCCATCCCACAGTACTCCATTCACATCGTCCTATCCGAACCTTACCCACAACCTCGATTATGGTTTTCAACCACACTATACCTGACCAAGTTTCTCCTCATCTCTTCCCATTCACCTTTGTGGCAAGAAGCGGCACTTCGAAAGCGGCTTTCAGAAAGTACGGTAGCGGCAGAAATTGCAGTGATACACGTTTATCGTAGTGAATGTTGGTGGGCTATCGTCATCGCGCTTGGCTTGAGGCATCGTCAGCTCTTATGACGCTTTCTGCCTCGCACCTGGCTCGTGTTTAGACACAGCGTGGTTACCAAGTTACGCACCTTGAATCCCGCGCTCGCGTTTCGTCTCCCTGCTCTGCGACAATGAGTTTCGCCACGTGCGATCTGTGCGACGACAATCACGACGCCGTCATGCGAGGCGACATCCGCGTTCTAGAACCCGGCCTCGTTTCTTACGGTGGCCGAACCGCGTCGAGCGGCCGAGTCGTCACCTTAAAGCTCTTCGAGGACAACACACTAGTGCGCTCCGAGGTCGAACAGCCCGGCGAGTCGCAGATCTTAATCATCGACGGTGGAGGTAGCCGGCGCTGCGCGTTGCTGGGCGGCAATCTGGCGGTCGAGGCGGCCAAGAACGGCTGGGCGGGCGTTTTTGTCAGCGGGTGCGTGCGTGACGTGGACGAGATTCGCGGGTGCAACGTGGACGTGCGAGGGCTTGCCACGTGTCCCGTAAAGAGCGTCAAAAAGGGGCAAGGGGAGAGGAACGTTCCTGTGAAAGTTCAGGGGGTTATGGTGTACCCAGGCGACTGGTGCTATGCCGATAATGACGGTATAATCCTCTCCGCCAAGCCTCTTGTCCCCCATGGATCGCGGCAATAGTCGCTGGCACTACCAGGCAGGAAGAAAGCATAGGGGTCATGGTGTACCCAGGCGACTGGTGCTACGCCCATAATGACGGCATTATCCTCTCCGCCAAGCCTCTTACCCCCCGTGGATCGCGGCAATAGGCACTCCTAGGCAGCATAGTAGAATAAAAGGGCACCTGTTACTGAATGTGGTGGGGTGTTTATGTGCAGTGGGGCAATTTCTTCTGACTCCCCCAATCATACAGACTGGCTGTACAAGCTCAACTACTAGAAGGCTCTCAGTGTTCAACATATACCGTAGATTATGCGGCAGCAAGCCGTGCTCTACCGAGCACAAGAGGGTTCAGTGCCAATATGGACCTTCAGCTTTACATACACACTGTAACTTTGTCATTACCGCACTGTGTCATTACCGTATTGCCCAAATCCCCTGTACAGATCGCCTCTAGGCCTGGATAAAGGAGAGAAGAGCTTCAGTTGGTGAAGAGAAAGCGCAGATCGTCCTCTGTCAGCCGCCCCAACGCCTCTGATGATCCTCCCACCGTGCTGCGGAAAATGCACAACGAGAGGAGAAGGGGGAGAATGTTGAGAAGCGATGAAATTAAAAATTCCTCTCTGGTGATTTCGCGGACAAGTCATCCAGTTTTTAGCTGGAGAAGCAGCAAGAAGGATCTTGGAGTAGCAAGGTTTGGGAAGAGAAACGCACGTAAAACATAAGTTGACTAGGTTAGAGACTGCCCTTCCTCACAGAACAAGGCCAATCTGGCCATCCCGTCGGATCCATCAGAGCAGTCCACTCACCCATCAAACACCAGCTGCTTCTTCTCCTGCAGCTTTATTATGCGCTCTTCTATAGTGCCCGCTATCACAAAACGAGTCACCCTGTACAGGGGATGGCCAATGAGGAGAGGAGAAATGCGGGTGGGGGTTTGAAGTCTCAGTGGACAAATCTACCATAATGGGATGGTGGTGGGGAATGCAGGGGTAGAGGGGATAGACACACACAGACAATGAACGTCATTTATACAGAACACGACTGCAGTCATTTCATTTGGCAGCTTATACTCCCTTACAGACCTCACCAGCCCATTAGCAGGTTTCACTCATAAGACCATAACAGCATTGCGGGTCCCCAAGTGAACCATACTCATTAAGAAACATTGCCTCGTATGTGCTCCCAAAAATGATTGCCACTTTCCAAGCCTACCTGACAGGCTTAAACTGCCCGAGCCTGTGGATCCTGTCCTGTGCTTGCTGCTCCACTGCAGGATTCCACCAGGGGTCCATCAGAAAGACCTGCGCCAGGAAATAGAATAAGGAGTTTCAGCTTCAGGGTTCAGAGTTTCGGATTTTGGGGAAAATCGATGTACAGCATCACAAGGAGGATGCTGAAAAGCGTCAGCTGCACTGCAGAGCTCCACCAGGAGGTCGAGATTTGAGTCAGCTCGAAACTTGGTTCCACCAGGGGTACATCAACATCGCAGCTTGGCACTCCCTGAGACAGAAATAAGTACAAAGAATGGTGACTTTATCTATAGACAAATGGTGCGACTCACGTGGGAGGCAACGGTGAGGTTGAGAGCCACTCCTCCCGCTTTGAGACTCATGAGGAACACCTGATGATAGGTGAGGAGAGGAGAGTGAGGAGAGGAGGGAGGGGAGGAGAAGAAGAGGGAGGAGACGAGGGCAAGGAGAGGACGAACGGGAAGATAGAGCCTGGAATAAAGGAGGAAAGACAAACAAATATTAAAGAGAAAAACCTAAAAACTAACAGTACAATGAGAAGGTGAGCAAGGTTGCAGTAACAACTCCCATATATTTCTTTGAAGGAGTGAGATTATCACTAATTGTACCAACAGCACACTAGCAGCGGGAGCAAGGGAAAAGAAAACCTCACCCGACAGTCAGCATCGCGAGTGAAGGTGGAGATGATGCGATCCCGAGCGTCCATTGTCATGCTTCCATCCAGCTTCACACACCGCACACCCACCTGCATGCAGCAAGGGAGGATAAGAAGAGGGCAGGGGAGGTACAACAAGGATAGGAGGTGCCTACGGTGAAAATATGAGAGCTTCTGGTCGTGCTGCTGCCATCCAGCTTCACACACCGCACTACCACATGCATGCAGGAAGGAAGGAAGGAAGGACGGGCGCAAGGAGGAGAGGAAGAAGAGAAATTGGCGGTGTCTAGGATGACTTTTGAGTCAACTTGAAAAGTGTGTGGGACGACTCAGTGAGAGTCGATAGTCATGCTGCCGTCCATCTCCACACATCCGACACGACTTTTGAGTCGACTCAAAAGTCAGCTCCACACATCCGACACCCATATCGACCTCACCACCATACTTCATGTACCACGTGTGTGTGCAATGAGTTCGAGGTCGCACCTGGTGCAGGCGGTATTCAATGAGAGGTTGGGGTCGCACCTGGTGCAGGCGGTATTCAATGAGAGGTTGGGGTCGCACCTGGTGCAGGCGGTATTCAATGAGAGGTTGGGGTCGCACCTGGTGCAGGCGGTATTCAATGAGAGGTTGGGGTCGCACCTGGTGAAGGCGGTATGCAATGAGGTCGAGCATGGAGGTGAACTGGCTGAATACTAGGGCCTTGGCGCCTGGGTCCCTCGCCACCATCATATCCAGCTCCTCCCTCTGCCATCATGCCATGCCATGCCACGCCACGCCATGCCATGCCATGCCATGCCATGCCATGCCACGCCACGCCATGCCATGCCATGCCATGCCACGCCACGCCATGCCATGCCATGCCATGCCATGCCACGCCATGCCATGCCATGCCATGACGACAAAACAAAGTCACAAAGGTGAACAGCGAGACGGCAGTATGATAGTGGCTGCTCAACACATGAAACCGCACGGTATCGCATGAATCAAAACAAATCTGCACCACACCCCCAATCCATGTCTCAAATGAGGAGGAAGGGGGGCAGGGGAAGGGCACCCCAGCAAAGGGAGTAGGAGGAGCAAGGGGAGCAAGGGGAGACAGGGGAGGAAAAAGAGAGCAACCCATCCTCAGCCTCACCAGCGCTTCAATCTTGGTGCTGCTTTGGAACCGCGACAGATCCAGCCGACTCAAAATGCTCCCTCTCGCACGCACCACCCCTCCTGCCAACCGCCCCCCCTCCCTCCCCCCCTCCTTACCCTTCTCCTTCCCTCCCTCCCTACCGCCCCACCCACCCCCTCCCCCAGCCTCACCCCCACCTTCCCCCCTTCCCCCGCTCCCCTTCCCCCTTGCACTGCCTGCTTTCCCCTCAGTCACAGTGCTTTCAAGGGGAGAGGCGGGGGAGGTAGAGCTGAGATCCACAGTGAGGGGAGCAGAGCACACGGGGCACTCCAACACCCCCCTGCCGCCGTCACCACCGCCGCCGCCGCAGCTGCTGCTGCTGTGAGCTGCTATGAGATCCGTGATGCAGCCACGGCAGAAGGTGTGGTGGCAGCGCGAGGCCTGGAGGAGTAAGTTGAACGGGGTATGAGTGTGCGTGGGTTGGTGGGTGAGTGGTGGAGAAGGAAGGGAGAGAAAGCACGGTGGTTACTAAATCGCAGTCAAAAGCAACCGACGTACCACGGGGTCCTCTGCATAGTCACAGCAGATGCCACACACACTCGCCTCCTCCTCTCTTTCCTCCACTCGTTCCCCCTCCCTTTCCCCTTCTCCTCCAAAGCCCACTCCCCCTCCACCTCCTCCTTCACCTCCCCCATCCCTCGCCCCTCGTCCTGTCCTTCCAGAAACAGCTGAAGGAGCAGCAGCGGCAGCAGCAGTCGAAGCGGTGGCAGCAGCGGCAGCAGCAGTCGAAGCGGTGGCAGCAGCGGCAGCAGCAGCGGTGTTGTGGGAAGCAGAGTGCACAACAAGGTAGGGATGGTCCACTGCTTGGCGCAGGCGGATGAGCAGATCGAATATGTGCGCGTAGTTGTTGAGTAAGGTGCCCGTATCCACGTATCTGCAGAGGGGGAGGAGGAGAAACAGATGGCACGTGAGGGGATTAGGAGCATGTCAATGTAGGGATGGTCCGCTGCCTGGCGCAGGCGGATGAGCAGATCGAATATGTGAGCGTAGTTGTTGAGCAATGTTCCTGCGTCCACGTAGACGGCAAGATTTGAAGAAAAGTCAAGACAAGCACAGACACCGGGTCATGGATATCACAGATGGAAAAGGGAGAGAGGCAGATCAAGACTCAGACAGCAAGGCCAGAAAAAGAAGTCGGGATAGGGATTTTGAGAATTCTCAAAAACCAGTCCTGCATAACATAAAAAATTGTCCACTAACACGCAGTTTTGAGGCGCGAGAAATATTGCATCATAGGGCATCAAACAGCATCACACGGCACAGAGCTTGCGAGCATGTCATGCAGATTGGGCTGTGGTTGGGTAGGAACTGACGTGGCGAATTGTGATTGGCTCTGGGTGTAGAGCGCCTCGTACAAATCCTCTTCCCGTGCGTCAAATCTGTCCCTCCGAAGCGTGGACTGGAGGAGCAGCATGTGTCCGAATTTGTCCCGGAGGAGACAAGAAAGAAATACGGAGCAATGAGGTGAACAAAACAGCACACCCGAGGGACACACCAACATGATTTTTGAAGTTTCTTAGAAGGAAGACACAAATGTGACTTGTGGAAAACCTCAGCAGGGAAAACGCAAATGTGCGGGCATGACTGAGCTCGCAATCATCACTCACAGTTCTGGGCGGCAAAGTGAGGTCCGCCGCCCGTTCAGTCTTGGTGCGGCGCAGCAGAACGCGGTCGAGCACGCGGTGCTTGAGCAGCAGCATGGCCCTCCTGCCATCGCCCCCATACCCATGCTTCATTATGGGGTTTGCCACGAACTGGGGCGTCAGGGGAAAGAGGCAGAGAGAGAGCAGCAGGGAGTGAGGAGAAGAAGAACAAGAGTGCAGCAGAAATGCGGTCAGGCATTCGGTGCTTGAGCAGCAGCATGGCCCTAATCCCATCGCCACCGTGCCCATGCTTCTTTATGGGGTTCGCCACGAACTGGAGGTCAAAGAGAGGGAGTAGGGAAGAAGGGGGGGTGAGGAGTACAGGAGAACGCGGTCAAGCGCGCGGTGCTTGAGCAGCAGCATGGCCCTCCTGCCCTCGCCCCCGAACCCAGGCTTCATAATGGGGTTTCCCACGAACTGAGAGGGTCACAGAGTGGACAAGTTGGGTTGGGAGGAACAAGGGGAATTCACTACAGGAGGATGCGCAACCAAGTCACAGGCATCTGCGGGCTTCTGATTAGGTGTGTGAAATGCGTTTCGAAATCTGCGCACGCATGGTAAAGGGCCAAATTCCTCACCTTGTTCCACCAGCAGAAATGGACCAATGGCGAGTGGCCGCACTGGTCGCACTTGCGATTGTGTGCAGAGAACCTGCTCGAAAGGGTTTTAGGGAAGGCACAAACAGCCATGCACGAGCAGCCATGCACATACAACAGCCATGCGCGAGCAGCCATGCACATACAACAGCCATGCGCGAGCAGCCATGCACATACAACAGCCATGCGCGAGCAGCCATGCACATACAACAGCCATGCGCGAGCAGCCATGCACATACAACAGCCATGCACAGACAACAGCCATGCATATACAACAGCCATGCATATACAACAGCCATGCACATACAACAGCCATGCACATACAACAGCCATGCATATACAACAGCCATGCATATACAACAGCCATGCACATACAACAGCCATGCACATACAACAGCCATGCACATACAACAGCCATGCGCGAGCAGCCATGCACATACAACAGCCATGCGCGAGCAGGCCCGCAAGAGCAGCCAGAAAAGGGAATTAAACAAGTCATGGCGTGCAGATATGAGGAGAGACCACGCATTCGTCGCACTTGCGGTTGTGTGCAGGGAACTGACAACGAGAGTTCAGGATGCTGCAAGCACAAGGCACTACGGCGACTTTTGAGTCGACTCAAAAGTCGCATCAGTCGCACTTACAGGTGTGTGCAGCAGGATGCAGCACACAAATGGCAACTGGAACTCGGGATGCTGCAAGCACAAGGACTCTACAAATGAGCCTGCTCTCCCCATAAGCACGTCTACCAATCACTTGTGGTCCAGGGACTGGAAGTTGCAATGGCGGCAAAAATAGTATAAGGGTCGATCTGCAGAAACCTTATCAACGACTACAGCTCCCCGACACTCTTCCGTGGTGATTAAAGAGAGTATCAAAATCTGACTCACTTGTGGTCGAGCGACTGGCAGTCACAGTGCCGGCAGAAGTAGTACGAGTAAGGGTTGATCTGCAGGAAGCGGATCAGCGAGTACAGCTCCCCCACGCGGTTCTGCAGAGGCGTGCCACTGAGCGCCCACTTGAAGTCGGAGCAGAGGGTGAAGACAGCTCGGGCCGTGTTGCAGCGGCGGTCCTTGATGCTGTGTGCCTCGTCCAGAATGATCCTCCTCCATCGCACCAAGTGCAGCACCGATGCTGGTGATGACTTTCCTGGGGGTTGCTTCTTCTTCCCTCTGGGAGTCGATGCATTTGCCTGCCCAGCTGTGGTTGCACCGCCACTGCTGCTGCCACCGGCATCGTTACCGTCACCACCACCATCATCACCATCACCACCATCGTCAGGGTCGTCGTCGTTGTCATCATTATCATCGACAACTTTCCCTTTACCCTTACCTGACACGTCCGCTACCTTTCCCTTTCCCTTGCCCTGGTCCTTGCCTTTTCCTCGACCCAAATTTCTCCCTTTCCCCTTCCAGCCCCTCTCCTCGTCCTCATCGTCCTCCTCTTCCTCGTAGTCACTGTCACTCTCACCTTCCTCCTTCCACTTGGCCTTCTTTCCTTTCAAAAAGCTCCCACCTTTCCCACCCTTCCCCCCTTTTCCCGCCTGCCCTTTCCCACCTTCCCCTACCCCCTTGAAGCTTCTCGGCAGCTTCTTCTGCTGCTTCGCCTGCTTGGCGGTCCTCTTGGCGTTCGGGCCACAGAAATACTTTTGGTGGATCTCCAGCCGGTCAGGAAAAAACATTTTCTGGCACCACTGGCAGGGGACCTTGGAGGGGAACACAGCTGCCCGCATTTCAGCCTCCACAATGGAGAACGTTGTCAGAACCACGTCATACTCCTCTAAATCTTTCACACTAATTGCTCGCCTGGGACCGTGATACACCAGCACCTGACCATGGTCCGATCACCAGAGCACACCAGACGGATGGGAACAGGAAAACGAAAATGGGAAAGGTGGTTAGAACCACGTCGTACTCCTCTAGTTCTTTCACGCTGATTGCCCGCTTGGGACCGTGATACACCAGCACCTGTTCAGGGAGTTGATCATCATCGCATCACGTCACACCATACGGATGGGGACAGGGGAACGACGACAATGGAGAACGTTGTGAGAACCACATCGAACTCCTCTACATCTTTCGCACCAAACGCTCGCTTGTTACCGTGGTTCACCAGCACTTGCTCAGGGGTTTGATAATCGGATTACCATAAGGACAGAGATCGGGAGCAACAATGGAGAAGGTTGTCAGCAAGGGGTCGGTTCTGAGTTCATTCACTCAGAAAAGGAAAGAATTAATTTGACCCTCCTTGGTGCCAGATTCAAACCCCACGTCACCCACCTTAACACTGTCTGGGCGAGTGAAACGAGCGATCTCCTGCCGCCACTGCAGCACCGCCACGAGTGGGCAGATCACGAGAGTCGCCTTCACTGCTGGCCTCTCTGACTCATATGCACCTCCCCCAGATGAACCTGGATTGCCAGCTGTGGCCTGTGCGCTGGCAGCAGCAGTAGCGGTTACATCTGTGGGGGCTGGCATGGGAGCATCAACAGCAGGAAGAGCAGCAGCGGGTGATGCTGCTTCTGCCTTAGCTGATGCAGCTGCTGATGCTGCTGATGATGGTGGCAGTGGCTGAGGAGGAACTGAGGTGACTGCATGGGAGTGTGATTGCTGGTAACGGCTGGTGACTATAAGGGAGATGGCTTGAATGGTCTTCCCCATGCCCATCTCGTCCGCTAAGATGCCGCCCTTGATGGGGCCTTGCTCCTGCTCGAGACATCACAGTTACATCGCAGACATGATACAATGAAATTAAGAAACACAGACACACTTTATGAAAGGGCCACGAATGAGCATATACAATGGCATAAGATTTTATGCAGAAAGCAATGATAGAAGGTATAATCGAGGGGAAATTGTGAAGTGAGGCTCGGTAACACCCATACCTGCTTAAGGTTCAGTAACGCCCATACCTGCTTAAGGTTCAGTAACGCCCATACCTGCTTAAGGTTCAGTAACGCCCATACCTGCTTAAGGTTCAGTAACGCCCATACCTGCTTAAGGTTCACTAACACCCATACCTGCTTGAGGCTCCACGCAAGCCACTCCTTCTGGAAGGGCAGCAGCGGCATGAGAATATCCGGAGCAGGCTCCTGCTCCCGCGGCCTCTCCCTCTTCTCCATCAGGTGCTGAGGCGTCACCTCCCCTCTGTTGCACGCTGCTAGATCCCTCTCCCACTCCGCCATTCGCTCTTCTTCCACCTCCTCGCCCTCTAAATGTACTGGCCGCACCCACGCCGCTGCCTTTGCTGCCCGTTTCCGCTTCTTATCCTGCTGTTTTTGCTGTTTTTGAGATTTCTTCCCACTGCCATTGCTGCATCTCTTCATGTTTCTCCACGTCCGCTTTGCTCGAGCGCTCAGAGCCACATCCTCATCTGCTTCCTCCTCTTCTTCCTCCTCCTCTTCAGACGGTAAACTCGCAACCTCTTGCTCCTCTTCCTCCACCTCCTTCCTCTTGTTCTTCCCTGCTCGCGTAGTCACACCCTTAGGCCACCGCTTCATCCGATCCGGATCAACCCCATCCGCGTTCTCCTCATCGTTCTCAACCTCCTCATCCTCCCAGGATAACCTGTCCCTGCCTTCACCCACGCCGTTTACATCCAACGGATCAACTTCTTTCACTCCCAGAAACACGCGATCCTGCTCCTCCTCGTCCTCGCTAACATCATCTTCGTTATCTTGTTCCAGATCGGAGGCAGCCCAACTGTCGTCCGAATCCGATGCTGCTTCTTCGACTTCAGACAATGATTCGCCGGATTTCGAATCTGCGTCCACCATGTCGCTCGCCCAGCGAAATGACGACGAAGATGTTACAACTGTGTCGTTCGCCTTCAACTTCGTCGAAAGGCCTTTCATTTTCGCCGGATTCGGCTGCTTCTTCCCGCCAGACTCCTGCTTTATCTCTTGATCCGTCGCCCGGACTGTTTTATTTCGTGCTCCATTGCTGTCCTTCGCTGTTGAAGTCTCCCGCTTTGCACCTGACGACTCAAAACCTGCGAATCCGTATTCTAGCTTCAATGGCGGTCGCCTCTGCCTCGTGGATTGCCTGCGAGCGGAGCTAGTTTCGACAGTTACCACCTCAACACAGTCTTCATCTTCGCCAGCCGACGCGCTCGGCTCCACTTTCGCTCGCTTCGCCTGCCGAGCCATAACGGATTCGGATTTAAAGGCTGGAATTTCGAACAATGAACGCAATCACGTGCGTGAAAAGCGGGAATTTGACCAGAGAGCAGGTCATGACGGCGGAAACGGAACCACGATCCAGAAAGGAAAAGGATAGAGTGGAGGTATGACGGAAGATGAGGAGCGAGAAACCCTGGCGTGTGGCGGCAATGTTGAGCAAATGCGTGTGGGGGAAGATAAGTGGAGGAAATTCTTGGCTTTGGAACGAATCCAGAGGCGAGGTAACTGAAGGGTGTGAGTGAAAGAGCAGGACAGAGGGTTGGTTTGAGAGAGCAAAAACTGGAAACGTCAGCTTCACCCCATGTGCTGACTGCAACCGTCTCCGTCTGCTCGTAGCTCTGTTCGGTAGCCGCTCAAAAACAGGAGGTTCAGTGTGGTTCAGATAAAGTTTGGCCCAACAGGTGTCAGTCACACCCTCGGTGCCGACGTACAAAAGTTACGCACCTTCAGCACCGCCTTTTTCCACGAATCCCGTCTGCGTAGTTTCCAGGGGCTGGCAGGCTGGGGGAGGATACGTGGCGCGCGGGATGTGAAGGGAGCAACCTGTTGAAAAAATACCCGGTATACAGTTTCTCGCAGCGGACGCTTATCCTCAGTAACATCACGTTCCTTCCAGACTAGAGAGATATACTTCTCAGTTGTGCAAAGTTTGCTAGCTCCCCGCTCCCCTCCGCCGTCATCGTTCCCTGTTTTTCCCTCACCCCATTCCCTAGGCGTGTTGTGCCCTAGAATAGTCCCACCCTACTTTCCGCCTTGTAGGGGTTCCTCCTCCCTAATCTCTTACGCGACTCCATCGACCAAGTCACCGCGGTGCGAGTTATTTTCGGACCGCAACATGTTGGGTCGAGCAGCGGTTTTCGCGCGCTCCTTGGCCCGCGGCCAGGGAGGATCGATCGCTGAGAAGGCGTGCAAGGTAACTTGGTAACCACTTCGCGACGATCTTGCTGCAACTCGAATCTTTCGCTCGCCGACACGCACTCGATGCCATCGCGACGTATCGGCCTGTATCACGAACGATCTTTATACCTATAAGAGTATATTCCGCCCCGTCACGGCGAAATAACAGCGCGTCTATATATCACTAGCGCTCAGTGTCCACTATGCTCCATAGCTCGCGAAATGCAGCATTGGAATAATTACGGTTTTGGATCTGCGGCCCGGATCTGTTCGTTTTGGTCATCCAGCTCCCCCCACAAACCGCGCGACTTCTGAGTCACCTCGGCAGTCATCTTGGATCCGCGTGTCTCGGGCCACTAGACTCTCGTAGCCAGCAGCCCACCTTTCAGTCACTCAACCGATCAAGAATCCATCACGCAACCGTGCATCCCGTCGTTCCCTGCGATCTGCGCATCCCTGCTGATCTCGCTGAGCTCCAGATCCGCTTTCGATCGCTCGATATCTTAGCCGTCGATCTTGCTCATTTTCTTGCTGCGTTCATTATAACGCCAAACTCGTTACTGTCAACGCGCATTGCGATCATGTTTAGAAGCTTCGTGCGACCCTATGGTGATGATCTGTCCACGTTTCTCCGATTACCAGATAAACGACCTTCTGGCTCCCGTCCCTAGCCCTCTGTCTCGTCTCTGAGACTCCGTTCAACCTACCGCCGTATATAGCTCCTTATCCAGCTCAGCTTAAGTATTATCCTCCCCTTTTTTTTTTTTTCAAACGTGTTCCCCTGACAACTCTCGCCCTTCTTTCAGCCATTCAGCACCAGCGCACAGGCAGTGGCCGCCGCGTCAGCTGCCGGCAATGAGAACACGACCAACGACTCGCTGACGTGGAAGCTGCTGCGCGCCACGGGTGCAGTGGGCGGCGCGGTGTTGGGCGTGGCGGCTCTCGCTGACGTGGCACGTGCTGACGAGGCGGAGCACGGTCTTCACGCTCCCGCGTACCCGTGGCCTCACGACGGCATCTTCAGCTCCTACGACCATGCCTCGTGAGTACCGTCGCACTGTCGCACATAACGAGGTGACCATTGAGTCGTCGCAAAAGTCTTTCTCCTGCGTACCATGCCTCGTCAATATGTACGACCATGCCTAGTAAGGATTCTCGCTCACAACCACGCAATGCCCTCCCCCCTCCTTCTCTTCCCCCCTCCGCCCCACGGTCCCCTCCTCCCGCCGCGCCAGAATTCGGCGCGGGCACCAGGTGTACCAGCAGGTGTGCGCGACGTGCCACAGCATGTCGCTGGTGGCCTACCGCGATCTCATCGGAGTGGCGTACACGGAGGACGAGGTCAAGGCGCTCGCTGCTGAGGTCGAGGTGGAGGATGGGCCCAATGACGAGGGCGAGATATGCTCCTCCTCCTCCGCCCCCATTTCCCCACATTTTCCCCCCACCCCCGGTGCTATTTTCCATTCCACTCCCTCGCCCCCTCCCCCTCCCCCGCCCCCTCCCGCTCCCCCTCCCCTCCGCGCGCCAGCATTCGGCGCGGGCACCAGGTGTACCAGCAGGTGTGCGCGACGTGCCACAGCATGTCGCTTGTCTCCTACCGCGACCTCATCGGAGTAGCCTACACGGAGGACGAGGTGAAGGCACTCGCGGCCGAGGTGGAAGTGGAGGATGGACCCAACGACGAGGGGGAGATGTTCCTCCGGCCCGGGAAGCCCTCGGATAAGCTCCCGAACCCGTACGCGAATGAGCAGGCTGCGCGGTTTGCTAACGGCGGAGCTTACCCGCCAGATCTCAGCCTGATCAGCAAGGTATGTGCTGCTCAACCCCCCGTGTTGGAGTAGACTGAATAGCCCCCCGGTCGAGGTGGAGGACGAGGTCAAGGCGCTCGCCGCCGAGGTGGAAGTGGAGGACGGGCCTAACAACGAAGGCGAGATGTTCCTGCGCCCGGGCAAGCCCTCGGATAAGCTCCCGAATCCGTACGCCAATGAGCAGGCTGCTCGGTTCGCGAATGGCGGGGCTTACCCTCCGGACCTCAGCCTCATCAGCAAGGTTTGTCCTGACCTCTCCGTTCCCCACTCCCACACCCCCACCCCCCCTCTCCCCACCGCTTCTCCCGCCTTTTTCCTTTGCCTTTTGAGTCGACTCACAAAGTGCTTTGTTTGCAAATGGCGGAGCTTAATCTCGAGATCTCAGCCTTATCAGCAAGGTACGGTGCTGCAACCTTCCTCTTCTAACACACCACCTCCTCCTCCTCCTCCCCCTTCCCTCCCCTTCTTCAACACCCCTTGCTCGCCTAAGGGCTCATTCCTGGTTCGGACACCATCCGAAGTTTGCCCACGAGGTTTGCAATTTCAAAAAATGACATTTCAATGTTGGATCACGCGGTCCGAAGTCTGGACTCTCTGGTTTAGTCGGCCACAGAACGTGCGACCAACGTGAACGTCAACTATCGAACTGTGCGATCATACCTAAACCAATGATTTCATTTCACGTCATCTGCTTTGTCCCTCTTGTGTTTTTTTGCTGGCTGGTTTCCTCAAATAGCCTGCCCAATCCAAGTAATTTAAGCACTTATCGCATTTATACAGAACACGTAGCCTGAAATTGGCTACCGATTTATTTTGTAATGCCCGACACTCATTATTGGCCGTTAGCAGTTGACGCTACCAAAGTGTCTCGCGTCATTCTCTGATTGGTCGCGAACCCAAGCGACGCGCGCGACACTGGTCGCCTGCCAGACCCTGCCTGATGTCCAAGGTGGGGCCCTGCCCCACACGGACACCATCCTCACGCCAAAACACCTTCAGGTGGGCGAACTTCGGATGCTGTCCGAACCAGGAATGAGCTCAAAATAGTCCCAAGGCCCGCATCACCGAAATTTCCCACCTGTTCTCTCCCTACCCCACTTTCAGGCGCGCCATGACGGGCAGAACTACATCTATGCACTCCTCACAGGCTACCGCGAACCCCCTGCTGGTATCTCGGTGAGTGTGGTGCCACGTGTGTGTTGTCACGTGTGTGGTGCCACGTGTGTTTTGTCACGTGTGTGGTGCCACGTGTGTGTTGTCACGTGTGTGGTGCCACGTGTGTGTTGTCACGTGTGTGGTGCCACGTGTGTGTTGTCACGTGTGTGGTGCCACGTGTGTGTTGTCACGTGTGTGGTGCCATGTGTGTGTTGTCACGTGTGTGGTGCCATGTGTGTGGTGCCACGTGTGTGGTGCCACGTGTGTGGTGCCACGTGTGTGTTGTCTCCATGCACATTCAGCTGAGGGGATGTTATGGAGTGATGTGGAGCGTGCGAGTGTGTTATTCTAAAAATACTTACATTACTTCAGTCGTCTAACATTAGGTAAAGTAATGTATCATGTTTCATGTACGATCATGCATACTGCAGCACTCATCCTGTCATGACTTCAGCGCTTTTCCTCCCATTCACCACCCCCCCCTCCCTTTCCCCACCACCCCTCCACCCATCCCCGTCCCCGTTATGGCCTTTGAGTTGACTCAAGAACCGTCCTCATCGCGCTCTCTCACCACCCTCAACCCTACACCCGCTTTCCTCCACGCTCATCACCACCCCTCCCGTAAATGCACAGGTGCGAGAGGGCCTGCACTACAACCCGTACTTCCTGGACGGCGCCATTGCCATGGCCAAGATGCTCAACGACGGTCTTTGAGTCAACCCAAATAACCTATTAATACCACCACCCTCATCCCACCACCCTCAACCCCCCACACTGTATGTGTGGACAAGCAGGTGCGAGAGGGGCTGCACTACAACCCGTGCTTCCCCAGCGGTGCCATTGCCATGCCCACGATGCTCAACGGCGACCTTTGAGTGCAACAAAAGAAGTTCATTTTCTCCCTCCCTCCCACCACCCTCATCCCTCCACCCTGGGTGCACAGGTGCGAGAAGGGCTGCACTACAACCCGTACTTCCCGGGGGGCGCTATTGCCATGCCCAAGATGCTCAACGACGGTCTTTGAGTCGACCCAAATAACCTATTAATACCACCACCCTCATCCCACCACCCTCACCCCTCCACACTGGATGTGTGGACAAGAAGGTGCGAAAGGGGCTGCACTACAATCCGTGCTTCCCCGGCGGCGCCATTGCCATGCCCAAGATGCTCAACGGCGACCTTTGAGTGCAACAAAAGAAGTTCATTTTCTCCCTCCCTCCCACCACCCTCATCCCTCCACCCTGGGTGCACAGGTGCGAGAGGGGCTGCACTACAACCCGTACTTCCCGGGGGGCGCTATTGCCATGCCCAAGATGCTCAACGACGGTGGTGTGGAGTACGAGGATGGCACACCCGCCACGGAGTCCCAGCAGGCTAAGGACGTGGTTACTTTCCTTGCATGGGCCGCTGAGCCTGAAATGGACGAGCGCAAGCTGGTGAGCAGTCAGGCTTAGAAACCATGTGTATGGTGCAGGGAAGTAGCAGTGTGGTGTACGAGGATGGCACACTTGCCACGTAGTCCCAGCAGGCCAAGGATGATGTTACTTTCCTTGCTTGGGCCGCTGAGCCCAAGATGGACGACGAACGCAAGCTGGTGAGCGGCTGAGTGGTTGGCTTGCATTGCACTGTGTGTGCATTTCAAGAGGTGGTGGGGAGTACGAGGATGGCACACCCGCCACGGATTCCCAGCAGGCCAAGGATGTTGTTTGTCACTTTCCTTGCCTGGGCTGCACTCACGACTTTTGAGACGTCTCAAAAGTGAGTCCCAGCAGGCCAAGGATGTTGTTTCTTTCCTTGCCTGGGCTGCACTTACGCGATAACTGTTTCCACCCAACCACCTATCCATATGTGCCCTCTCCCCCGCGTGTTTCCACCCAACCACCTATCCATATGTGCCCTCTCCCCCGCGTGTTTCCATGGCACATGGGGGTGAAGTGGATCTTCGTCCTCTCACTCGTGTGGCTGCAGGTCATAAACTACGCAGGGCCGTTCACTCGTGTGGCTGCAGGTCATAAACTACGCAGGGCTGTTCTGGACGCTGTTTACTGAGCGTTTCAGCGTCCATCTGCGCCCTCTCACCACACCTTCCTGCCCACCTGTACCCTCTTCCCCCCTCGTGTGTTCTTTCCATGGCAGATGGGCGTGAAGTGGATCTTCATCCTCTCACTCGTGTGGCTGCAGGCCATCTACTACAAGCGGTGGCGCTGGGCGCCCATTAAGTCCCGCCGGGTCATCGTCGACGTTGTTAACTGAGCGCTTCAGTCTGTTAACAAAGAGCCAAGCGCTCAAAGCTGTCAACGGCGAGTCAGCGGCAAATACATGCAGATTGGAGATGCGAATTCAGGGTTAAAGGATTGTCATCTGAGAAGAACCATAAAATGCACCAGGCTTGTATCAAGGTAGGAAGTGAGCGGGAGCCATAAAATGCATCCTCCTCTTTCACCCCTCCACTGTCCGCCACTCCATCTCGTTATCTTCCCTTCTATACCACTTCACTCCAACAGTCCATTCTCCTTTTGCAGCTGACTCCATAAAGCGTATCGATGTTCCCACCTGTATTGTACCATCAGGCTAATGATAGCAATACATCGACGTGTTAGCGTCTCCAATTGACATGTTTTAACTTAGGGTGCTTGAAATATATCTAGAAGTAAAACCACCTAGTTTAACAAAAATGTTTTTGAGATCTACAGTAAGTATCCACCAACCACTTCCCTGACAACCACAACCTTGGTTTCAACGAGCAAGTGAACCAACCAAATCCTTCGTGGTTGAGGCCATAGAAATTGACGGCGACAGCGAGCTGGCTGGACCAATATATTTTTGTGTGCGAGACGAGCTCACTGTGAAACGGTGGAATACGACGACGTGCAGTTTGGAGCGGTTCGCCCTTTCAACCTGTTTGAACCACTACTCACCTGCTGAAGATCGCTAACATATGGCAGGCAGGCCAGTAGGAAGAAATTAACTACCTCGCCTACTGATGATGGCTGGATTTTTTAGTAACCAGTTTTTAACATTTCGATTCGACGTGCAAGAGAGCTAACGTCGGGAGTTTAGTCAGATTCGCCCTGATTAACCGTTCGTTGACCTGATCGCTTGGTCGGTTGCGCTCTAGGTCTGATCCATCATCACTGTACAGGCTTTCGGCCGTTATTCCCCATGTACGTCGCTCATTGCAGTGCTAGTATAGTTGTAATCGCCATATCAGCGTTTCAGGCACGACGTGTAACATCGCTGATTGCCCCTGGTTTCTAAGCTTGCACAGCTGCCTTCCGCTGACATTACCGGTGATAAGTGCTTCCACTCATGTCAAGGAAATTAGTCTAGAATGGCGCTTGATTATCGAGATCAGATCGAATCCGATGGGTCACCGCCTGGCTTGAGGATACGCGAGGATATGGGCGAAAATAGGTCCAACGATTTGCATTGATTCTCGTTTCGTGTGATCGATTTTCCAGGTGATAGATAGACCTGGGAGCATTGCGTGGGAATCCCAGGTCCAGGCCGCTTCCTGCTCGTCGTCCTAATTACTCTATGACTCGGCCTATAGGATCGATTGCTTTGTAGTTGCGGGTACGAACCATCAGGAATTGTCAGAAATCGTCAAGAATTGTCAGAACTCGTCAGGAGTCATGGCGGGAAGCGCTGGTCGAGGTCGCTTCCTCTTCGTCTTCCTGATCGCCCTCGTCGCGTCGGCCGCGCTGCGAATCTGGCTCGAGCTGCAGCGACAACCGGGTCGCCAGCATACTCGTCAAGAGCAGACCCGAGAATTGGCATGCGCTAACCCTAGTAACGAACCGATCAACTTGCAGACAGCCTCTCATTTAGACCCGTCAAGCTCATCCTCCTCTTCCTCCTCCTCCTCTTCAGTACGTTCTCGGGGACTTCTTGCACCTGAGCCGCCGCTTAGAGGACCTTCGTGGCAGCTTCCGCGAGACCTCGCGAGATTATTCCCAGGTCCGAACGGCGCGAGGGTGGATCCTTCGCAATTCCGGCTGCATATCAAAGTGCTGGTCTACGATCGGCCTGACGTGGCAGCTCGATGCCTGAAAGCGTTAGCGAATGCAGAGTACGACGGGGATGTGGTAACCCTAGATATTTTCGTCGACCACACGTTTGGTAACCGTTCGGGGAAGTCAGCCTGGACGAGACGAGCTGCGGATCGGGTTGCAGTGGCTCACTCGTTACTGTCACTGTTGGATAAATTCACGTGGCCGCACGGACCGAGGAGTGTATTGTACCGATCCCAGAATATGGGGATTCAACCGCAGTGGTTGGAATCGTGGTGGCCTGAGAGCGTGAATGACGTGGCATTTGTGGTGGAGGATGACATGGAGGTTTCGCCGCTGTTTTATCGTTATTTGAAACGGCTTCTTGGAGTGTACTACTTTAACGCGTCGAATTTCAACCCGAGCGTGTATGGGGTCTCCTTTCAACGGCAGTTCTTCATTGCAGGTATGCCATGTGGGGATGGCGGGAATGATTGCAATGATGGGGGTGATGATGGGAGGAATGTTGGGTATGGTGGGTGGGGATGGCGGATGGGGGACGCAGAGTGGTGGGCAAAAGGGGAGTGGTGTGGGGAAGGGGGGGGCGGGGGTGGTGGGGGATGAGGGATGGGAAATGGTGGGAAATCCATCAGCAGAGCATTGAGATACCCTCTTTCTTTTTGTCCGGGTCATTGTCCCTTCCTTTCAACGCTTTCCTGGATCACCCCATCACAACCCTCCTCACCAGGCTTCAACGTTGGCCTCAGCAGCCGCTTATGACTTGTCTCAAAGTACCTTTTCCTCGTTTGACCACAACACAACCCCTTCACACCCCCCCTTCACATCCCCCCTTCACATCCCCCCTTCACACCCCCCCTTCACACCCCCCCTTCACACCCCCCCTTCACATCCCCCCTTCACATCCCCCCTTCACACCCCCCCTTCACACCCCCATCACACCCCCTTTCACACCCCCCTCCCTGACCCTCGCCTCCCGGTTTCAACAGTGGGCTGAACGTGTACGACCATCCGGACCCTTTTCTTTAGCAGCGCGTGTAGTCCACCCCCCTCCCCTCTTTTCGTCACTGCTCCTTTCCTCTTTGTGCCCTGTCCAAACCGCTTCCCCTACTTTCCTCCCTGACCCTCCCCTCCCGGTTTCAACAGTGGGCTGAACGTGTATGACCATCCTGACCCCTTTCTCTATCAGCTAGTGCAGAGCAGTCCATCCTTCTCTCCTCCTCTCTGTATCATCGTTCCTATGCCTCCCCTCCCCCCAGGCTTTAATAGTGGGCTGAACGTGTACGACCATCCGCCATCCGGACCCCTTTCTCTACCAGCTCGTGTCATCGTTCCCTTTCCCACTGACTTCTCCGTCTGTGCCCTCCCCAACCCCCCCTTTCCCCAGGCTTCAACAGCGGGCTGAACGTGTACGACCATCCGGACCCCTTTCTCTACCAGCTAGTCGGCACATGGGGCCAGTTCCTCCTCCCAGCCCCCTGGAAGCAGTTTCGCCTCTGGTACGACATGCGCCGATACAATTCCACGCGAGAACCCTCACTCGACGGGCTAAAAACCACAGTTTGGTTCAAATCTAAGGGTAATCGCCTCTGGACACCCTGGATAATCAAGTGGGCGTATGCCAAGGGTATGTTCAATCTTTACCCCTCGCCGCCCGGAAATCTTTCGCTCTCGATCTCGCACCGGGAGAAAGGGTCGAATATGCCGAAGAACCGGGGAGCTGATGCCGCCCTTTTGACTCCCCAGAAGCTAGCTGCCGCCCTGGCTGCTGCGTCTTCTTCTGCTGCTTCTGCCTCAGCAGGAGGGGCGGCAGGGAGGGGTGCTGCTGGCGCTACAGTCGGAGGGGTGGCAGGGAGGGCTGTAGCAGGAGGGGCGGATGTTGCATGGGCGCGGTCGATCAGGGCATGGTGGGTCCGGCCGCTGCCGGCATTACGCAGGTTGGAGCGGCACGACCTGTGTTTCCGGCAGTTACGCTGGTTACCACCTGCGAAAACGCTGGAGGAGTTTCATTCGCTGCTGAATGCTGTTGCTCCGGTGAGCATGGGTGGGGGCGGAGAGAGAAGGGGGGTGGAAAGCACTGGGAGAAAGAGAGGGTGGGGCAAGGGCGAGGGGCAGAGAGGGAGGGGAGAGTTAGGAATTTAATGGATGGGCCACAGAATGGGCTCTCTGCATCTGATATGAAACGAAAGATTCTTCTTTGCACAGTACATTGCCTCCCTTGTTTCTCATTCACCCCTCTTGTCACGTTTTCTCCCTTGCGTTTTTTCTGCTTGTCTTTTCAGGAAAAATACGTGTCTCTGATAGTGGTGCCGTTCGACGGTCGAGATCTCATCAACAACTGGCTCTGCCACATCGACGGCTCTGGCGTTTCCAACATCATCCTCATCGTTCCATGCGCCAGGCTGGCCGCTGAGCTGGCAGCACGGGGCTATGCTGTCTTCTACCTGCCACCTGTCACCCGTCGCAGGATCTTGCGACACCTGGAACGGACCAATGGTGCTGGCTCAGCAGCTGCAGGCGCTGGTGACAGCAGTAGCAGTGGCAGCAGCACCACTAGCAGCAGCAGTAGCAGTAGTAGCAGCAGTAGCAGTAGTAGTAGCAGCAATGGGGGTACAGATGAAGGCGGAACTAGTTTCGGGGGTGTGGGCACTATCACCAGCATCGGCATAGACAGTCTGTTTTGGAAAGATGATCTGAAGGATGATCCAGGCGCAGGTGGCTATAACACAGCAGAAGGCGAGGAGGACGGTGAGGCGGAAGGGGACAGTCGTTCTGGCCACACTAGCAATAGCAGCAGCAGTGGGGATGGTAGTGGTGACGGTTCTGGTGATCCTGGGGTTGTTACTGGCTACGGAGGGGAGGAAGAGGAGGAGGAGGATGAGGTGAGGAGGAAGAGAGGGTTGGAGGATCCTGTTGAAGTCAGTAGGAGGAGGAGATTGAGTGGGCGAAACCACTGGACTGCCCGGCACGTTCAGTTAGTTCTAACCGCTCTTTCACTCGGCTTCAATGTGGCTATAGGGAATGCTGACACTATATGGAGGGGTGATCCCCTAGCAGCGGATACTGTCACTCGTGTCGATCCGAGCTTTCAGATGTGGGGCCGTCTGGATGCCGTTGATTTCAGCTCCTCGTTTCTCGTCGTGCGATCCTCGCCGTCGACCATCGCCGCGTGGGGGCAGCTCGAAAAGTTTTGCGCACGGACCCCGCTGCTGACAAACGTGCTTGCGGGCAGCATGGTGGTTAATTTTGACGTGGGGGAGGTGGAATGTGGGGGAGGGGGGAGCCGGCAGCAGCAGCAGCAAGCAGCGCAGGTGCTAAGTAACTCTGTTAGTTTCAAAGAAGCAGGGACGATTCCCTTTGGGCCGCAGGAGGGGGTGAGGGTTCCGAAGGGGTGGCTGCTGCCAGTGATAGTGCCTCCTTTCGCGGGTAAAAAGGAGGAGAAGATTGAATCGCTGAAAGCCGCTCGGTTGTGGGTGATTGATGATTTTGATCATGCGTGTAGGGCCGTCACCTGCCGAAGACAGTTCTGACACATTACATGTACGTGATTTGTTCCTTACATTGTGTAAGATTTTCCATGACAAGATGGTTGTTCATTTTAATCACCTGTGCCAGGCTATCTCCTGCTGGAGACAATAGCTAAGAGGTGGTAACTGCTACTACCACCTGTGTGTCGCCACAACCCAAGAACAGTAAGCTAACTTGCGTAAGTCGGTTGTGAAGTCGACCCTCTGAGGGCAGGTTTGGCCAGCCAGAAGTGAAGACCGAGTTACCAGCTGACCTGCTTGAGTGCTGACTCATGCAAAAGCCACAACTAAACACGTACCGTAACTAGTACAGCCTATGTGTTTGGCTGCAGCTTTGAGTACGTACAGTAGCTTTGTCAACAGCAAGTACCCTAGGAGAACGACAAGAGGTGGCTGCTGCTGCTGCTGCAGCATGCAGAGAAGAGAGCAGCACTTGTCACCATTACGAGAAGAGCGTTGCAAGCACTCGATGGTGGTTGCTTGGCTGGTGGCAGAACCAGGACAGATGGCCCTCGCCAGGCAACTCATACAGCTTCACCACATGCGGCAGCTGCTGCTGCAGCCAGCGCTGCAGGGAGAGAGGCACCAAAACGTCCTCTGTGCCATGCCATATGTGCACCAGGAACGGAGGGGCAACGTGTTGAGGTAGGCCTGGTGCACCCCTGTCACTCTCCTCCCGAGTTCTCTTTTTTTCTCGGTTTTGAGGCGCCTCAAAACTAGGTAGGTCCGATGCATCCCTGTCACTCTCCTCCCGAGTTCTCCTTGTTTCTCGGTAATCCTTGTCCTCACCACTGTCCCTGATTTCTCCAATATCCATCATGTCTTGGATATTACTGAAGCATCCTATGTCGAGGACATCGAAGGGCCAAGGGCGGCTGAAGAGCTCAACGTCCTTGGCCATGCCCTCGCCGTGCGATCCCATAAGGAGCGACTCGGTATTGTCGTTAAGCAGCGCCTGTGCCCCCTGTGGGTGCAGCAGGTACTGGCGGTCGGCGGGTGAGAGGCTGTGCTGCAAGCGCTGCAGCCATAAGGGACCTGGGAGAACGAGGGCGTGAGGCAGAGGAAAAGAGGGCGGTTCAAGACGCAGAGTTGATGCATGGAAATACTGAGGTCCCCTGTGGGTGCAGCAGGTACTGGCGGTCGGTGGGTGAGAGGCTGTGCTGCAGGCGCTGCAGCCACAAGGGACCTGGAAAAGGGGCGGAGAAGCGAACGATGACGATGCGGTTGAAGAGGCTGATGAGCCTATGAGGGTATAGAGACTAGAAACACACTTACCAGCAAAGGGAAGTGTTTTGAGACGTCTCAAAACACTTCTTCATGCACGATGCGGATGAAGAGGCGGATGAGCCTATGAGGGTAGAGAGACTAGAGCCACACTTACCAGCAAAGGGAACGACATTTTTTAGAATTCTCAAAAATGAGCCTATGAGGGTAAAGAGACCAGAAACACACTTGCCAGCAAAGGGAATGACAGCTTGCAGACGAAAAGGCGGATAAGCCAGAGCGGGGCACTTAACAGTGGAAGGGGCACTTAACAAGCTGGTAGTTATAACTTTTAAGAAAGTGCATTTACCGGAGAAGGGGACGACGAAGTTACGAATGAAAACGCGGATGAGCCAGAGCGGCGCGAAGCGGCCGAGACGAAGGGAGCGGCGGGAATGAGGCGTCATGCCGGCGAACATGGCTTCCCTGTCCTGGTCTGATATTCCCTGTGGGAGGAGAGAGTAGGAGGTGAAGGGAGAGAGAGATGAGAGAGGAGCGACGGGGGAGGGGAGTGAGGGGAGTGAGGCGCCATGCCAGCGAACATGGCTTCCCTGTCCTGGTCTGATAATCCCTGTGGGAGGAGATGGGAAGGCACATTCTTACTTCAGTCAACGCACCAAGACAGAGGGCACGAGAGGAGGGAGAAAGGGGAGTGAGGAGTCATGCAGGCGAAAATGGCTTCTCTGCTCTGCTCCGGTCGTCACAGGCACACCAATTACTCAGTATAAGCACACCTGCTAGTAGAATGAGCTGAAGGGCGCCCACATGGCAATCCGGAGGATGCGGTGGAGGATGTGCGCTGGGAGAAGAAGCAGGCACCTACCAAACCTTCATTACATTCACACATTCACACATTCACGATAATCACACCTGCCAGTAGAACGAGCTGAAGGGCGCCCACATGGCAATCCCCAGGATGCGGTGGGGAATGTAGTGCGCTGCCGCCCAGCAGTACGCGCCTCCTGCTGAGTACCCCAACAGGTAGAACCTGAGGAGTGGTGGGGAGGAGAAGAAGAAGCAGAATGTCACTGACCACTCACACTCACACTCACCACTCTCAATCACCACTCACACTCACCACTGTCACTCACCACTCTCACTCACCACTCGCACTCACCTCTCGCACTCACCACTCTCAATCACCACTCTCACTCACCACTCACACTCATCACTCACACTCATCACTCTGGTGATAGAGCACTCTGAATCAATTTACTCACTTGCGCCCCAAGGCCAGCAGATCCGCCAGCTCCTCAGAGCATGCAGAGGCCTCTCTCAATAACCACCACTCACTCTAACCACCTGCAGGGTAAACACCAATCGGTGAGCCCACTCACTTGCGGCCCAAGGCAAGAAGATCCGCCAGCTCCTCAAGGTCCGCACAGAAGGAGTGGAGTGAGAGGTCCGGCGCAGGGTCGGACTGGCCATAGCCCGGGCGATCAATGGCGACCAGGCGCACCCCGAAGGAGCACAGCAGCTCTTCAGGCACTCCTGGTGGGTTGGCAGGGACGGAAGAGAGGGGGAAGAGATAGTGGAGTGAGCAGTCCGGCGCAGGGTCGGACTGGCCATAGCCCGGCCTGTCAACGGCCACTAGGCGCACGTCGAAGGACCACAGCAGCTCGTCAGGCACTCCTGGTGAGAAGGGCGCAGGAAGGTGCGGAGGGAGAGCGGAAATTGCAAGAAGCATTGCAGCCGAGATTTTGTCAAAGATTTTGACATCAAATTCCAGAATTCAGAAATTTGCATGCGGGTTGTCATTCTGGCGAAGTGTCAAAGATGGTCAGAGTGTCAAAGATTTCAAATCTTTTCTCACCGGGCATGTTGGCGAGTCGCGAGGACCCCAGGCCGTGCAGCACCAGCAGCGTCCGCGTCGCCTGCGCTGCGCCCATGCCTTTCTCCAGATACGCGATTCGCCGCCCGCATCGCAGCCGCACCGTCGCGGCGCGCGCGCGAGTCGCGACGACAGCGTGAGGCAGCGAGTAGGTGACGTCTGGCGTCGGCGTGCGCAGCGGCGGCGTCCGCGCTACAGCCGGTTCAGGCTCTTCAGGCGCAACAGGCGCTTCCGCAGGTGGCGTGGGCGCTCTCCCCCACGCGCCGAAGACAGAGCGCACCACTGTAGCTTCCGCCACAAGCGCTGGCGGAGTGGCTTGCGCGGATTTTTCCGTCATTGCTGAGTCAGTGCGGGATGCGAGGGGTGGAGTGAAGCAGCTCGCGCGAAACACTAACGGAGAGCACGTTATGTGGGCAAGGTAGCTTTTGAGTCGACTCAAAAGTCACCTAGTTGAGGTAGCCCGCAAGAAAGCAGGAAAGCCGCGCCAGTTGGAATGATGTCCGCAGAAGTACCGAGAGCACGAAAGCCGTGCTTCGGTCCGCAATGGATCTAGCGGCGGCAGTCCACTGTGGATCGCCTCTCGTTCCCTGTGGTCACGCGAAGGAAGGAGGCATTCACGAACGAACGGCGCGCCATGAAGCGACCCCACGCCCATGCCCACTCGATAGCTCTCACTCGTGGTTGGCGCCACGCCGTACAAGGCTCATCCACCTACACACAGGCGTGGTGCTGTTTCGACGCATGCCGCACGTTGCGGTGGAATTTGCACTAACGCGAGTGGCAGTAATTTGTTGGATTTGTGTTGAGCTGAAAAGTGGGTTCACTTTATGAATGACTAGTGAAAATTACGTGGAGAACGGTCTGTGATGAAGCAGCTGATAGCGAGGGTGTGCACACTCGGAGGCCGCCATGAATGAAGATGCCAACAAGAACTTTCGGCACCATCCAGAAAATCGCGAAAGAAATATCATATTGTGGGCCTCTTGTTAGGATTTAGTATGACTTTACATTATAGATCCTTGTTCAGAAGCACCAAAATGTTTTTCTTCAACCCCTTATCCCATTTTATTTGGACAACCCCAAGGTTATCAAAATCACGGCATTGCCACAGTGGCCTCTTCCCGAGCCGCTTTTGGGCACGGAAAAGCTGATGCGGCCCGACGTGGGATGCAGAGACCGTGCGAGTCCCATCGATTCCCTGCCATGCTGTTGGATCTGACGGTAGAGAATGGCTTTCGGATTGCAGCAGTTTCAGAGATCCTCCCACACGATTGGCCCTTCACACGCACAAACTTATCGCGCAACTTTCAAGGGTGGCCTCGAATCCTCGATCTGAACGACCTGAGCGCGCACGCTGGGGCCAGAGGGCTTTACCGCCCGCCTTATTTTGAACTTCAAACATGAGGTTTTCCCCCACTTGCACTCTTCCGACCTCTGCGCACACTTCCCATTCTCCCCATCACCGCCGTCTGCTCTTCCCCCAACCCCGTTTCCTCCCCCTCCCTACCTTCCCCACTTCCCCGTTCATTTCGCTTCTTCTTTCCCCACTTCCCCTCTCCCCCTATCCTCCGCTTCCCCTTCCCCTTCCCTTTCCCCTTCCCCTACCCCCGCCCCACTCCAATTTTAGGGAGCTAAGGGCGCGTGTGATCCAAGGATTTTTGTCAAAGTTCGAACTCAAACCGCTTTGCATCGTGGAGAGACATCGCTCAATTGTATCCTACCGTGTAGAACCTTTCTAAAAGTTCGAACTTTGGGAAGTTCGAACTTTGATCACACGCGCCCTAACAAGAGCACCACAACCAAAAAGGTCCAGGGGCTTGCTTGTTAGTTAGCATTTCAGATCTGACTCGGTTTGTAGGGTAGGCTGACCGAACATCCGGCTCAGCCTTTTAGTAGGGTAGCGCATCGAGAGCATCCGTGTCGCCTCTTCCATCCAATAAAATATTGTTGTTCATAATACCCGTTTGCTAACTTAGTGATTGTATTCTGGACACTAAGAAGTCCATGTAAGCAGCTCCATCTAAGGACCTTATCCGCCTATTGCCGTGAAATCCGCCAATAGCCCCTTAATGGCGAGTCAAGCCATTGTCGCGATGCGCGTGTGCGCGCCTCCCGCCCTTGCGCCCTACATGGGCGCTCGGTGGCGGAAGGCCCCCAATACTCCGCAGTTCAGCTCCGCCTTCGTCGTTCCCATGCGGCCGAAGCGCGTAACGCGTAAGTCCGCTTGGTCTGCCACCTCGTCTTTACACCAGACATTTTCCAGCGACGTGGTACCATGCCTGAAATCTGATATTGGTTAGTCTTACAGGCTCGTTGGAACAGCAGCCTGAAAGGGGGAAAAGGGTTCACGACTTTCACCAGCTTTCACGTCGTTTAATCGTGCTAGTCATATACCTTAAGTGTATGTACGGCGGTTGGTCACCGTTGCGGGACATCAGTCATTGTCGGCGTTCCAAGAGACTAGCGATGCCGTACTTCAGTGCACTGCGTCGGAATTCTATGCGTCACCCTTAAACTGCAGCGAACCATTTTATAGACGTCGCAAGGTGTAGAACTGGCCTGACCTCTCCCGTTTTCTTCTCGTCCACGTGGCATTGTTGGACTGGCTGCTGCTTGCAGTGAGCTTTAGGCGCAACTGCCGTCGTCCGATCTCCGCCATCTTCCGCGCTCAGCGGTACGTTCTTTGCGCTCACATTCATACTTCATAAGTTATCTTCTTATATTCTCCGCATTACTTCCGCCGGCAGCTTCCGCCGGCAGCTTCCGCATTTCTCCCCCCTCCGCATGTCCCCCCTTCCTCCGCGTTTCTTTCCCACCCTTCCCCCCAACCCCCCTTCCCTCCCCCCTGCGCATTACCCCGGCACCCTCCTCACCTTCAGGTCACTCACTGCACTCTTTATCCCGCTGTTCCTTCTCCCCCTTCCCTCTCCCCCTCTCCCACTTCCCTGGCTCTCTTATCCCTCCCCGTTCGCGCAACACCGCTGACCTGCTGCGCGTTTTCCCCGTTGCGCAGCGCGGGCGAGACGCGCGCGGGCGCGCGGTCGTGGATGGAGCGGATGGCGAAGGCGGCGGAGGAGATGGCACGAGGCGCGGAGCGCGCGTCGAAGGAAATGGCGAAGGTGGCCGCGGCGACGCTGGGGAACCACAACAAGGTGCGCTGCGGGGAACGCGGGGAATGCGGGAGCTCGGGGAATGCGGGGAATTGGGGGGGGGGAGGGGGGGGATGCCTTCTTCCATCCTCTCCCAGATGCATCCTCTCACTTCCTAATCCTCTCCGGTTTTCTTCCTGCCGCGTTCTCTTGCGTCGATCCCGCCAGGCCATTGAGGCGGCGTCGCCGCTCTTGTCGCAGATCGCGAGTCTCATCCCGCACGGTATGCTTGTGTCGCATCATTAAATCATCACGTTATACTGCGTTCCAAAACTTTGTGTCTCATTGCCCCGCACCGTACGGATTCGACGCGTTGACTACACGCTAAATATATTTTCACTGCGTTACAGGTTAGTTCTTTATCGAGTTTCACTGTAGCTGCTGATCGCATTTAGCTTTTCCCCCACTCCTGCGTCGCAAGCCTAACCTTCCGCGTTTTCCGCGCCTCTCCTCTTCCGCCGTGCGCCAGCCCCTGGTGCTTCCGCCAGCGGAACCACTACCGCTTCCGCCGCCTCCCCGCGCGCAGCAGCTCCGCAGCAGCTGGCGGAAGACCACCTGCGCGAGGTGTCGGATGACGTGGTAGCCCACGTCAGCATCAAGCCTGCCAACGTGGCGCCGATGACGTCATCATTCACATCCCCGTCATTGGGCGACGATGATTCCGCTTCTGCTGCTGCTGCTGCAGTTAACGCGGATCCTACCTCAGTCCCACTGGAAATGCGCAAGGTGGGTGTGTGGTTAATTGATGGTGGTTCGTAGCGCACGGAGGGTCGGGTCTATGGGGCATGATGCAGATGACACGGAGTGTCGGTTCTATGGGGCATGAGGTGACTTTTGAGTCGACTTCAAAGTCACCTCGCACGGAGTGTCGGGTCCATGGGGCATGATGCAGGCTTCGTGTCGCTTCTTGAGTGATTATGCGTTGATCCTGTCAATACCGCGTCTTCATTCCCTTCTGTTACTCCGTCCTTGATACACTATTTTATTTAAATTTGCAGGCGGGTGCGCACGTGCTGGAGGGGCGGGAGGAGCGCGGCGCAATGCGCGCGGAGCTGCAGGCGCTGGAGGCGCGCATGGACGCGGCGTCCGCGGCGGTGGAGGCCGCCAAGAGCCGCCGGGGGGAGCTGCTCCAGGCGCACCCGGAGGTGCGTCCCGGGGGCTGTGGGGGGAGACTGGGGGAAGATTGGGGGGATTGGAGGGGAAGAAGGGGAAAGAGACGAGCGCTGAGAAGGGATGGGACGGGAGAAAGGAGGCTGTCAAGGGCCGCGCGGGGGGAGCTGCTCCAGGCGCACCTGGAGGTGCGTCTGAGGGCCGGGGCGGGAAAGGGGGGTTATGGGCGCTGTGGGGTGCGCTGTGGCTCTCACCTATGTCTCCCCCTTTCCCCCTGTCTCCCCCTTTCCCCCTGTCTCCCCCTTTCCCCCTGTCTCCCCCTTTCCCCCCACAACCCCCACTCTTTCCTGCTGCGTCCCCTCGTGCCCCATCTCCTAGTTGAGGCAACGTGTGACAGACGTTGTTGACGGCAAGGTCACCCCACGCGCAGTCACCGTCACCCCCACGGCTGTAGCGCCGTGCTCTCCGTCTAACGCGCTGTCTAACGCGCCTGGCAACTCGGACACGGAGGGGGAGGCGCAGGAGGAGTGGGAGGAGGTGGAGGACGAGCAGGCGCAGGGGCAGTGGGGCGCGCAGGGGGGCGCGCAGGGGGAAGCGCAGCAGGGGGTGGTGGCGGGGTCGGTGCAGGCGCTGAGGGCGGGGCGGCTTCGGCAGAGAGAGCGGCTGCAGCGACCAGGCGTGGAGAGACGGCGACAGCACGCCGCTCAGGTGCGGGTTGGTTGGCAGTGACGATGGGGGAATGGGAACTGGAGTATGAGTATTGGGAGGGATTCGATGGGAACGAATTTGAGCAAGGCGTGGGCAGAGAGAGCAACTGCAGCGACCAGGCGTGGAGAGAAGGAGAGCACGGGAGGAATGGTGAACGGGGGAATGGGTTATGGCCATTGGCATGATTCCCCTTCTCCAGCTTCCTTTTTTGTCCTCTCTCAGGGCGACGTCAGGTTGTACAACTTCTGTACGCTAAACTCCGTTTCTTCACGGTGCAAAACGGTAAAGCTTGAGAACCGCTTCCCACCGTGTGGAACCGTCCTGAGCCACGATGCAAGAACTGTAAAGGTGCTGAGAAATGTACAACCTGACGTCGCCCTTATATCCTCCCAACTCCCGACTTCCAATTTTCTGCGACTGACCCTGCCAGGTGCGTCTGTCGGTGCTGCGCTCGCTGGCGGAGCGCCACGGCGTGCTGGCGCAGAGCACAGCCGCGCAGGTGGCAGCTGGACAGGCTGTAAATGCACGAGAGAGCGACCCAGTGCAGGTCGCCAGGGAGCAGCAGCAGCAGCCGCAGCAGCAGCAGCAGCAGCAGCCGCAGCAGCAGCAGCCGCAGCAGCCGCAGCTGGTGTCACCTGTGGTGGACACAGCAGCACTGTCGCCTGGGGAGTTGGAACTGGTGAGATCGCCCCGCCTTGCTCCCTCCCCTGCCATGCTCCCTCCCATGCCATGCTCCCTCCCCTGCCATGCTCCCTCCCCTGCCATGCTCCCTCCCCTGCCATGCTCCCTCCCCTGCCCTGCTCCCTCCCCTGCCCTGCTCCCTCCCCTGCCCTGCTCCCTCCCATGCCATGCTCCCTCCCCTGCCCTGCTCCCTCCCCTGCCATCCTCCCTCCCCCTGCCATGCTCCCTCCCCTGCCATGCTCCCTCCCCTGCCATGCTCCCTCCCCTGCCCTGCTCCCTCCCCTGCCCTGCTCCCTCCCATGCCATGCTCCCTCCCCTGCCCTGCTCCCTCCCCTGCCATCCTCCCTCCCCCTGCCATGCTCCCTCCCCTGCCATGCTCCCTCCCCTGCCATGCTCCCTCCCATGCCATGCTCCCTCCCCTGCCATGCTCCCTCCCCTGCCATGCTCCCTCCCATGCCATGCTCCCTCCCCTGCCATGCTCCCTCCCCTGCCATGCTCCCTCCCATGCCATGCTCCCTCCCCCGCCATGCTCCCTCCCCTGCCATGCTCCCTCCCCTGCCATGCTCCCTCCCCTGCCATGCTCCCTCCCCTGCCATGCTCCCTCCCCTGCCATGCTCCCTCCCCTGCCATGCTCCCTCCCCTGCCATGCTCCCTCCCATGCCATGCTCCCTCCCCTGCCATGCTCCCTCCCCTGCCATGCTCCCTCCCCTGCCATGCTCCCTCCCCTGCCATGCTCCCTCCCCTGCCATGCTCCCTCCCCTGCCATGCTCCCTCCCCTGCCATGCTCCCTCCCCTGCCATGCTCCCTCCCCTGCCATGCTCCCTCCCCTGCCATGCTCCCTCCCCTGCCCTGCTCCCTCCCCTGCCCTGCTCCCTCCCATGCCATGCTCCCTCCCCTGCCCTGCTCCCTCCCCTGCCATCCTCCCTCCCCCTGCCATGCTCCCTCCCCTGCCATGCTCCCTCCCCTGCCATGCTCCCTCCCATGCCATGCTCCCTCCCCTGCCATGCTCCCTCCCCTGCCATGCTCCCTCCCCTGCCATGCTCCCTCCCATGCCATGCTCCCTCCCCCGCCATGCTCCCTCCCCTGCCATGCTCCCTCCCCTGCCATGCTCCCTCCCCTGCCATGCTCCCTCCCCTGCCATGCTCCCTCCCCTGCCATGCTCCCTCCCCTGCCATGCTCCCTCCCCTGCCATGCTCCCTCCCATGCCATGCTCCCTCCCCTGCCATGCTCCCTCCCCTGCCATGCTCCCTCCCATGCCATGCTCCCTCCCCTGCCATGCTCCCTCCCCTGCCATGCTCCCTCCCCTGCCATGCTCCCTCCCCTGCCATGCTCCCTCCCCTGCCATGCTCCCTCCCCTGCCATGCTCCCTCCCATGCCATGCTCCCTCCCCTGCCATGCTCCCTCCCCTGCCATGCTCCCTCTGCCGCCATTCATTCAACTGCCTTACTCTCGCTCTCGCTCTCTCCCTTTCCTCATTCCCCCAGGTCAAGGCGGAGGAGTCATGGGACAAGTATCTGGAAGCAGTCGCGTGGACCAAGGCGCGTCTGCACTCTCTGCGCTCGTCCGCGCCCTCCCCCTCTGCGGCTGCCCTGTTGAGCATGGAGGCGCAGCTCGTCTCCTCACTGGCGTTCGCGCAGCAGCGCGCGGACGAGGAGGCTGCGCGCGTGGCGCAGCTGTGCGCGCGCGTGGGCGCGGACGCGGGGGAGAGGAGGCGCAGCAGGGAGGAGGGGCTGCGGAGGGCTGCGGAGGCGGGGGCGAAGATGGGGAAAGGGGCGGAGGGGGGGCCGGGAAACGGGGGAGGGGGGGAGCGGGAGGGAGATGAGGGGAAGAGGGTGGTGAGTGGTGCTGGCGGCAGCAGTGGGGGGTCGTTGGCAGGGATTGGCGACATGATGAGTAAGGTGAGATGCAGAAGAGATGGTGAAACTTTTGAGTTTTGAGTCGACTCAAAAGAGTTGACTTTTGAGTCGACTCAAAAGAGGTGACTTTTGAGTCGACTCAAAAGTCAACTCGTTACAGATGGTGAGACTTTTTTCCGCATGTTTCGCATTGTTTTAGGCGCCTCTGTAGAATACTTTTTCTCCCCAAGTTTCCCGTATCCCCATCCCACAGCTTTTATTTTCCAAATTCCCTATTTCTAATTTACCTCCACCCCGTCCTCCCCTTCCCACACGCTCCCCTCACTCCCTCCTCCCTTCCCCACTCTCAGCTCGCCAGTATCCAGCAGACTCTCGAGTCAACGGCCGCCTCTCCCCCCTCTCTGTGCCCCTTCCTTGCCGCTCTCTGTCTCATGCCGTGTCTTCACCCCCCCCCCCCCGTCCCCCCCCTTTCCACCCCCTCCTCCCTTCCGCACCATCAGCTCGCCAGTATCCCGCAGACTCTCAAGTCAATGGCCTCCTCTCAAGTCAATGGCCTCCTCTCCTCCCTCTCTGTGCCCCTTCCTTGCCGCTCTGTGTCTCACGCCGTGTTTTCAACCCCCCCCCGTCCCCCCCTTTTCCTCGCCCTCCTCCCTTCCCCACTCTCAGCTCGCCAGTATCCAGCAGACTCTCGAGTCAATGGCCTCCCTCCCTCTCCTCGCCTCTCCTCCCTCTCTCACTCTCACGGCCGCCCTCCCCTCGCTCTCCCCTGTCTCTGCTTCCTCCTCCGCTTCACCCCTCTCTCTCCCTCCCATCTCCTCTTCCTCCTCTTCCCCCTCCCTCTCCCCCTCCTCCTCGCCATCCCCTGCTGTTGCCTCCCTCTCCTCCTCCTCTAACACACTCTCTGCCTTTCTCGCTTCACTCAAGTCCCCTCGCTCCCGCTCCCCTCGAACCACCACCCCTGCCCCTGCCATCGCCACTGCAACCGGCGCTGCTGTAGCAGCACCACCTGTTCGTTCTGCAGTAACAGTCGCAACAGAAGCAGCAGCAGGAACAGCAGCAGCAACCGCAGCACCTTCTGCTTATAACACGAGGTTTGTAGGAAGGAGGGCGGCAGGCGGGCGGCCTCGTTCGGCAGAAGAGCGAGAGAACTACCTCAAGGTGTACGCGCGGGCTCTTTTCCCATCGTATGTCGACACGTCAGCGTCGCCAGCTCAGCAGCAGCACGGAGTGGACGGATTGGTCAGGGAGCTCGTCGTACATGGCGCCAGCGAGGACTGGGCCCGAGGCTACATTGCCGAAGCTCTGCTCCGGCCGAACCTGGCTGCTCCCAAGCCTCTGGCTGTTGCCATGGCATCCGGACCTCCCTCTCCCCGTGCTTCTGCCTCACACGTATGTTTGTGTTGCTGGATTGTGAGTTGCCTAAAATCTCCTCTTTTTACACATGTGTCTTTGCTGCTGAGTAATGAGTCGCCTCGCCTCGGAACGGACCCCCTTGCAGATCTTGGATTATTGTATGCAAGGGGATCCGTTCCGAGGCAACTCATTACTGAGCAGCCAGCAACACATAATCGCTGGCTACCACTCACCCACCCACCTTAATTCCAGTTGTGCGTTTTCTAAACCGAACTGTCTCCTCTATCTCTCCTCTTCCGCCCCTTCCTCCCCTGTGCCATCACCAGCACGAGTGTTCACAGCACGAGTTACAGCAGTACGCTCAGGCCATCCGCAGTGCCTATGTGGACGCGTCCATGACCGCTTCTGAGCGTGAAGCAGGCACCAGCCTCTTTGTTGAGGTGAGGCTGTTTGAGAGAGGTGGTTGTATGCCTTGAGCTGTTCGCCTGCCATTGCGCCATCCGCAGTGCCTATGTGGACGCATCCATGACTGCCACTGAGCGCAAATCCAGCACCAGCCGCTTTGTCGAGGTGAGGCTGTCTCTTTGCTTGAGATAGATGAGGAGGTTTGCTCGAGAGGTGATGCTTTTCTCTAGTCATCACTATTGGTGATGCTACTGGTTTGGCTGAGCAGGCTTGATCAATCAATCAGTTTTCAGCTTTTGAGCCACCTCAGAAGCTAGGGAGCTAGATTTTTTCTGCCCTACGCATTCATTTATCTGCCCTACCCCATTTCACTCAAGTCATCTCACTAAACCCATCCCTCTTTTCTCTTGTGGTTTTTTTTTTTGCTCCCACCCAACTCCTTTTCTGACCTCTCCCCCCAGGAGCTGGTGGCGATGGGTGGCAGGGAGGTCGAGCAGTGGGCGAGGTCCTTTGTGGCTCAGTCGCTTGCTACAGAAGTGCGCAAGCGCAAGGTTGTGCGCGCTTAGAGAAGCTGCTACTGAAGGGTACAGCTTTTGAGGCAGTTAATGCAGGGTCAACACCTCCACGTGCTCCCTTTCCAAGTCACGCTCAAATTCGCCTTCAAGTCAAGCCCAAGTCGAGCTCAAGTCAACACCAAGTCAACCCAGTCAACCCAAGCCAGTCACAAGTCAACCCCTGCTCCACCTTATAGCACCTGGCCCACGGAGGCACCATCTGTTATGAAGCACCATGGGAGTCAACCCACACCTCTCCATCAGTCCAACCGTGCGCGCCCATTAGTTTCAGCTCAGCCGGCGTGCCACCATTCTCCTCCATCCCCACAAGAAAGAACCCCGCCATCCGTCAGATTCTGCTCTGCTTGGCTAATGTTGCTGGTGGTTTCTGGAAAATCTCAGAAGCTGCCTCCGACTCTCCAGTGCGATTCTTGGTGACATTTGGATCACAAGTTGCTTCGCACAAGGAAGCTCCAGTCCGGTCCCCGATGTTGCTGCATGTCTCGCTCTGTGCGTGTGCCCAAGCAACGCAGTGGGTTCCGCCATTCCCCTCTGCTTCCCAAGTCTAGCGATAAATTGGGGTAGTACTTTATTATGAATCACCTCACCACCTACCAACCATCTGGTTACTTTCCCTACTACTGCACATATTGTACGTCTGTTTCCCCGCCTCTCTGGATGTTGATAAACATAACCATGCTCCATAGCTCGTTTCTTTTTTGAAACAATCAATGTTAAAATTATCAATCATTCCTATTTTCCCCTGATGGGAGGTAAATTCCATCCGCTTGACTATTGTCTGTGCCATAGCAGCTTGGTTGTGAAACAAATCTTTCCAAGAGCAGCAGAGGGAGACTGGTAAACAGGTGTGGACACGGGCAGCTTGAATGCAGGAGGCAAGAAACCAAATGTGTAAATGCCTGGTGCAAATGGATTCTTGCGCTAGGTACATGCCGGGGTACCTTCCAAAAGATCACCTGAATACTGCCTACATACAAACAAGAATAAGGTACACTACGGCAATAAAAGCTTATATACATAATGCTTTGATTCACATCTTAGTGTCATTACTGTACTGCTGTCCTGCCTCCTTCGATCTCTAGAGCTGTCCAGCAGTCATATTCAAGCAGCAAGAATGGTGGCATTTTGTTCTTCAACCACCCCATCAGCCATGTTAGCTGGAAGTGCCTCCTTGAGCTTCTTTGGTGGTGCCAATCCCAAGCCTGGAGACATACGACGTGCATTCATCACGGGACGGGACGGACACAAGAAAAGCAGAACACACAGACTCACGGCATGGATGAGCAAAAATGGACAGTGTCCTTCAAAGCTCAACACAGGAGCATACTGACGGGAGAATGTAAGAAGACTACAGTTCCGAAACAGATCCGAAAATGATAAAAATCAGCCTACAGTTTCAAAGCTTACCATCCATGATAGCCTTAAATGCTTCCTGAACACATTACCATTCAAGGGTACACACACATGGAAGGATAGGGACACAGAGAGTGCATGCATCGAAGTAAGGGAATGTAAAAGGAGCCTTGCAATACAACAGCTATCTGGAACTATCCACATGGTAACAGTAACGTTTGTCAGGACAACTCCCATATCTCTCTCACCTCGCCCTTTGTCAGCCTTAGATTGTATTTTCGCTCCTCTTCCACTGATGTAACCTGCAACGAGGCAGTGGGTTTCAGCCACGTCAGCACTAACATTGTACATTCTCTAAGAACCTACATGGCATTTGTTGATGCAAGGTTGCAGTGCTGATTCGTGTATACCAGGAAAAAGCTGACTGGGTCTTACAGTTCGGCCTTGGTAGTCGTGCGCTGGGTACAGCAGCGTGTCCGGTGGAAGTGACAATATCTGGGTGACAGAAAAGGGGTCAAATTAGATAAATCCTACTTATATGACCATTGATTGAACCCATAATACAACTCCATTCATCTGGTTACCAGCTCACCTGACTGTGGACTGAACGGTACAGCTGAGCAGCATCTCCTTCCTGAACAGGAAAACGTGAGAAAATGACGGGAATGAGAGATATTGGGGACACCAAAATAAGATGAGGCAAGAGCATGAATTAAAAGAGCTAAACAGATCCTGAGATTTCACTGAAACACTCACCTGAAAGTCTGTCCGTCCACATCCTCTGATAAGCAATGCATCTCCAGTGAATGCCATCCTCGTTATAAGCTTGTCGAAGGAAAACCCAGCAATTCCCAGGCCATACAAGCCCCCAGTGCTTTCCCTCCAAACATTGCCCTCGGGAGAGTTCTCTAGTGCTGCTGAAAAGGGTACTGCAGTCTCGGCACGCTCCACCAAGACGTACGTCACACACCCATTCGTGTGGCCTGGAGTCGACCGAACCTGCAAGTCAGGTTCGGAAACCGGGCAGAGGTTAGTCACACATTGTAGTCCGGATCCCACCCAGCTACAAAAATGGACTAGCAAGTCTAGTTTCAGCCAAGGACGTTATCAGGCCGAACGAAGGTAACCCTGTCAAACTGTTCCTAGTCGGGATTACACACAACCTAGAAATACATACAGCCACACATTGTTTACAACTATTTTTACCTGGAGACCAAATCTTCCAAAGGGTATGACGTCACCGTGACCCACCAACACGTCAGCGCGAGCTCCGCTTGCAGCCGAAATGACGGACTTGATGCCTGGTACCCGTTTCTGCATCCAGAATAGAGAGGGAGAGGGGGAGGTTGGGCATGTGTGGTGGTGGGAAATTGATGAGATATTTACACGAAGATACGCAGATGAAGATATTATGAGGTATAAAAGCTGGGAAGGCGAGCTGGTCCGATGGAGATTTGTGTGGTAAGCACGCAGTTCAGCTGATGTACAAAATAACTATCGGTAAGATAAAGGCAGCTCCACAGAAGTCCCTGATCGGGACCGACGCCGATGCCGGGGATCGAACCCAGGTCTCTCGCGTGACAGGCGAGGATACTCACCACTATACTACATCGACACGCCCGAGTTTCTTATATTAATTTTCACTCAAGTACCTTTAGCAGGCCGGTTCCAGTCACGTGGTCTGCGTGTGCATGAGTATTGAGGGCGAAACGAAGAGTCACTCCGAGCTCCTCTGCTAGCCGCACGTCGCGGTCAACGGTCAAGTCAACAGGGTCAATCAGCTGGCAATAGGGCGGAAGAGACGGTAAGATAGTTGTGCGACATGAGTGACGGTAAACATCACACGTGCGATGGACACGCCTGCGTGAAAATATGTTGGTTTCGGAAGCGATGACGTCTGACATTAGGGTCGTGCTTACCACGCCGGGTCGCTTCGGTGCGGTTTCGTCGGCCAACAGGAAGGTGTAGGTGCTCGATTCCTTTTCAAACAGCTGACGGAACAGAAGCCGTGGCGGAACTAACTGCGCAGCCATACCCATGACTCCTGCGGTCCACCGACAATGACTTACGCGAGTTAAGTCTACCGTATGACGTGAACAGATATAAAAAAAAAGGAATGAGTTGGCGGAGCAACTGTGCAGCAAAAGCGGTATGAGTATCTCCGAGTAGTTTGAACAGCTAGGTGGGGAAAACAAACAAACTCAAGGGTTGTGGGGAATTCTCAATGGACAATGGTAATCTGGTAAGTTGAGAAAGTGGCAGTCCAATTTCAAGGCCTCGAGAAATCACTTCTTGGCGGTTCGGGACTCCAACTTCCTCCTGAACGGCCGGCGGAAGTATGGTCCCAAACCAAACTTCCTAGGGACTGTCGGACTCTTGAGATTGCCGCGCTGCTCAGTTTGCTGCTGGGCCTGCTATGCTGGATTTGAATGTGCCAGTCAACGCGAAACGGGAGCCCGAGGCGCGACAGGAATCACATTCTCCGTGCTGACAATTCCGAGGTTTCACCTAAGCATTGCTGACGTGGGTGTCTGCTGGCATGGGCTGCCCATATGTCAACACCAGCAGCGCTTCATGATGTGGAGTGTCTGCATTCGTTCCCCCGATCCCCTCGCAGTCCCAACCAACAGTCCCGATTCAACGATTGTTGCTCATTCATTGAACAAAGGTGCTTGCGTAAACAAGGGAAAATCATAATGTAGGGTTAGGTTGGGTTGAAAAATAAATGCAAGCTGAACACGTACCTTATGCCAATGATACAAATCCAACTCGCAACGATACACAGACAATAAGAATTGCACCCTCCAGCAACCTTGGACTGCATTGCAGATCTGTTATGTGTTACTATTTACTATTTAATAAGGTAGCAGATTGAGCCATATCACCTAGGTCCCGATCCTGCTCTCTTGAATGAAGCAAAGAACCCTCCGCGCTTCTCGCGTCTCTGTTGGTCGGCCTCTCCATCCTCCTCCAGCTAACATGTGGGGGGTGGGGAGGGGGGAAAGGTCGTTGGGGGTGGGAATGACAACAAATTGGGACAAGCGTGGGAAGTGCAGAGAGTGCCGGGCCAGCGCACACAACCAGAGTTCAGCTGTACATTCTTCTTTCATCCCATGATGGCACACGGAGCATCCAAAGGTAGGTTGAGCCAACGCTTTATTGAGTTCTGAGTAGAGTCTAAGGTGAAAGGAAGCAAGTCAGCCCAAGGGGTTCTCACCTCCTGTGCAATCTCAGCAATGACTTGGATGATCTCTGAGAACTCAGGGCAGTCGACGTGGTTGGTGGCCCAGCAGGAGAAATCAAGAGACGCTCTGCAGGCGCGTTAAGTCAACCCAAGGGGGTCTCACCTCCTGTGCAATCTCGGCAATTACTCGGATGATCTCTGAGAACTCGGGGCGGTCGGCGTGGTTGGTGGCCCAGCAGGAGAAATTAAGAGACGCTCTGCAGGCGCGTTAAGTCAACCCAAGGGGGTCTCACCTCCTGTGCAATCTCGGCAATTACTCGGATGATCTCTGAGAACTCGGGGCGGTCAACAGGGTTGGTGGCCCAGCAGCGCTCAAAGAGATCTGCCAGCCGCGGGTGCGTGCCCTTGGGGATGGGCGGACGCAGGCCCTGGGAGGGGCCGAGCGGGAGTGAAATAAGCAGTAGAAGAGAGTGGGGAGAGTGAAGGGAAGGATAGAGTGAGCAGCTTGTAGGTCTGTGAGTGCGCATCCTTGGGAATGGAAGGGCGCAGGCTCTGGGAGGGGGTGGGGCAGTGGGCAAGAGGAGAGGGTGAGGGCATGAAAGGTGCATGATCTTGGGAATGGAGAGGTGCATAGAGGCCCAGAGACAGGCATGAAGCGAGGAGAGGCATGGTGACGAATGGGAGATGATGGAGAAGGATGGGTGGGGGACTTACTCGTTGAACGACGCTGACTGCTGCCTGCAAGGGTGTGAGGTCTGGGTAGGGCAGCTGGGAGAAAGGGGAGGATGGGAGAGGTGCACGTGGGTGGGTAGAGAAAGGGGTTGTGCAGGGAAGGAAATGAGGGAAGGGCGGGTGGTGGTGAGAAGCGAGGGTAACTTGTTTGGAGGGGCAACAGATAGATTACATCGTGTTTAACGCATGAGCAGAGACAATGTGAAAAGGTTATAATGAGCTGTAACAGAAAGAGGAGGAAGCTTTTGAGCATTCTCAAAAGAGATTACATCGTGTTAAGGAATGAGCAGAGACTATGTGAACAGGTTATAATGAGCTGTAACAGAAGAAAGAGGAGGAAGAAGAAAAAAGACTGTTCCACAATGCAAGCCACTCTCTCCTTGTAAAATGACAAAAACTACCCATCCCTGCTCACCCTCCTGTCACCATCTCGCAATCCCCGTAACCATCTCACAATCCCTGCCACCACCATCTCACAATCCCTGCCACCACCATCTCACAATCCCTGCCACCACCATCTCACAATCCCTGCCACCACCATCTCACAATCCCTGCCACCACCATCTCGCAATCCCCGTAACCATCTCACAATCCCTGCCACCACCATCTCACAATCCCTGCCACCACCATCTCACAATCCCTGCCACCACCATCTCACAATCCCCGTAACCATCTCACAATCCCTGCCACCACCATCTCACAATCCCTGCCACCACCATCTCACAATCCCTGCCACCACCATCTCACAATCCCCGTAACCATCTCACAATCCCTGCCACCACCATCTCACAATCCCTGCCACCACCATCTCACAATTCCTGCCACCACCATCTCACAATTCCTGTAACCATCTCACATTCCAGATCACCACCACACATTCCACACCACCATCGTCTCTCCCCAACCATCTACCCACCAGCATCACACCTCACCAAGCACTTCCTCTCGCTCACCTTGCCGGTGAGCATCTCCCACATGGTGATACCGAAGCTGAAGATGTCTGCCTTGTGGTCGTACGCCCGGTGCTCAATCACCTGCCGTGCAGTGAGGGGACGGGGGGGGGATTGGGAAGCCACATGAGTTTGCCTTGTGCTTGCACATGCGGTTGTGATCTATCAATTAGTGTCGAGAGATCAAGTGTGTGCGACCTCAAGAGCTTCCAAGGGTAAGCTCCGTTGTCATGCAAGCGTGAATCAGGTGTTTTACATTCTAACATGTTCAGGTGTTACCTCAGGTGCCATCCAGCGGTAAGTGCCAGTCTCTGCTGTCATGACGCCACTGTTGGCCTTCACTCGTGCCACTCCGAAGTCCGCCACCTTCACCACCTGCACACACGGAACCACAGGAAAAGGAGGGAAAAAAAAAAAAAAAAAAAAAAAAAAAAAAAAAAAGAGTGGTGCTGTGGAATTGCTTGTGTGCATGATTGCATGCACAGTGTGGTCCTTCCCTTGTGCCACATCCATGTCCACACGCAGCACAACTATGAACGGAAGCACAACCGCACAACGCACAGCACAGCACCACAACACACCACACACCACACAACACACCCGTCACTGACATTGTTCTCGTCCATCAGCAAATTGGCAGCCTTAGAGTCACAGTGAATGACGTTGTTCTTGTGCAGAAAGTCCATTCCCGTGGCCACGTCCATGCCCACGCGCACCCAACCAACCCACTCATTCACCCAAGAACAAGCGCACACCACACAGCACCACACTGCACTGCACACCACTCGCATCATTCTCATCCATGAGCAAGTTAGCAGCCTTGAGGTCGCGGTGGATGATGTTGCTCTTGTGCGGAAAGTCCATTCCCACATGCACCCAACCCATTACGGGCACACAAGCACACACTCACACCTCACAGCACCGCACACTACACCACTCACATCGTTCTCATCCATGAGCAAGTTAGCAGCCTTGAGGTCGCGCTGGATGATGTTGCTCTTGTGCAGAAAGTCTATTCCCTTGATCACCCATGCCCACGCGTAGCCAAACCACACATTCACCCAAGAACAAGCGCACACCGCACAGCACCACACTTCACAGCACACCACTCACATCGTTCTCATCCATGAGTAAATTAGCGGCCTTGAGGTCACGGTGAATGATGTTGTTCTTGTGCAGAAAGTCCATTCCCTTTGCCACGTCCATGCCCACGCGCAGCACCATGGGCAGCTTCATACTGCCGCGGTGCTTGTGCAAATAGTCGTACACACTGCCGCCCACCATGAACTCTGGAAGGCGGGAACGGGGCCATGGGGGTGTGGGGGCAAGGGGTCACACGGTCAAGGGAGCATTGTGGGCATGGGCAAATGGGGCCAAAGGGTCAGAACACAGGGACATGGCGTAAGGGGTTAAGGAAGGCTGAGAAAGTAGTGAGCGTGTTGCTTGCTACACACAACTACTTCATTAACCTTTCTGGTCATGTCAAGCAGCAACGAGCAAGCAGCGCACCTGTGACGATGGAGAGGTTTGGGGGCTTGGTGCAGGCCCCAATAAATTGAACCACGTTCTTGTGCCGCACCTTCCTGCAAGGAGGGGGGCAGAGGCGGAGAAGAGAGGCCGATAAGCACACTTTGAGGGTGACATTGCAAAGCCGGTGACTTAAAAGTGGCTAAGGCCTTCTTCCCCCACTCACCGCACGCATGCTGCAAGAAGCCTTCTGAGAAAACTCCTGTGCAGAACGAACACTGCACACACTTTTCGAACTACCGTAGTCTCCCCACTAAACCTCCCTCTCCACATTGACCCTCTCTCTCCCCACTCACCGCATGATGAAGACCTCCCACTCACCGCATGATGAAGACCTCCCACTCAACCACCTCCCACTCACCGCATGATGACCACCTCCCACTCACCGCATGATGAACACCTCCCACTCACCGCATGATGACCACCTCCCACTCACCGCATGATGACCACCTCCCACTCACCGCATGATGACCACCTCCCACTCACCGCATGATGAACACCTCCTGAGCAAACTCCTGCTGCAACGTGTCATTCAGCCGCTCCGCCTTGAGAATCTTGATCGCCACGTCCTGCCCACAGTACGTGCCGCGGTACCTGTGGGGAGGGGGGATAGACACAGGGGATGACACACACGTAAATACACCCGCGAATTCGTATGCACACAAACACAGTACGTGGGGAATATATATGTATATATATGTATATATATGTATATATATGTATATATATGTATATATATGTATATATATGTATATATATGTATATATATGTATATATATATATATATATAGATAAGCATATGGCAGACAGACATGCACATGCAGATACCGGTGAACCCGCAGGAGTCAATGATACATGGACATGAAACACAGTGCTCTCTCCTCTAGCACGAACTTGAGGTGACAGTTTCAACCTTGTGACAATTTCAGACCTATCAAAAGTCCCTTCAACTCTGGTCAACGCAAAGGTCTTTCTAGGATGGAACCTAAAGAAATGTGAGAGCCACGTCCTACCCACTTCTCTTCTCCCTCCCCTTAAGTCCCTCACAGGTCTTCAAAGGACCGGAAAGCGATATGAGTTTTCAATCTGCTCAAAAGTCATCCTAAGTCACTCACAGGTCTCCGAACGACCCCGAGGCGATCTTATGCTGCAGCTTCAGCTGGTCGTTGTCAATCTCCCAGTCATCCCGCCCGTCCGATGGGATGCGCACACGCGAGTCCGCCCCGGACAGACTGGAGGCTGCCACGTGTCCTGCTGCTCCTGTGGCTGCTGACGTGGACACGGGCACGCCTGTGGATTCTGACATGGCGGGGTTTGATTGGCCAGATGCTTCTGGAAGGGTTGACTGCGCACCATTCTCCCCCGATTGCTGATGGAAGGGAGAGGAGGGACGGCAAAAAACGAACGTAAGGGAAGGAAGGGCGAGGCAGGGGGGGGACTATGAGAGAGGTGATAGTGTGATAGTGATAGTGATAGTGATAGTGATAGTGATAGTGATAGTGATAGTGATAGTGATAGTGATAGTGATAGTGATAGTGATAGTGATAGTGATAGTGATAGTGATAGTGATAGTGATAGTGATAGTGATAGTGATAGTGATAGTGATAGTGATAGTGATAGTGATAGTGATAGTGATAGTGATAGTGATAGTGATAGTGATAGTGATAGTGATAGTGATAGTGATAGTGATAGTGATAGTGATAGTGATAGTGATAGTGATAGTGATAGTGATAGTGATAGTGATAGTGATAGTGATAGTGATAGTGATAGTGATAGTGATAGTGATAGTGATAGTGATAGTGATAGTGATAGTGATAGTGATAGTGATAGTGATAGTGATAGTGATAGTGATAGTGATAGTGATAGTGATAGTGATAGTGATAGTGATAGTGATAGTGATAGTGATAGTGATAGTGATAGTGATAGTGATAGTGATAGTGATAGTGATAGTGATAGTGATAGTGATAGTGATAGTGATAGTGATAGTGATAGTGATAGTGATAGTGATAGTGATAGTGATAGTGATAGTGATAGTGATAGTGATAGTGATAGTGATAGTGATAGTGATAGTGATAGTGATAGTGATAGTGATAGTGATAGTGATAGTGATAGTGATAGTGATAGTGATAGTGATAGTGATAGTGATAGTGATAGTGATAGTGATAGTGATAGTGATAGTGATAGTGATAGTGATAGTGATGCTATAGTGCTCGTGCTAGTGATAGTGATAGTGATAGTGATAGTGATAGTGATAGTGATAGTGATAGTGCTCGTGATAGTGATAGTGATAGTGATAGTGATAGTGCTCGTGCTCGTGCTCGTGCTAGTGTGTGTCGTGCTCGTGCTAGTGTAGTGATAGTGATAGTGATAGTGATAGTGATAGTGATAGTGATAGTGATAGTGATAGTGATAGTGATAGTGATAGTGATAGTGATAGTGATAGTGATAGTGATAGTGATAGTGATAGTGCTCGTGCTCGTGATAGTGCTCGTGCTCGTGCTGTGCTCGTGCTCGTGCTCGTGCTAGTGCTGTGCTCGTGCCGTGCTCGTGCTCGTGATCGTGCTCGTGCTCGTGCTCGTGCTCGTGCTCGTGCTCGTGCTCGTGCTCGTGCTCGTGCTCGTGCTCGTGCTCGTGCTCGTGCTCGTGCTCGTGCTCGTGCTCGTGCTAGTGCTAGTGATCGTGCTCGTGCTCGTGCTCGTGCTCGTGCTCGTGCTCGTGCTCGTGCTCGTGCTCGTGCTCGTGCTCGTGCTCGTGCTCGTGCTCGTGCTCGTGCTCGTGCTCGTGCTCGTGCTCGTGCTCGTGCTCGTGCTCGTGCTCGTGCTCGTGCTCGTGCTCGTGCTCGTGCTCGTGCTCGTGCTCGTGCTCGTGCTCGTGCTCGTGCTCGTGCTCGTGCTCGTGCTCGTGCTCGTGCTCGTGCTCGTGCTCGTGCTCGTGCTCGTGCTCGTGCTCGTGCTCGTGCTCGTGCTCGTGCTCGTGCTCGTGCTCGTGCTCGTGCTCGTGCTCGTGCTCGTGCTCGTGCTCGTGCTCGTGCTCGTGCTCGTGCTCGTGCTCGTGCTCGTGCTCGTGCTCGTGCTCGTGCTCGTGCTCGTGCTCGTGCTCGTGCTCGTGCTCGTGCTCGTGCTCGTGCTCGTGCTCGTGCTCGTGCTCGTGCTCGTGCTCGTGCTCGTGCTCGTGCTCGTGCTCGTGCTCGTGCTCGTGCTCGTGCTCGTGCTCGTGCTCGTGCTCGTGCTCGTGCTCGTGCTCGTGCTCGTGCTCGTGCTCGTGCTCGTGCTCGTGCTCGTGCTCGTGCTCGTGCTCGTGCTCGTGCTCGTGCTCGTGCTCGTGCTCGTGCTCGTGCTCGTGCTCGTGCTCGTGCTCGTGCTCGTGCTCGTGCTCGTGATCGTGACTCGTGCTCGTGCTCGTGCTCGTGCTCGTGCTCGTGCTCGTGCTCGTGCTCGTGCTCGTGCTCGTGCTCGTGCTCGTGCTCGTGCTCGTGCTCGTGCTCGTGCTCGTGCTCGTGCTCGTGCTCGTGCTCGTGCTCGTGCTCGTGCTCGTGCTCGTGCTCGTGCTCGTGCTCGTGCTCGTGCTCGTGCTCGTGCTCGTGCTCGTGCTCGTGCTCGTGCTCGTGCTCGTGCTCGTGCTCGTGCTCGTGCTCGTGCTCGTGCTCGTGCTCGTGCTCGTGCTCGTGCTCGTGCTCGTGCTCGTGCTCGTGCTCGTGCTCGTGCTCGTGCTCGTGCTCGTGCTCGTGCTCGTGCTCGTGCTCGTGCTCGTGCTCGTGCTCGTGCTCGTGCTCGTGCTCGTGCTCGTGCTCGTGCTCGTGCTCGTGCTCGTGCTCGTGCTCGTGCTCGTGCTCGTGCTCGTGCTCGTGCTCGTGCTCGTGCTCGTGCTCGTGCTCGTGCTCGTGCTCGTGCTCGTGCTCGTGCTCGTGCTCGTGCTCGTGCTCGTGCTCGTGCTCGTGCTCGTGCTCGTGCTCGTGCTCGTGCTCGTGCTCGTGCTCGTGCTCGTGCTCGTGCTCGTGCTCGTGCTCGTGCTCGTGCTCGTGCTCGTGCTCGTGCTCGTGCTCGTGCTCGTGCTCGTGCTCGTGCTCGTGCTCGTGCTCGTGCTCGTGCTCGTGCTCGTGCTCGTGCTCGTGCTCGTGCTCGTGCTCGTGCTCGTGCTCGTGCTCGTGCTCGTGCTCGTGCTCGTGCTCGTGCTCGTGCTCGTGCTCGTGCTCGTGCTCGTGCTCTGCTGTCGTGCTCGTGCTCGTGCTCGTGCTCGTGCTCGTGCTCGTGCTCGTGCTCGTGCTCGTGCTCGTGCTCGTGCTCGTGCTCGTGCTCGTGCATCGTGGCTCAGTGCTCGTGCTCGTGCTCGTGCTCGTGCTCGTGCTCGTGCTCGTGCTCGTGCTCGTGCTCGTGCTCGTGCTCGTGCTCGTGCTCGTGCTCGTGCTCGTGCTCGTGCTCGTGCTCGTGCTCGTGCTCGTGCTCGTGCTCGTGCTCGTGCTCGTGCTCGTGCTCGTGCTCGTGCTCGTGCTCGTGCTCGTGCTCGTGCTCGTGCTCGTGCTCGTGCTCGTGCTCGTGCTCGTGCTCGTGCTCGTGCTCGTGCTCGTGCTCGTGCTCGTGCTCGTGCTCGTGCTCGTGCTCGTGCTCGTGCTCGTGCTCGTGCTCGTGCTCGTGCTCGTGCTCGTGCTCGTGCTCGTGCTCGTGCTCGTGCTCGTGCTCGTGCTCGTGCTCGTGCTCGTGCTCGTGCTCGTGCTCGTGCTCGTGCTCGTGCTCGTGCTCGTGCTCGTGCTCGTGCTCGTGCTCGTGCTCGTGCTCGTGCTCGTGCTCGTGCTCGTGCTCGTGCTCGTGCTCGTGCTCGTGCTCGTGCTCGTGCTCGTGCTCGTGCTCGTGCTGCGCCTGCTCGTGCTCGTGCTCGTGCTCGTGCTCGTGCTCGTGCTCGTGCTCGTGCTCGTGCTCGTGCTCGTGCTCGTGCTCGTTGCTCTGTGCTCGTCGGTGCTCGTGCTCGTGCTCGTGCTCCGTCTCTGCTCGTGCTCGCTCTCGTGCGTGCTCGTCTCGTGATCTCTGCTCCGCTCGTGCTCGTGCTCGTGCTACGCTCGTGCTCGTGCTCGTGCTCGTGCTCGTGCTCGTGCTCGTGCTCGTGCTCGTGCTCGTGCTCGTGCTCGTGCTCGTGCTCGTGCTCGTGCTCGTGCTCGTGCTCGTGCTCGTGCTCGTGCTCGTGCTCGTGCTCGTGCTCGTGCTCGTGCTCGTGCTCGTGCTCGTGCTCGTGCTCGTGCTCGTGCTCGTGCTCGTGCTCGTGCTCGTGCTCGTGCTCGTGCTCGTGCTCGTGCTCGTGCTCGTGCTCGTGCTCGTGCTCGTGCTCGTGCTCGTGCTCGTGCTCGTGCTCGTGCTCGTGCTCGTGCTCGTGCTCGTGCTCGTGCTCGTGCTCGTGCTCGTGCTCGTGCTCGTGCTCGTGCTCGTGCTCGTGCTCGTGCTCGTGCTCGTGCTCGTGCTCGTGCTCGTGCTCGTGCTCGTGCTCGTGCTCGTGCTCGTGCTCGTGCTCGTGCTCGTGCTCGTGCTCGTGCTCGTGCTCGTGCTCGTGGCTAGTGTCGTGCTCGTGCTCGTGCTCGTGCTCGTGCTCGTGCTCGTGCTCGTGCTCGTGCTCGTGCTCGTGCTCGTGCTCGTGCTCGTGCTCGTGCTCGTGCTCGTGCTCGTGCTCGTGCTCGTGCTCGTGCTCGTGCTCGTGCTCGTGCTCGTGCTCGTGCTCGTGCTCGTGCTCGTGCTCGTGCTCGTGCTCGTGCTCGTGCTCGTGCTCGTGCTCGTGCTCGTGGCTCTTGCTCGTGTCGTGCTCGTGCTCTGCTCGTGCTCGTGCTCGTGCTCGTGCTCGTGCTCGTGCTCGTGCTCGTGCTCGTGCTCGTGCTCGTGCTCGTGCTCGTGCTCGTGCTCGTGCTCGTGCTCGTGCTCGTAGCTCTTGCTCGTGCTCGTGCTCGTGCTCTTGCTCGTGCTCGTGCTCGTGCTCGTGCTCGTGCTCGTGCTCGTGCTCGTGCTCGTGCTCGTGCTCGTGCTCGTGCTCGTGCTCGTGCTCGTGCTCGTGCTCGTGCTCGTGCTCGTGCTCGTGCTCGTGCTCGTGCTCGTGCTCGTGCTCGTGCTCGTGCTCGTGCTCGTGCTCGTGCTCGTGCTCGTGCTCGTGCTCGTGCTCGTGCTCGTGCTCGTGCTCGTGCTCGTGCTCGTGCTCGTGCTCGTGCTCGTGCTCGTGCTCGTGCTCGTGCTCGTGGCTCTGCTCGTGCTCGTGCTCGTGCTCTGCGTGCTCGTGCTCGTGCTCGCTGCCTCGTGCTCGTGCTCGTGCTCGTGCTCGTGCTCGTGCTCGTGCTCGTGCTCGTGCTCGTGCTCGTGCTCGTGCTCGTGCTCGTGCTCGTGCTCGTGCTCGTGCTCGTGCTCGTGCTCGTGCTCGTGCTCGTGCTCGTGCTCGTGCTCGTGCTCGTGCTCGTGCTCGTGCTCGTGCTCGTGCTCGTGCTCGTGCTCGTGCTCGTGCTCGTGCTCGTGCTCGTGCTCGTGCTCGTGCTCGTGCTCGTGCTCGTGCTCGTGCTCGTGCTCGTGCTCGTGCTCGTGCTCGTGCTCGTGCTCGTGCTCGTGCTTGCTCTTGCTCTTGCTCGTGCTCGTGCTCGTGCTCGTGCTCGTGCTCGTGCTCGTGCTCGTGCTCGTGCTCGTGCTCGTGCTCGTGCTCGTGCTCGTGCTCGTGCTCGTGCTCGTGCTCGTGCTCGTGCTCGTGCTCGTGCTCGTGCTCGTGCTCGTGCTCGTGCTCGTGCTCGTGCTCGTGCTCGTGCTCGTGCTCGTGCTCGTGCTCGTGCTCGTGCTCGTGCTCGTGCTCGTGCTCGTGCTCGTGCTCGTGCTCGTGCTCGTGCTCGTGCTCGTGCTCGTGCTCGTGCTCGTGCTCGTGCTCGTGCTCGTGCTCGTGCTCGTGCTCGTGCTCGTGCTCGTGCATCGTGTCGTGCTCGTGCTCGTGCTCGTGCTCGTGCTCGTGCTCGTGCTCGTGCTCGTGCTCGTGCTCGTGCTCGTGCTCGTGCTCGTGCTCGTGCTCGTGCTCGTGCTCGTGCTCGTGCTCGTGCTCGTGCTCGTGCTCGTGCTCGTGCTCGTGCTCGTGCTCGTGCTCGTGCTCGTGCTCGTGCTCGTGCTCGTGCTCGTGCTCGTGCGCTGCTCTGCTCGTGCTCGTGCTCGTGCTCGTGCTCGTGCTCGTGCTCGTGCTCGTGCTCGTGCTCGTGCTCGTGCTCGTGCTCGTGCTCGTGCTCGTGCTCGTGCTCGTGCTCGTGCTCGTGCTCGTGCTCGTGCTCGTGCTCGTGCTCGTGCTCGTGCTCGTGCTCGTGCTCGTGCTCGTGCTCGTGCTCGTGCTCGTGCTCGTGCTCGTGCTCGTGCTCGTGCTCGTGTGGGTGTGTGTGTGTGTGTGTGTGTGTGCTGTGTGTGTGTGTGTGTGTGCTAGTGATAGTGATAGTGCTAGTGATAGTGATAGTGATAGTGATAGTGATAGTGATAGTGATATTGATAGTGATAGTGATAGTGATAGTGATAGTGATAGTGATAGTGATAGTGATAGTGATAGTGATAGTGATAGTGATAGTGATAGTGATAGTGATAGTGATAGTGATAGTGATAGTGATATTGATAGTGATAGTGATAGTGATAGTGATAGTGATAGTGATAGTGATAGTGATAGTGATAGTGATAGTGATAGTGATAGTGCAGGCTGCTGGTTGCTGTGAAGCGCAGTGTGAAGGACTTTGCGACGTCTCAAAAACTCGGCGACTCTGCGGAATGACAAACCAACTATGCTTGCCACAGGCCGCAAGTGCGGTGCTGTGCTGCACTGCCGTGCAGTGCGATGCGGTGCTGTGCGGTGCAGCGCAGCACGCTGGTGTGCTGTGCTGTGATGTGTACTGCTCACCTGTGCTGCCCGCATGAGTGCCGCCCGCATCTCCACCACATCCTGCCGCCCAGTACGCATGGGAAGAAGGAGGGGAGAAATGGAACTGGGTGAAGACATAGAGGAATCTGGTTACCATGAAGGGGTGTGGAGGATGGTGCTGAAAGAGTGGAGAGGAGGTGGCATGGTAGGAGGGGGCCAGTCATTGACGACAAAGACGTCAAGGGAGAGCCCATCGGAGGTGGCAAATACAAGAGGTTGCACACATGATGAGCACACATGTAGGGGCACATGCACATGCATGGGCACACACATGCATGAGCACATACATGCACGCAGGCAGCATCACACACACACACACGCGCACACCTCGGAGGGCCAGCCGTCGACGACAAAGACATCGAGGGAGAGCCCATCGGAGGTGGAGAAGACATGCGCCTCACAGATGTTCAACCCCACGTCCGCCAGCACTGCTGACAGCTGTTGCTCGGAGAGGGTGGGGGGGAAAGGGGAGGAGGTGGACAAGCTGTGAGCCCCACGTCCGCCAGCACTGCTGACAGCTGTTGCTCGAGGGATGGGGCGAAGGAAGGGGGGAGGGGGAAGGGGGAAGGGGGAGGGGGGAAGGGGGAAGGGGGAAGGGGGAAGGGTTGGAGAGGAAAGTGGTGAGGTTTGAGACACCTCACAAGTGGGGTGGAATGGGGAAAGGGAGGGAAAGGGGGGGGGGGGGGGGGTGGGGGGGAAGGTGGGGAAAGGGGACAGGGTTGATTTCATTTCCCAATGACCGGTTTGACTGACGTTTGACTTGGTTTGACTCACTTGACTGAGAAGCTTGGGTCGGTCCACAGTGGAGAAGGTGACTTCGTGCATGGGCACTTGCGCGAGAGAACTGGCGGGGGAGAATGCGGGAAGACGGGGAAGGCGCGGCGAGGAGGGGAGGGGGAGAGGGGGTGGGTGGAAGGAATGGGGAGGAGATGGGTAGGGTAGGGGGCCGGAGCGGGAAGCGGAGCATGGAAGGAGGCTAAGGCGATGAGGCAATGGAAGAGCAGGAACGGGGCAATGAGAGAGGAGCAGAAGCTGGGAGGATGATGAATGGAGGCATGGACTCCCACAGTCCCCCTTCCTTTCACTCTCTTCACAGTCATCTCCTTCGTACTCCCATCCCCACACACCTGAAAGAGCCCTTTCCGTCTGAATGTCCATCCGCGTTTGCAGCTGCACCCTCCGCCATCCCCCCTCCCCCTACCCCCCCCGCGCCCCCTGCGTCCGCGCCTATGGCGCCCCCCGCCAGCACTGGGGAGTCCAGATTGGGGGAGGACCCGAACGCTGGAGGAGCTAGCATCCTGGGGAACGAACGGGGGGGGGAAGAGAGGGGAGGTGGGGAAGAGGGGAAAGGGGGCGGGAGTAGGGGGCGGAGAAGGACGGAGGTTAAGGGAGTCTTGACAAGGAGGGTGCGGCGAGAGGGTTGAATGGAGAAGATGGGGAAGGAGATGGGGAAGGGGAAGAAGGAAATGAATGCAAGGCGGGGAGGAGGGGAAGAACGGGTGGGGGAGGTCCGGGAAGCTTGAGGTGTTGAGAAGGACAATGTGTAAGCGACCCTCACATCCCTACCCCCTCACAGCCCTCCCCTCACAGCCCTCCCCTCACAGCCCTCCCCTCACAGCCCTCCCCTCACAGCCCTCCCCTCACAGCCCCTACCCTCACAGTCCTCCCCTCACAGCGCCTACCCTCACAGCGCCTACCCTTGGCGCTTGAATTCAGCGGCCGCCTCGTCAGTCTCCATGGTGCCCCCCCCTGCAGCACCATCGCCCCCCGCTGCCCCTGGCAGTGCCGCTGTGACCTGCACGCGGACGAGACAAGGGGGGACGGGGGGGTGAAGGGGTGAAGCACGCAGACGGAAATTTGAGCACAGAGGGAGGAATGAGCGGCAGGGTAATGGTCGGAGGCGTCCCTGCCAGAGATTGTCACACGCCGCAGCCAGAGGGGGAGTCTATGTCTGTGAGCGGATGCTTCAGCGCCTGACCTAACATGACCATGGCACAGGACAGGCCAAGGGGATCAACGAGCCATTCCGGATGGAGTAGCGTCCGGCGATAGAGGATCCGTATGCAACAACGCAGGAGCATGGCATGAATTCGCTGTGTGTGTGTGTCACTCCCAAGGAGGTGTTGGTGTGAGAAGGACGTGTGTGACAGACAGGACACCGATAAGAGCAGATGGCTGTACAGTTTCTGAAAATGGCCAAAAACGTATTCGTGCAACTCAACACTTACAACGTTCCCTTTTCCAAGTGTACTCAGACTTTCTTGAACTTCTTCCAAACCTACCCGCACGGCTCGGACATGCACCACCGGCTGGCTCGGCATCTTTGCAGCTTCTTCCAGGAGCCGCTTGTGCGTTAGCACGTCCTCTGCTCGCTCCGTGTTCACATCCAGGGCGTATCTGAGATCGGACGGATACAGGCACATCTTGAAATCATGACGAAGGTTACAGTCACATTCAAGAATATGATGTGGACGCATGCTTGCAACAATCACAAAGGTAACTGGAACCAGGACATGTTCAGCTAGAAGTAAGCATAAGCAGCATGGATGGAGTCAGCGAGAAAGTAACCCGAGGAATGCAAATGGCGACGATCCTAATGGAGATTTAAGATGCGCGATCAATGTCCACCTTCAGGGTTATGATGATTAATGACGTAACGTTACGGACCAAACTGACTACCGATCGCTTTGCAAGACGTCGGCAAAGGTCGTAGCTTGGGAAAAAAGTATGCAGAACCTTCTGATTGACCGAAAGTGACTGGCGGATGTCGGGTACCTGAATCGTCTGGCGCACACCGTAATAACGAAACGACGAAAAAAAAAAAAAAAAAAAAAAAAATGATCAAACTGTACCTCGTCGGCAAGCGGAGAAAGTGAGCCTGAAGGGCTTCCTCGAAGTTAGGCTGCTGGATACATGGATGATTCGCTTCCTGGAGTTTCCGGACCACCTCCTGACACACTTCTTTCTTCACGCGCTGTCTCTGCTTCTTCTCATTCTCCGCAGCGCTGCTCGTCGAGGGTTTCGCCGGCTTCCCTCGGCTCGCTGCTACTGCATCCATTGGTAAGCAATGGCTCCCTGTATGAACAGATCGACGATACCTTATTTGCTGACCGACTATTCAACCAGGACAGCTTCACTTAACGTAAAATTATCGCCTCATTAAAGCTCGATCCACGTCAGCACTTCCCGCGGAACTACTAAGCTTCGGCCGGTAAGTGGTGCTGACGAAGGGAGGCCTCTGGGTTGTATGTTACTGGGTTGTTGCTGGTGTGGGTAGATAGGCATGGCTCATGGAGAATACAAGTAGTCATTATCTGTCTGAAGCTGGTAGGCAGCAGGATTCTCAAAACTCTGGTTTCCAGTGTACACTCTGGATTTTAGCTAAGTTCCAGTACAGCCCCAGTCCACGAGCGGAATCCAGAAACTCCAGCATGTGGCAACTCTTTCCACGTGGCTGTCAGCTCAGCCAGCCCCTCGCAGCTCTGGAGCAACGTGCGACACCCAGATGCACCTCTTTACAGCGATGCTGCTCACATTTACAGGTCAGCAGCATCTGATACCGCTAAAATAGAGCCTTTGGAATCGGAATTGGGTCATAACTTCTATTGGAACCGAGTACACTCACCTCATTCATAAGTACGCCTCAACAATTTAAGGGAAGATCTGTTATCAACTATTACTCAAATCCCACTAGTGATACAGGCAACAGCATCAGCCAATACTGCTAAAACAAAGAAAACGTGATGGTCCATAGAAGTACATGCAAGCCTACATAAATCCAGGAACAATTCTCAAGAACAAGAAGGCGTACATCACCGACAGCGCAGCTCCAATAGGGATGGTGACAAGCCACGATGCCACAATCTCCTTAACCACATCAGCCCGTACACTCCCAATCCCGCGTGCAAGGCCCACTCCCATCACCGCTCCAACAAGAGTGTGCGTAGCAGAGATCGGGAGTCCCAGTCTGGATGCCACTACCACCACTGTAGCTGCTGAGAACTCTGCTGCAAAGCCTCTCGTGGGAGTGAGCTCAGTGATCCTGTTCCCGATTGTTGCAATGACACGGTAACCCCAGATGATAAGACCAGCCACAATGCCAAAACCGCCCCAGATAAGAACCTGTGTGGCAACACCAGCAGACACTGGAGCTGCAGCGAGGGATGAAGAGGGGATGGATGAGGAGGAGGAGGCGAGGATGGCTAAAGCAGCTGAGATGGGGCCAATGGCGTTGGCAACATCGTTTGCACCGTGAGCAAATGACATGAAGCACGCAGAGAGCACCTGCATGGAAAAACACAAAACAGGAGTCCGGTTAGCTTACAAAACTGGGTTGCAATGGGAAGCTGCAAATACTCTTCAACTGGGCTGGAAGTGCCTGGGTTGGGCAACTGGAAGTGCGAGAATCACACATGGCACATGAAAGCAATCATTCTCGTGCAGAGCGGCCATGCACCTTCAATGACACATCCATAACCTAAAGCAAGCATCCAAAGACGTTATACACAATGCTCAACTGCATGCCAATGGGCCACCCCACTCCACTCAACGCAACTTCACACTCTCCTCTCCTGTGAGCTGATCACGCACCCTCTGACCCCTCACACCCTGATGCAGCCTCGCCCACGCACCTGCAGGTATCCAAACACGCCATAAACGATGCGCAGCTGCGTGCCCATGGGCCCGCGGCCCTTCTCCGGCTTCGGCTCCTCCGGTTTGGGAATCTCACAGAACTCCCCCAGCAGCGCGCCCATCTGCCTCTTGATCACCGCATTCATGGCCACCGCGGAAGCAGCGCCCGCGGCCAGGGAAAGCGCGCAGGCGCGCAGGAGGACTCCCGGGGAGGTGAAGAGCGAGAAGAAGGAAAAGGCTGAGACGCCCGCGAAGACGAGGATCGGCGCTGCGGTGGACGCTGACTGTCCCGGATTGGACGAGCTGTAAACGAACTGCGTGTGGTGCCGACACAGTGGGGGTGAAGCGGAAAGGGAGAGAAGGTGGCAGAGTGGGAACGGACGGCGGAAAGAGACGGAGGGCCGAATGGGGGAAGAGGGGGAAGGGAGTGGAAGAGTTTGGAAAATAAAGGGAGTGGCAAAGTCCGAAGTCAAGGGGACGAGGACGAGGTACCTGGGTGGTAACAATTTAATACAATCCACTCGTGTTACTGTCCAGCCACGAGACAAGGTTTCACCAACGCCTAATTGTCTCTGCCGTCTTGATCATTGATCTCCGCCCCCCCTTGGACATTATCCTCTCCACCTTCCATCAATTACTCGCACCACTGGCCACTGCTACGTTCACAGCTTTTCTTTCCTGCCCCCCTTCCTAATGTTTCGGAAAATAGAGCGCCTTCCAAACCAGCTTCAGTTAACAGCTACCGAGCATCTTGCATTGTTAAATGCTGGACGGTGATGCTGGCATCGCTTCAAAAGCCAAATCGTTTCTTGATACACTTGTAGATGATAAAGCTGACAACATTATTGTTTGAGCCATCAGAGCGTGTTAAAGACGGGCATACCTTTCGGATACACTTGTAGACAATGAAGGCGATGCTGGCACCGAGAAGAGGCGAGACGACCCACGACGACACCACGCGAGCCAGCGACGACCAGTACACGGCATTCCAGCCACCGAAGATGATGCCAAATCCAACCATGGCTCCGATGATGCAGTGCGTCGTCGATACCGGCCAGCCGAAGTACGAAGCGACCTGTGCATGTGGAGGAATGGAATTGCCGATCAGCTTAGATTTCTTTGGATCCGTGACGTCAACACCATTCCTTACACATTCTTCCTCCTCTGAAAGTTAAAAATCAACATTGGTCACCCTATCCATCACCTGTACCTAGATGGTCAATGTCTCCTTAACACCCCAGTGCCAATGGCACTTAAAATAGCACATACCTTGAGAAATAAATTGAGTAATTCGTACCTGAAGCCACGTTCCTGCGGCTGCCAGAGAGGAGATCATCCCTGTGAAGAGCATCGCGTTCTTCCCGGCGAACACATTCGCCTTGATGATTCCGTTCTGCATCGTGTGGCTCACGTGCGATCCCACCAGGAAAGCCCCACCGAACTCCAAGATCGCCGCTGCTAGCACGGCCTGGCGGAGCGTCAGCGCTCCCGAACCCACTGACGTCCCCATTGCGTTTGCCACGTCATTCGCACCGATGTTCCACGCCATGTAGAATCCCAGGAGCAACGTCAGGTAGGTGAGGCCCTTCATGTGAGGCGAAGCAGCAGGGTTCCACGCGCTCATGAAGAAAGGAGCTACTAACGCGATAATGCTGATTATACTCGTAATTCCGATGGCCGTCCGAGGCGTTATCTCAAACGCGTCCGCCATGCTACCGGTTGACGAAACGGGATTGCTCTTAACGGCTGCTCCACTTGCTTGCAGCTGCTGTCTTCTAGCTTCCAGCCGTGCTTCATACTGCTCAATGGACTCGTCTTCTGACTCAAGAGCATCGTCAAATGGCGCAGCACCAGACAACGAACTGCGAGGCCTAAAATGACTGCGCCCGGTTGATCTGTGGAGAGGTTGGAATAGATGCGGTTGATATGACAATGACGAGCGGATCTGAGATTTAAAAGTGCTGCTTAGGGGTATTTGAACTGGGTGCTGGAATGTTGATAAACGTGTGAGACTGTGGGCTCTTCGTTCGCATAAGTCATCTCTTGACCGAATAGCTGCTCCGGATACTTTTAGTGCAGAGCCAGAAGCTTGTGGAATCACCGTCCTCAGCATTGTCTACCATACAGATGCACGACCAATCAACTCTTTACCAAAAAAAACCCTGACCCCAGTCACTACCTTAGCTGCTCAAGCAAAGATCTGGGGGCTTTTCAAGCTAAACGAGTGAACACGAAATGGCGGCCTGGTTGGCCTGCTCGCTCTCCAAATATCACAGAACACAGAATAACCAAGCTTGATCGTCTTTTACAAAACCTCTGAAACCGCTGGGATCAAGGCAGACCAGCAAGCACAGAAACTATCCAGGATAGGAATGCTGGCTGCAGGCGAGCGAACATATAATCCAACGCAACTTTGGGTGTGTGGCGGTGAAGGGAGTGGGGGAAACGGGGAAATAGGGGATAAAAGGGGAAGGCTGCCGGCGGTCGCGGATGCGGTGGGGCGATGGCGGAACTTCCCGCTGGCGCGCGTAGATCCAGGAATCTTGTGGACTCATCCGCCTTGACGGCTGGAAAGTCACTGACTGGTGGAGAGGCGATCAAGGGTGGGAGATGAGGCGATATCAACTTGAGATGTAAGTCGTTGCCACGTGGACGGTGAGTCACGCTTACGGAAGGTGGAGATTGAGCGGATTGGAAGTTGTGCGCTCAGCAGTTTTTGAAATGTGAGGTACGGGGGCCGCGAACACAAGAGACAGCACACCCCTAAGGGCGGGTCAAGCATGTTTATTTACAGTTCATCCGTCGTGGCGCAAGACGATTCCAGACGGTGCACAGCGGTTGTCAGGCTTCACCGTTTTGCACCGTGATGCAACACGAGAAACCGCACAGAACGAACGAAGGACAAACGTGCCACCGAACCGATACTATGTTTTCCGAACACAGTTCAATGATATTAGTAGACAAATCAACACAAGAAAAAGTGGAGATCTCAAACATGATCACAAATGCTCCATATGTATTTCTATTCAGACGAGTTCTTTAGTTCTAACTAGAGTGGACTGCCAAGTCCTCCTTATTGGCTTCCAGCTGCAGGTCATACCGTTGTCCTCTGACAACCGCATACATCATATCAGGAGCAATATAATCACAAGTGCGTTCGATGCAGAATGGCTCGCCAGGGATCTGAAACAAAGAACAGAAAGGTTCAGAAACACATGCAATACGTGCTCAAGAGTCAAGGCTACAATTCTTCGTCACTCACCTGGTCGCCTGAGTGAATCTGCACGCCTGTTATTACAGCGTAGTCAGCAGCGGCTGGGTCGACGGTCAGGGAGATTAGCTTTTCCAGGTCATCATTGATGGCTGCCAGTGCAGCACGAGTCACCTCCACCAATGAATACTCTGAACCTCCCCGGCGTAGAATCTGGGGACAAGAATGGCATTCAAAAAATATCAATCGGTCATTAAGCAAATTCAACAAATGGACGTGGAACAAGTGCAAGAGAGTGCTGAAGATATGGAATGCAAACAGTAAGCAAGCTCGTGTCTCGGTTTGCCTTCAGGTCACCTACCAGCGACTTGACCTTCTTCTTAAGCAGCACATATTCCTCATCATACGGATCCGCAACCGTCGCCTTGCCCGCATTGATGTCGTTCTGAATGGCGATCAGCGCTCCACAAGCACTGGAGGGCTTGCCTCGGCCACGCCGCAGCAGCGATCCCACCTCTCCCGACTCTCCGATTGACACGTGAGGGAAGGCAAAGAATATGTCTGGAAGTTGAGAGGTGGGTTGTTGAGAGAAAGGCGAGGCAGAGAAGCAGAGGGAAGCAAACTGATGAGGTTATCAAGGACAAGCATAGTGCAGCAAAAAATTATGCAAATGCCTTCGACGACCACCATCTTCAACCCGCCCTCGTGCACAGCCGTTCACCACTCATGACCAACCATCTTGCAGCGCCTTTCACCATGCACAACCCGCAATCGTGAATGAATCCCTGAACGCCCATGCCCCCCACAATCATTGACCTGTTCATGAATGAAAGCCCCAACTCATATACCCCATTGTGCTCACATCTCTCCTTGACAGTCCCATCGGTCTCGCAGCGGAACTCTGGCGAGTGCGACATGGCAGCCTTAAAACCCGTGGAACCGCAGTTGAGCACGCCGCCCAGCCCAGCGATGTTGAAAGACAGCCCAAACTCGCGGTCCACCAGGCTCACCACTGGCCTGCACACCTCGTCCCGGCACGTCGACACCAGCGCAATGCAGTTGTCTCTGGTGGAGATACATTAAAGAGAGTGGAAGCGAATGGTGGGGAAAGGGACGTGATAGGGAAATTGAGGGGAAAAGATGGGGGAAAAAGGGGGTGAGAAGGGAGGACGTTTGTTAAAGTCCTTTACAGGTATGAACTGTCAGTGGCTAACCCAAATCCGTAGCGCCTTGATTATGATAGGGCTGGGCTGTGGTATAGCTATTGTAGACGCCGCTTATGGTAACATCTCTCCTCTGATTTCCCAAAAGCCTTTCGCTTCTTCCCTTTCTCTTTACACTCTCACCTGACCTTTTTCCTCAGCACGAAACCGCTTCCCCCTTTTATCATCCCTCAAATTACTCCCTGCTGATGTTTCTGCAACCTGATGTTCCTTGTACAAGCCTACACGCTTCCGACCACACCTCGGCCCTCTAAGACCCTGAACCGTACACCACAGAGCACCTCTCAAAGCTAGAGCTCACCTTTTGAAGCCCAGTTTGCTGAGCTCTTGGCTCACGGCCTTCATGAAAGCCTCCTCCTGCATGGCCCGCGGGAAAGTCGCCGCCATCGCCGCTAGAGCGGTTTTTGCGGCCTGGAGGGCGGGCAGGGCATTATGACGAAGCGCAATCAAAAGGGGGAAAGAAGGCTCGATTCCGTGAGTTGAAGGCGAGCTTATAACGGTGAAACGTGTTGAGCTACAGCGCGAGAAGGTATGGGAGGAGGTTGGGTAGAAACAATCCTAAATGGAAGGTAAGGCTGACTAAAATGCACTTACTTTCTTGGCACGTGGCACGATGCCGCTGGGTGGAGCTGCTTTCGCCTCTGCTCCCTCTTCCGCTTTAGCAGAACCGGACGTGAGCTTTCTGACTATTAAATAAGACGCAACACCGAGCGCTCCCGCGCCTAGGACGGATGGAGCGTAAGGCTGAGCAGCGGCTACAGCGGAGGACACGTCTGGAGTGGAGGTGGACTGTGTGAATGTAGCGAGATTAGATTTGAGGCGGTTCAAAGCGGCAGTGGCGGAAGACAGGTCCGGAGTAGAGGACTGTGTGACTGTAGCGAGTGGAGCAGCTGACTGATCAGAGGAATCACTGCTCTCTGCTGCACGTGCGACTGAATACCGTGAATGGCGGCGGACGATGCGGTTTGATCGGGATGGTAGTGCTGTCGTGGACTCACGTCTGAGGCCATTGAAGACTGGAGGGATAAGGGAGGGGAACAAAGAACAAAATAAACATGTTTGAGCTCTTTTTGTTACTTGGCATAGTGGCCTTGCGTTGAGCGCTTCGTGTGCCATCAAGGAAACTGTTTCAGTGAAATGGATCAGGAAAGTACTTCACTTCGTAATGCGGTAGAGGCGGCGTAGAGCGTTACATACAAACAGCTACGGAGGCAGAACAGCCTTCTGTCTCGCGCAACTGGCCCCTCTCGAGAACGGCAGTGGGGGAAAGTTGCGAAACAATGGCAGCCATCCTTGCCGTCAACAAGCTCGAGGCAAACCTAATGGAAACTCGTCACAATGAAACAATTTCTAGGTCGCGAGGAATCAACAACTGTTTCAGCTGAATATTTGGGGCTCCCCACAACTGGTTTCCACAACATCCCATTTTGGCTCACACATTGTGCTGAGCCCGTGTCGTCCCCTCTGCTGCCCTCGTCAAACATTCCCAGGATTGGTCAATGCATGCTGATGAAGTCAGAGGAGTGCTGGATGGATGGCGTTCAACACCCGCAACCCTGCGTTTACTGGTGGAGCCCCTGCAAATTCGGCAGAGTATCTTCCACACAATCATGAATTGCCACACGGATGCACCCTCTATAGGCTCGTAGTCCTCGACTGATTTAACTGGATATATATTTTCACAATCGTTTAGTTTCGTCACAGCAGTCGTCCCTGAAAAGTCCACAAACGAGGACGCTTCTTCGTCTGAATTTATCCTTGATTCAGAAGAAATTGCTCGCACGAAAAATGCAGTTGCAGCCACGTCATATCAGCGGCGAGTGTGTCGCTGGCCCTCCCATCCGCAAGGGCGAAGGCCACGTGGAATCGCCACTTAGGCCGGTGCATTTTATTGGAGGAACCAGCGCTTCGCTATTCGCATCATTTTCTTCGCGGGGGATCTTCTCGAAGTTTGTACACCACAAATTAGTCCGAAGCTCAAGCTTTTGTTCAGAAGTCCGTCTTGATCGGGAAATACCAACGTCGAGACTCCATCTTCACCACTACCAATCACTCCCGTCCAATCGCCAGCTCCTGAGTTCACCAAGCCGTGAAAACGAACTCCAGCAGGCATCAACCCCATTGTCCAACGGTCGTTTCAGTGCATTCTAGAAATATTGGATACGGTATGGAACGGTCGCTAACCTCACAGCTTTGGAACGCAATCAACCAAACAGAACCGTAGTACGGAAACTTGCATCGAGTGCTACCCGAATGAGAAAAGCAGGCTACGACTAGGAAGGCGACTGCCTACTACTTAGCCTGCAGTCAGAACGAAACGAAGCTGACCAGATCATTCATACGTGAGCTCCGTTCACCCAATTAGCAGCTAGTTTCCTCCTGCAGCCTTTTTGCACCACATCTCTAGTTTTCTTTCTTTTTACAGCATTTCGTCGAAGATGGCTGCAATGGCTGCCGGAGTCGCTGCTAAACTCCCAAGTGCTCTGAAAACCGAGAGCATTCTGGAAGCCAGCCAGTTCCTCGGTCAACCTGCCAGCACTCTCGCATTCCCCGTCTCCGCATCCTCCGCCTCGCGCATCTCTCGGTCCACTCGTTGCGCTGCTAAGGCTGACGGCTCAGACGGAAACAACGCGGCTCCCCACACCCACACGAAGCGCGCCGTATCCAGGCGGTTGATTCTCGGCGGAATGGCCGCCGGCATGGCCGCCGTGGTCGGCTGCCCAATCTGCGACTCGGGCTCGCCATCCATGGGCGCCGCGCTCGCTGCGGATTGGAGCTACGGAGAATTGTCAGGACCCAATGAGTGGGGTGCGGTGTGCAAGACCGGCGCGGCGCAGTCGCCGATTGACATCTCCTTCACGGCGCCTAAGATCGTGTCGGATAACAGCATTGGCAAGCTTGCCTTCGGGTACAAGCGCGCCGATGCAACTTTCCTCAACACCGGCCACGGCACCATGCAGGTGAGGCAGCCGTTGGGGGAGGACTTAATAGTGATGGCGCAGAGGTTGCTGGGGCAACTGTGTTGGCTGTGATGGCAACCTATAGCTCATAGTTAGGGTTGTAGTCATGAGTGGCGGCCTCGTGGCTTGTGTCTTACAGTTCCCCTTCCAATTACGTTTCGCCTGTCCTACCATCTCACGACATTCTCCAGGGGCCTCCTTCCACTACGCGTTTTCATTTCGAAAGCTCTTTTCTTTTGCAAAAATTGTGGAGCGTAATTTTGACGCTTGTTCTCTTACGCGTCGCAGGTGAATTTCCCGGGCGGCAGCAACACGTGCGAGATCGGCGGGCGCAAGCTGGAGCTGCTGCAGTACCACTTCCACGCGCCCAGCGAGCACTCTTTCAACGGCATCCGTACCGCCATGGAGGCTCATCTCGTCCACCGTACGTACGACCTTCGTGTCATGTCATCTCTACCATCCGCCATAATACGAAACAGTTGGCTGTTATAAAACGCAATGGTGCTGCGCCATTGGAAGATTTCCGCCATCCCTTCTGTTCTATGACTTACGCCAATCTGATGACTTCCGCTACAGACACAGGGTCATGCGACTTCTCACTTCCTCTTTCTTTCCGATTTTCCTCTCTCTCATTCCTGTATTCCCGTCTCTTCCAGGCGACGCTGAGGGCAAGCTCGCAGTCGTAGGGTAAGCCCCTCCATTCCAGATTCTAGCGCCCTTGACCTTTCTCTTCGCATGTTCTTTCTGGAAATCGAACCCTCTCCTTTCACCAAACTCCTTCCTTCTTACGAATGTTTCAAATTGTCTAGAGCTCGTCCCTACTCTGCTGTCGCCCTCAGCACCACCAATTCCCTCCCTTGTCATCCACAATCTTCCCCTCATCGTTCCCCCCGCCTCCTCCCCCCACGTATCCCCCGCACCCCCTCCCCCCTTCCCCCCGCCCCGCCGCGCCGCGCAGGGTCATGCTGGAAGCGGACCCTAAGGCTCCGCGGAACCTCTGCCTCGAGGCGGCTCTGGCCTTCTCGCCCAACGAGAAGCTCAAGCAGATGTGAGTGCGGCGCAGCGCGTGGGTGTGGATGAAGGCGTGAGGGAAAATGTAGAGCTGTTTGTGGGCAGGGAGATTGTGGCTGTGAGTGAGGTGGGGAGGAAGCGTGGTTGTGAGGGGGAAATGCAATGTCGGTGGAAAAAAGAAATTGCCAATTGCACGCTTCTTACGTGCATCCTCTCTCACCCCGCACGCACCCTGCGCGGACCCAGTGAATTGTCTCAGTGTGCCAGCAACGAGAGATAGCAGGCCCTTGAAAGCAGAAAATACCCACTGAGGAACCCCCCTCTTACCTTGACATTTTCTCCACCTTTCCTCCCTCTTCTCCCTGCAACAGTGCGGGTCCAGTGGAGTGTTTCGAGGTGCCAGCAGTGGGCGGCGGCAAGCCCTTGAAGCAATGCCTCAAGATTCAGATCAGCCCCGAGCCTCTCCTCCCCAAGCCTGACAGAGCGGTACGTTTCCAAGCCCCGCTTACCAAGCCTGACAGAGTGCTGACAGCTGCAACTGCCAGAGTTCACGCTTCGCCAATTTCGAGACTCCTTGCTTTGAATTTCTCAGACTGGCTGCCATCCCTCTGTGCTATCATGCTTTGTGGCTCCGTGCCTTCTCCTGTTTTGCCATTCACAGCCTGATTTTTCCCAACTACGTCTTACCTTATGCCTCCGTCCTAATGTGGCACCATTGTCATCATCACCCATCACCACCCATCATCGCCCATCACCACCATGCGTGAATCATGACTCTCAGGACGGAGCGCACAACTACATTCACTACAAGGGCTCGCTCACCACGCCCCCCTGCTCCGAGGGCGTTGACTGGTTTGTCCTCTGTAAGTCACTTGACTCCCGTTGACCCACATTGACTGGCGTTGTTCCAGGCATAGGATCTCATGCGTATCTATTGGCACCTGTCCCCCCTCCTCTTACACCCTCACTGTGTACTCCTCGCCCCCCCCCCTTTTCTCCCCTTACCCTCCTGTACCACAGTCTAAATCCATCCCCCTCCCCTTACCATCCCCTCTCCACCATCCCCTCTCCACCATCCCCTCTCCACCATCCCCTCTCCAACATCCTCCTCCCACCTCCACCATTCTAGGAGTTCAAAGCCCATGAGCCCAACCTCTCCGTCTCCCTCATGCTTTACGTCAGTGACTGCCAGTCTCTCTCCCGTACCTTACATGTGCATGCTAGTGCCTTCTCGTCTTACTTAATAGCCTGTCCCTTTCCTGTTTTCCCACCCTCCCCTCTGCAGCATCCCCCATGCGCATCCCTGATGCGCAAGTGGTTGAGTTCATGCGCTATGTTGGAGACCGTCAGACTCTCGCCCTTAACTCCGTGAGTACATACAGACATGCGTTGGGGCATATAGAGACTTAAAGGCTTGACGTGATGAGAGCAATGGGATACTCAGCACATTGTTGCACGTTTCTTGACGTGTTGATTACCAACCCCCTCCTGCTTCTCCTGCTGCTTCTCCAGCTCATACTGCTGTCTCTCTCTCCCCTCTCCCCCCTCCTTTCTCCCCTCTTTCACTTGCTGCCACTCACTCACACTGGCTGTATGTTCCCCCACCCCCCCCCCCCCTCCTGGTCCCCTCTCCACGTGCACCAATTGCAGAGGCCTCGCCAAGACCTTGGGGACCGTTTCCTGGTCGTTGGCCCTGCCTAGACTCCTGGGAGTTATCTGTTGCTTTGATTGCTTGTCATTTACAGTAGAGCACTGCACAAAATGTAATCATATAAATTATGATAAAGTTTCCACCGTTGCAGTACAACAGGGTCTAATAATTATTGGATGTCAAGGTTTTATTTGTCCAATTCCACACCACCTTTTCCAAAATGTCGGGTGAGAGATGCATCCACGCTTGGGGAGCGATGGGCAGCAAGGGCAAGTACTGCGGCTGGGGTAGAGTTTGGAACTGTGGCGGGGCTGTGGTTCAGGTGACAAGGAGTGGAGGAAATGTGACAGATACCGCACATACCGTAGTATCGGAGAAGCATGGGAGGGGTTAATTGAGTGGATAATTTATCAAGTAGACTATTCCACTAGAGACATGCACCAACACAGCAAGCAATGACGGTGGAATGGAGAGATGATCCTAGCTGTTCAGGACAACAGGGTACGTGCATCATTCCACCAAATTCAGGAGGACTGCTATATGCAACCTAGGACTGCTAAATCCACAATCCACCTTACAAGCCCATCCAGCCAGAAGCCAAGCACAAAAGAAAACGCCTAGGGAATAGAATCTTAATGCGTTAGAATGACGCCCTCAGACAGAACCTCAGTAAAATGCGAGTGTCAGGATATGGAGTGCAACAATGCGCTTCCGGTGAGCCGCCACCCCAGTTAGTTCAATCAAGAACCACTTGTTAAAGAATCATGGAGTCTTCTAATGGCTCCACGCAGACGGTTTTAAATTCCCACCGTGTTTGGACAGCTAAAGAACTGCTTGGAGCCGTTTGAACTGCTCAGTGCTCACAGCGCGTTGCTAGGGAGCTTGCTCGACGCCACAATCTCACTCATTTCCGTCAGCGCGTTCGGGTTTGCTGCCGCCATGCTCGCCGCTTTCTGCTGCCACGGCGCGCGGTTGTTCGTAGTTTCGCTCGTGATCGTCGAGACGAGCCGGCGCGACGCCTTGGCGCTGACGATCGAGTTCCCTAGGAGCCTAATCTGCGCGGCGCGGTTCTTCGCGAGCAGGTCCAGCTCGTTGCTGCGCGCCGCGCTCGTGTATGACTTGGCCGTTTCGTACAAACGCTTCGAGTTGTCGTAATCCGTTTTTGCGGAATCAAATGCCTCCTGCGCCGCCGTCAGCGCCGTATTCGCCGCCACGAGGTCAGAATCTGCTGTGTCTTTATCCGTCTTGGTCGATCCTTCGTCCGTTGTGGCCGCGGTAACCTCAGCATCCGCGGCAGTGACAACGGCCTGGCAGGAAGTCTGCAGGGTGGTGAGAATTCCGGCGTGATCCTCCCACGCGGATTTGATTGACTGTGCGATTGCGACCTCTACGTACTTCGCGGCGGCCGCGGCGCGAAGCGCGGACGTGGGGTTTGCGTCGGCGGCTGTGGCGGCGGCCGTCGCGGCGCTGCTCGCGTCGCTGAGGTCGGTCGTGGCGGCGGTCAAGCCGGTTGTGGCGGCGGTAGCCGCGGCGTCGACCAGCGCGGAAAGGGCTGTCACAGACGTTTTGTACTTGTTCGCGAGGGCGAGCCGCGCTACAGCCGCGTTGTACTTCTTCGTAGCGAGAGCCGCCCAGTCTTCCGCCTTCGTCTGTGCGTATTCGAGAGGCGGGAGCGCGCCCGCCGCTGTCGCCAACGCGTCGAGCTTGGTTTCGTAGTCTCCCTTCGCGGTTGCTTCGTCCGTCTCCGTTTGTGTCGCTGCCGCCACCGCAGCGGTCGCTTTTGCTGCAAACTGATCGGCTTGTTTCTGTGCGTATGCTACGTCGTTCTGAGCAGTTCTTGAATCTTTCGTGGCCTGGTCGAGAGAGGAGAGCTTTTGCTGGCCCCCGCGGTTTCTCTTCGCCTCTGTGACGGTGACGGCGAACGCAGAGAGCACGAGGAGCAGAAGCGCCATAGCGAGAACGCGTCGTTTGGCGTCCATGGTGGTGTCTGAGAGCTAGCAGATGTGGTTGAGAGATGAATCAGGAGGAAGGACAAGCGTTGAAGAGAATTTCTTGTATTTTTCGAGAATTCAGGAAGCTAATGTGCCTGTCTAGAGCTCGTAATGCGAATTTATTGATCGAGGCGGGTGCTGCGAGGGGGTGCTGCGAGATGATGGAACGGCCTGGGTTGGTGAGGTGAGGAGTGTGGAAAGTCACTGCGATCCACAACGAGGGGCAATACACGTCGAGTCGAGCAATGAGGGCCATTTCTCTCTCGAACCGTGTGGAGAACAGATAGGATGGTTGGTAGTGAGATAGGATGGGAGGGGGAAGTGAAGAGGCAGTCAGTGCTATCCATGCCGTTCATTGAATTGGATGGATGCCGAAATCGAAGCGCGCAGTTGGTTGCAATTCTCAACTCAACTGCTGTGGGTTCGCAGCCAGCCCTTGGAGCATGCGCCTCGTCACGTCACAAAGTGCGGAACACCTCGGCACGCCCCGGTGTACTGGGTTTCGATGCTTCCGCCACTCAGAAACAGTTCGCACCGATTTGCACAACGGCTTTGGGGCAGTGCCGGTACGTGCCTGGGTTCCCAGCCAGCCCATGGTTTACAGAACATGCTGCTTCGTGAGTGAACACTTTCAACAACCTTTCGTTTACCCAATTAGGTACGGATAAGTCCGGGGAAAGTGAGGCGTTGACAAATCGTCGATATGCTTTTCTGGTGGGGAGTCCAAAGATTGGGCTGCCAAGCCCCACAGCCAAACCGCCATACGAGTCACCCCGTAGAAGGCTACACGCCTACTAGCCAACCTGTTTTCAGTTGCCTGGGCAGGGTATGTTCTGAGATGCATTACGCTTGACGGGTGGTGCCGCTTCCGTACTTCTTGCTGACGACAATGTTTTGCGGTTCATGCCTGTTGAACTTGAGGTCACAAAAAACATTTCCTCCCAACAACTGCCAGCTGCTCAGCAGCGGTGTGGAGTGGATACGTACATCAATCCCAGCAGGCACAGGTAGTTGTCAGCAAGTGTTCTGTAACTTAATTGCAAAGTCGCAACTCACGATAGCTCTGCGGGACTGCGAACAATGCGCGAGGACAGTGGAATTTGTGTTACAAGTGTTGAAACTTTACAGGAAGTTTGACACTGTAAAGCACACACAAATTCAATTACTGCCAATACCAGAAGGGAGCAGAACTTGTCCCTGGGATGATACAACTATTGAGATGCACAGGTCCCACCAGAATTCATTTACTATTCTCTGCCTTGCCTTTCCATTATAGCATGTTCTGACTCCACTCACGTGCTAACACCCAATTTCCTGCATCATTGTCAATTCCACATTACTTTTCAAAATACATTTATACACAAGCATTCAATCACCCAACCCATCTTGGAAACTACCGTACCAACCTACTATGGCAGCCAGCACTAAGCAGTACCTTTTCCACCAAAATCAGCTGGCAAGGTAAAGGATGACACATTAATGGAACCCACTGCATTCCCTCCTTTCAGAAGGGCTATCAGCTTTTCTGGCTCTGACACTGGCGCCAGACAAGTCATGTTCTGACACACGTAGGCTGCTGACGTGGCACCTGACATGGCGCCAGCTGGCACTGCTGCCTCTGCAGCCGACATGTCACCCACGCCCTTGGCAGCCATTGCAAGGGCACGTGGGTTGTGCTGCTGCCAGAAGGCAGCATCTGATTGGTTGGCAGGATCGATTGGTATGATCTGGATAAGCAAGCAAAAATCAAGAACGAAGGAGTGGGGGGGAGGAGGGAGGGGGAAATCAGGGGAAGGCTGTACAGCGATCAAAAGGGCATGCAATTGATTAATAAGTGGAGCATAGAACAAAAATACCCTCTTAATTAATCCCCAGACTCCCCATAACCCCCCTCCACACCCATACAGGCATCCCCCTTACAATGCAATTCGGTTGAAACACGGAAAACACTCCATTCAGCAGCTCCTCAGTTTCAGGCGCGCCCCGCGGGCCGGCAATGATGACCTGGCGCTGAGCTGGCGATGACGTGGCAGCGAGGAGATCCAGCGAGCAGCACATCTGGGGTAGCGCGAGCGGCATGCGGGAGAGACGGTCGTCAAAAGCCATCTGAGGGGGGTTGGGTTCGGTGGGGAAAGGAACGGGAGAGGGAGTGAAGGGTATGGGAGGCGGGAGGTGCGTCAAGAAGAAACAGCAGCGCGAGCGCATGCGGGAGAGACGGTCGTGAAAGGCCATGTGAGAATGGTGGAAGTGGGTGACAGGATCGAGGAGGGGAGGGGAGGGGAGGGGAGGGGAGGGGAGGGGAGGGGAGGGGAGGGGAGGGGAGGGGAGGGGAGGGGAGGGGAGGGGAGTAGTGGCAATCGTGACTGCTCTACCCAACGACTTGTGATGCAGCCAACACGCGAAGTGTGCAGGTGAGGGTGGCTTCTATGCAGCCAAGTATGGAGACCTTTTCAGGCGCCTCAAAAGCCTTTTGAGGCGCCGTAAGCATGGATGCCTTCACAGAGGAATATGTGTCACAGAAACCAAAAACGCTTTTTGGTTGTCCCTATCGTCTGTTCCCCATTCCTTAGAAACTGCTGCTCGCTGGGATGTCTGAACATACAGAAACCAAAAACGCTTTTTTGTTGTCCCTATCGTCTCACCACGCATCTTGCTGCTTTCCTCTGGTACTCCGCGCCTCTCTCCCCACCAATCATGGCTCCGAGGCGTGCCAGGCTGGCAGCTGCTGCTGAGCTGGCAGCGGGCTCCGCCCCGTCATAATCCTCTTTCATGCGCAGTAGCAGTGAAGGGTCGCCCTCCGCCGAGTTGAAATAGGCTCCCTGCTGTTCATCCCAAAAGATCCGATCCTGTGAGGTGAGGTAGGGAGGAGTGAAGACAAATAAGCGCTCCGCCCCATCATTACGTGATTCTCCTTCATGCAGCAGTGAGGGATCGCCCTCTGCCGTGTTGAAAGGGATCGCCCTCTGTCGTGTTGAAATTGGCGCCCTGAACTTCGTCCCAGAACAGGCGATCCTGATGTGGAAAGAGAGGGAGAAGAGGAGAGATACGAACATAAGACGTGGGTCTGTGCCCTGTCGTAATCCTCCTTCATGCACAGCAGCAGCGAGGGGTCCCCTTCCGCCGTGTTGAAATAGGCGCCCTGCTGCTCATCCCAGAACAGGTGGTCCTGGGATTGTGAGAGGGGGAAGAGGAGGGACAAGAGGGAGCAGGGGGAGACGGGGTGAGTGGGAAGAAGAGGGAGCGGTAGTGGAAGAAGAAGGTAACGAGTGTCGAAGCGGGACATGTACATATATATTTATATGTATATATACATACATATATATATTTATATATTACTTTCACCCTTTGCAGTGAATCAGAGGTAAGTCTACGTAGACGTGCCTGAGTCTCCCCCTTAGTGACCACCCTAGGCTCTGCAACACACCCACCTGTGTTTCCTGTAGCTCCATGGCCCACACCAGCCAATCAGAATCGCCCGACGCTTCGAACAGGTCGAGCAAGGAAGCTACCAGGAAGGCGTAGTCATCCGCAAACCCCCACACCTCCGACGCACTTTCCCGGAAGCTTCTCCTCAGCCGCTTGGATTCCTGGTCGTAGAGCTTAGACCGGACGAAACTCGCCGCCCGTTCGGCGCAGGCGAGGTAGATGGATGGTGGGGATCCGTCGTCGGGGAAGTAATGGGGTGACGTGGCGGGCTCTGATTGGAGGATCCGAGATGCTCGGGCGAAGGCTGATATCATTAGGCCGTTCCATGCCACTATGACCTGTCAGGGGGGAGGCGTAGGATAAGAAGGCAATGGGATGAGAAGGCATGAAATTGTGAGACATGGGAAAGAAGGCGTGCGAAACGCGTTGATGCAGAAATTGAGTTATTTTTCAAGCACATAACAGGCCGAATGAGGAGGAAACAAAGGAGGAGGAAGATGTGAGGGGTGGCAAACAGGAAACCGGGAGGGAAAAGGACACATCTTATGATCCTCCAGATCACATGTATGAAGGAGTGTTTTGAGACGTCTGAAAACATCTTATGATCCTCCCTAGATCACACCTTGTCATCCAGGTGGGGGCGCGGTCGCTTGCTCCTGGCTTCATGCAGCAACTTGCGGCACTCTCCCAGCATCTGATCAGTGGTTGTGGGGGATGGGTGGAATGGTGAGGTGCGGGAAAGAGGGATTCAGAAGAGAACATAACCAGGAACCGTCCAAAACACCCACCCCAGCAGCACAACTCACCTTCTCCGCCTCATCTTCCGGCACTCCTGCCTTATCAGCTGCGTCTGAAACTGAGACGATTTTTGAGGCGCGTCAAAAACCCACCCCAGCAGAGCAGCACAACTCACCGTCTCCGCCTCTTCTTCCGGCACTCCTGCCTGCTTCGCTGCGTCTGAAACTGAGCAGCGCTGGATGAAGCAGTTGAGCCCTGCGAACTCGTTGTGTGGGTCGGAGCGCCGAGAGAGGTCGCAGTTGCCGTCCTTGCGCACCGTGTAGAGAGTGGTGAAGAGACGAAGGCGAGGGGTGGAGGGGCCGAGGATGGATGCAATCTGTAACGATGGGGTGGAAGGTAAGAGCGGGGGAATAGTGGGAGGGGCGAATAGTGGGAGGGGGGAGATAGGAAAGAGACCGCAGTTGCCATCCGTGTAGAGTGTGGTGGAGAGATGAAGGCAGGGGGTGGCGAGATGAAGGCAGGGGGTGGCGGGACCGAGAATAGATGCAACCTGCACCGACGGGGTGGAAGGTGGTAGTTGGGAAATAGTGGCAGGGGGTAGATGAGAAAGAGACCGCAGTTGCCACTGAAGATGCAATTAATCCACGCACACTCGCACACACACACACACACACACACACACACACACACACACACACACACACACACACACACACACACACACACACACACACACACATGGTGACCTCTTTCTCATTCCACACGTAGAACGCCCCTTCCTTCTTCCTCACATCAACAACAGCTGCCAGGCTGTCACCACTTCTTTCCCCCTTCTCTCACCACAAGGAGGCGCCTCAGAAAGCCCTCCGCGCTGTATATGCCGCCCTCCTTGTGACTATTTCTGAGACGCTTCATGTCCACCCTTGTGCCCATACACCCACACTCACACACCCACACTCACACACCCACACTCACACACCCACACTCACACACCCACACACCCACACCCACACACCAATACACACACACATACCAATACACACACACATACCAATACACACACACATACCTCTTTCTCACTCCACACGTAGAAGGCTCCTTCTTTCTTCCTCTCATCCCCAACAGCTGCCAGGCTGTCAGCGTCCTCCGCACTGTAGATGCCGCCCTCCCCGTGTGTCATGTCCCGCCGCACATAGTCCAAAACATCCCGCCCCATGCGCGCGAAATCCTGGCGGCCGGTGACGAGGAACGCGTCGAGATAGGCATTGGCGAGCTGGCCTTGATCGTACAGCATCTTCTCGAAATGGGGGACTGGGGGGGAGGGGGAGAAGGGGGAAAAAAGGGAAAGAAAAGGGAAAAGGAAGGGAGAAAGTAAGGGAGGGATGTGCAGGGCAGATGAATGCCTGAACTGGCGAGCTGGCCTTGATCGTATAGCTTCTGCTCGAAATGAGGGACTGGGAGGAAGGAAGAACAGGAAGGGGGAAGGGGGTGGGATAGATGGGCGTTCTTGATCGTACATCAGCTTCTCGAAATGAGGACCTGGGGAGAGGATGGAGACTTTTGAGTCGACTCAAAAGTCACCTGGGGAGAGGATGGAGAGCGGGGAGGAGGAGTGGGGGAAGAAGGCCAGAGAGGCTGGGAAAGGAGGGGTTCAACCACGGGGGAGGAGGGTACAAGGTAAGGCGGGTTCCACGCCTCACATAGCCCACTTTTCCCCACCCTGCCCCACCCTGCCCAACCACACCTGACCGTGCCTCACCACGCCTCACCATGCCAGTATTCATCCACGGAGTATCGGTGAAAGCCCCCTCCCACATGGTCATGCATGCCCCCTCTCCCCATACACTCCAACGTATGCTCCACCATCTGTAGCGCCCCCGGCCCCTTCCCCCTCACCACCCTCCGCCCCACCCCCGCCGCCCCCGCATCCCCCTTCCCCCCCTCCCCCCGCAGGTGCGCCCGCAGCAGCAGATTGAGTTCAGAGGGGCGGGGGAACTTGGGCGCAGACCCAAACCCCCCCAAGTCCTCATCATATCTTGAAGCAAGCTGCTCTGAGCACAGCTGAACCGCCTTCTCTGCAAGTTTCAACACCCGCTCCTCCTCCTGATCCTCTTTCCCCATCTGCTGCTGCTCCGCCTTCCCCTTCCCCTTTCCTGCCGCCTCCGCCGCCGCTCCCCCTTGCATGGCCTCTTGCAGCTGTGCCATTGCGTCCTCTGCACCGCTCTGCACCTCACTGCGCCGCTGCTCCCACACAGAGCGGACTCGTCTGGAGAGTGGGGGGAGGAGGAGAAGAGTGTGAGGCGACGAGAGAAGAGCAGAGAGGCGGACGAGTGGAGGAGCAATGGGAGGCATGCAGAATCAGTGGAGGGAGGGTAGGGTACGAGGTGAAACAGTAAAGAAACAGTAAAAACATTGAAAGAAACTGGTGTGGGAAAAGGCAACGAACATGCTGTCTACATCCCCCTGAAAAACAACTGCCACCATCACACCCCACCACTTCCCACCGCACCCCGACCACCCCCAACCCAAGCACCCCTCCAATGCGCACCCGAGCAGCGACTTGAAGCCGATGCGGCCGTATTTGTCATCCGGAGGGAAGTAGGTGCCGCCAAAGACGGGGTGCAGTGAGGGCGTGAGGAAGACCGACATGGGCCAGCCCCCCCCGCCCTGTGTGGCCTGCACATATGTCATGTAGACCTGGCGAAGGAGATAGAGGGGAGAGAGGTAAAGTGGAAAGCATGAACAGGAATAGATGTGAGGAACACGGACATGGGCCACCCGCCCCCTCCCTTGTCCACGTCAGCACCAACTCCTTCCTCACTTTGTCCACATCAGCACCGACTCCTTCCTCACCTTGTCCACGTCAGCACCAACTCCTTCCTCACCTTGTCCACGTCAGGGCGCTCCTCCCTGTCGACTTTGATGTTCACGAAGCCCTCGTTCATGACATCCGCCACGTCAGCACGCTCAAAGGACTCCACCTCCATGACGTGGCACCAGTGACACGTGGAATACCCCACTGACAGGAAGATCAGCTTCCCCTCCTCCCGCGCCCGCGTGAATGCCTCCTCCCCCCACGGGTACCAGTCGACCTGCACGGGCGCAGGAGGGGGAGGGGGAGGGGGAGGGGGAGGGGGAGGGGGACAGGATCAGCTTACCACGTGGAGTGCTCCACAAACAGGAATATCAGCTTCCCCTCCTCCCGCGCCTGTGCAAACGCCTCCTCCCGCCACGGGTACCAGTCGACCTGATGGGAGAGGGCCAGTAGAGTGCAGGGAGAGGAGAAGGGAGAGGAAAAAGGAGGTCAGACCAAACGCCTCCTCCCCCCTTGCGGTATGGGAGAGGGGACAGCGGAGAAACGAAGGAATAGCTTACAAAGGTTTCAAGGAATTTACAACTGTGCGGAAGAGGGATGAATGTGTACTGGATTGTGCGCATGTTGCAGCAGGCAGGAGCTCTGCCTTTGAGACGACTCAAAAGCACGGCTTACAAAGGCTTCAAGGAAATGTCAACTGTGCGGAAGAGGGATGAATGTGTACTGGATTGTGCGCATGCTGCAGCGGGTACGGGCTCTGCTCCTTTGCCAGTCGATTCGTGTACTTGCGCGGAGGCCAAGAGCGATAGGTATCGGGTTGTGGGCGGGTTACCGGGTTATGCGCATGTTGCAGCAGGTACGGGCTCTGCTCCTTGGCCAGTCGGTTCGTGTACTTGTGCGTCTTCCCCGCGCTCTCCCCGCCTCCCCTCTCCTCCGCAGGTCTCCCCGCTGCGCCGGGGGCCTCCTCCTTCCGCTCAGCCTGTTGCTCCGCCTCCCGATCCGCTTCCGCCATCACGCGCACGTTGCGCGGAGGCGCTTGCTCAGACGCCATCCCGCGGCGAGCGGAAGAAGCCGCGGAGGAAAGCGCGGAGGAAGTCGCGGAGCGCAGTGGGGGGAACGCAAGCGGAGATCGAGCGGACGAGCACGTGGAAGAGACGGAACTGGTACCTCTAGCGCTTGCTGCGTCGCTTGCCGCGCCGCTTACTACGGGTGTTGCGCTCGCTACGCTTGTTAGGCTTGCGACTCTGGTGGGAGCGTTTCTTGGTAGTCTGAAGGGCGACAGCCTATTGGATAAGAGAAATCGACGGGAGATTGAGAGACCGATTCGCGACGACGGGGATGGCAGAGACTGCATCGCGATAGCTTGCGGGTTGGGGTTGAATTTTTCAGGAGGCTTGTAGCTCAAAGACGAGCTGGCACAGACAGTTAACCCGTTACTGAGTTACCAAGCGAAACTAGATGGGCGGGAATTGCGCGCCGGATGATTCCTTTCGAAAGAAATGCGGCTCGGACCGGAAAGAGAAGCCCCGATTCGTTCGACGCAGCCCATGCAGGGAGGGGGAGGGGGGACAGATGTCTGCAGCAGGCAAGCCCAAGAGCATCGAGCGAAGGATTTTGGGGCGACGCGCGCAGAAGCTGTGGGATTGATTTCTAGGAGAAGCGTGGTGGTCGCTGATGGGTCACCGCCACAAGTTCATGCACCCACCAAAAGCAGGGGCAGATTTGTCTCGTCCACCCACAACTCGTGCATGAGTTGAATTCCGCCTGCTGAAATTTGCGAACTGTGAGGGCGCATTTTCAGCCAATGTGGTTACATGAAAAGGCGAGAGTCGCCAGTGTCGCGAGTGCCGAGCCTGGTGCGGAGGTCAGGTGTATGGCTGACTGTCCACCAGTGCTTCTCGGACACGTGGCGGGAAAAGAGTTGCTCTTCTGCACATTACAGGGTGGTGAAGCTTTTGGTTCCTTTTGCAGTAAATGAGCATGGCACTTTACAGAATATCAATTTGCGAAAAATGCTTTCCGCCTTCTCCGCCATCAGGCGGCCATGGATTCTGCGAGTCAACCACGGTCACTATACTCGTTACCGAGCATCAAAGGATCAACCGTAGTGTTATCATGTACCGCCTTTAACTTTCATAATGGATTTCCAGTCACACTTGCTGACCTTGGATTCTCCAGTTACAAGGCGGATCCCTGCGGTTTTTATCAGGCTCCCGCGAGTTTACCAGCTGATCATGGCTCGCGCCACTACTACATCCCGTATGGTTTCTTTTCGAAAATACATGGCAGTGACTACTCTATTATTAACATTGATGTTATCAAGGTTGCTACCTCGAGATCACACCACCTACTGCTCGAGCTGCTGGAGCCGGACAAGCTTAAAGAACTATTTAACGTTTCAGTGCTCAGACTTCAGGCATCATCAGCGTTCATTGAGGGTACTCGGCACGCTCTCCTGCTGCCGGTTTCTCTTCATCATCACACGATGTCTCATCCGGCTGATGTCCCGAGTCTGCCAAAGGGCCAGCGCTCACGGCCAGTCTCTGATCTGCCTCTTTCAACTGATGCAGTCAGCTCCAATGTTGACAAGTCTCCTGCAGTCGGCGACAATGACAAGAAGATTCCGTCAGAGGCTGGAGGATCTGGTTTGTCGGCAGAAGATAAGGCTACCATACCTTCGGTCGGCATCACTGACGACGGCGGTTTCATTGATGACGACTCCGATGATGATATGGTCATTGATCTGGTTAAGGAGGCCGACTTCGGTTTGCGGTCGGTTGCAATCTTGTTGATCCCGTTCATGTTGAGCAAAGAGATTTCCTGCATCATTGACGCTGTCAAAGCACTGATAACACACGGCTGGTATACAGAGTTATCAGAAGGAGCGGCGTCCACGACGAAGTTCCAGCAGATTCAGACGACCTACATTGCCAAGATGCGCTTCTGTCGCCTGCAAGTATCATTTGCGAAGGAATCGGATGCGGAGTGTGTGCGGAAGAAAGAAGTCATTTATCAACCTCTCAAGAACCAGGGTCAACTCATTTCTCTGCACTGGCAACATACTGAGGACTCGGCTTTCGCAAAGGAGAAGGCCTTGAATCCGCAAGCTATTGAGTTCTTCATCTCGGGGGTTTCTGCTGCTGTGGAGCTGATTCTCATTCATGACCGCCTGGCGACTTACCCGCTCACAAGTACCAAGCGACCGGCCTTCCTGCGCTGCAACTGCCTGCACCGCGTGCTTCATCCTGTTACTGGAGCTGACACGGATGTTGTGAAGGGTTTGGTTTACGCTCACCCTGAGAACCAGAATCGTCGCTGGATCCATGCGATCGCTGATCCTGCTGACCGGGCGAAGAAGCTGCTTGTCCATTACCCGACCTTATCCTGTTCGCTCTGTGGCGGCAAGCACTATGATAAGTATCATGATGCTTTTGTCACTAAGCGCCAGAACAATGTTAGTAAATGGAAGCTTACCCTTGGCAGTGTGCACAGGCTTAACGGTAAAAGCGGCTGTTCTCTTTATTCTGACCTTCTGTTTTGCTCACCTTCTATCGTTACTAATCATTCTTCGGTCCATCGCAGCTGCGTCGCTGAAAGCGTCATCGCTTGTTCTCCCGATTCTTCGAGATCCTGCTATTGCTCTTGTTTCCACCGGCAGCAGCAGGGAGGACTGGATCTGCACACAAGTGGGCTGCGGGAAAGCAAAAGGGAAGAGTCTCATGGCGGCTGTTGCTCACATCTCTGCAGCTGCTCACCTGCTGGAATTGGCGAAATCAGGCTCGGCCACGAAGCAGTCGCTCGACAAGCTGAATCTCGATATCATACGGAAGGAGTACGGTCTGTGAATGGCCTTGAGCGTTACATGGATGCAGCGGCTTGTTGGTGTTTAGGAGTCAGCGTCGGTTGTACCGTCTTCTCTATCAGCCTGTGGATGATTAGGGCTGCAAGGCAGTTTCATCATGATTAATAAGAACCACCTCACTGTTTCGAGCCTCAAAGTTAACGGATTAGGAGATCGAGCCAAACAGAGCCGAGTTACCAACTGGATTAGTCAGTCAGGAGACATTGCAGTACTGATAGACACTAGAATAGGCGCGGACCATTCTTACTGGAAAAGTCTCTCCACTCACTCCATTCTAGCCGTGGCTCCCCGCTCCAGAGCTGGCGGGGTTGCCGTCGTTAGCCGTAACCCAGCCGTCTCGTTTCATGACACGATATGTCATCCGTCAGGCAGGATAATCAAAACCAAGTTAAAAGGCCATGGACCAGTTCTTACCCTTGTCGCTGCCTATTTTCCTTCGAGCTCACAGCCTAGAGCCGCCTTCCTTAGAGATTCACTCGGACCTCTTATAGACCAGATCCCGCCTTCAGAACACCTGTTGATCATCGGCGATTTTAACCATGTAGAAAATACCAAGCTAGACAAGTCATCAGGCAAGGGGGTGTCAAACGAGAATGAAAAGCTGTTCCAGCGCTGCAAGTCCTTCCAGCTCTCAGACGCCTTCCGCATACTTCACCCCAGTTGCCGGGAGTACACCTTCTACTCTAAATCCAAACGAGTTAGCACCAGGATAGACCGGGCTCTTGTTTCGCAATCTCTACTGCCTCACCTATCAGTTTTGCTTCCCATGTCAAACCAGACGAGCCGGTGGCCGACCATAGCTGCGCGGTGGTGGTCGCCTTCAAATTGGATGTGAAGGCCTGCACGGGACCAGGTCTATGGAGATTACATGCTTCAATGGTGAACAGGCCGGGGGTGAGAAAGATCATTGAAGCAACTGTTCGGCGGACTCCGGTAAATGATGGCAGCAGTTTCGAGTTGCTGGTTGCAAGGTTGAGTGCAGGCCTCAGGGCGTACGCGAAGGAGGAGAGTAAGCGGGTTCGCGCGACGGTAACGCACCTGACCAGCACGGTTGCGGCTCTGACGCAAGAGATGATGAGGAATCCACTCTGCTCAAGAACCACGGAGTTGCTGAGGGCTAAGGAAGTGCAGCTAAAGATGTATCAGTCAGCGCGGAAAGAAAGACTTCACCTGCAAGCGGGCTCGACGGCGGAATTAACTGGGGAGATCGCGTCAAAACATCTCTCAGCGCAGGTCAAGGCGCGGAAGGCACGCACCCAGATATCAGAGCTGAAAGACGGGTCAGCGTCGATCACCGGGTCGAAGGAGATTCTCGCTGCGGCTTCTGGTTTCTTTAAGAACATTTTCGGGAAGGATCGCCGCACTGACCGGGACGGCTGGAGCTTCAACCCTTTATCAGAATCACTAGGCAAGAATGATGAACTAGCAGAAGTTTGGGTACAAATATGAAACCCTAGTTGGGGTTGTACCCCATATTGGCTACCCCACTACAGCCTACAAGCATAATACAGTTTAACACACCCCCATAGGCAAAGTGGGGGAGAACAAAGGGTCACAAGACCAGTCCAGCAAAGCAAAGCAAAGCCCAGGGTGGATCACAACGTCACCACACTCCGAGCACAAGTAAAGGCCACAAGGCCAGTTCACATGCAGTGCTAGATATAGTACAAGACAAGCAACACAGTGATCAAAACCTAGCAAGCAAGCAACAAGATATATATAAAGTACAGTACAAAGAATGTCAAGCAGTGAGCAAGTGAGGAAACGTGGACACAAGGCCTAAAGAAGTACAGTGCCGCTGATGATCACTAGGCGGGAGCGCCTTGGTGAAGATATCAGCAGTGTTGGCCTTCGAGTCCACGTACACAAGCCGAAGCTGACCGCGCTGCTGAAGCTCTCGAGCAAGAAAGTAGCGAAGAGCAATGTGCTTCGTCCTGTGCTCCTGACACAAGGCAAGAGCCGCCTTGTTGTCACCGTACAGAACTGGAGGAGAACTAGGCCGCTCTCCCAAGTCAGTCAGCAGGTAGGTGAGCCAGCGTAACTCCTGTGCAGCCATGGCTGTGGCGTAGATCTCAGCCTCACAACTAGAGCCGAGAACAGAGGAAGAGCGGGTGGACCGCCACGAGACAGAACCTGAGCCAAGGCTGAAGGTGTAACCCTGTGACGACCGCTGCGTAGCCAGGTCGTCC